GGAAGGGGGGAGAAATCATGTGTTACTCTGCTGAAATGTAATAAGACCCCTTTGTGTCTGTGCAATTTTGAAAGTAACTTATTTTTCATTTAAATTGTAATTATATAGCAAACACAATGAACTGATCTTGGATCTGGTAATAACTCCTGTAATGCTAAAATATTTTACCAACAATCATATCTGCAATTGATTTCAGTTTTTCTTTACCTACTTAACCTGGAGCATGTAAATGTTTCACTCCAGGGTTTCACTTTTCCATCACCTTGAAAGCTTGCACGTCTACATTCCATTGTTGCAGGACTTTATTGTAAACTTTGTGGGAAAAGGTGCTTCAATGTAACCGAAACTGAATGCCTATGTGATTTGAAATTAGCTTTTCATTCAATTTTGATCATGTTCCAAATACAGTTAATTGCTCATCCCTTTGCCAATCCTCCAGTTTTAAGCTGAAGAACTGTCAGATTTAGAAAGTATTTTTCTTCAGTTTGTCAGTCAAACCTTGTGTATCGACATCAGACAGACACTATTCCACTAACAGAGGTTTTGTAGGGCAAACAGTCTGTTTTTAAAACAACATATTTTTCCAATCAGCCATAATGAATTTTAAGATCAAGTTTGGTTAGTATCAAATACATTTTCATGCTCGGAATTCCAATCGGTGGGACCTTTTTGTTCTTTTAAACTGTTTACTGATGAGCAAAAATTTGAGGCATAATTATTCGTCTTCCAACAAGTCAGGGACACTATGTTGTTTCAAAAACTACTTTGAGTCCTCTTGTATTAATGTTTCAACTACTGAGGTAAAGCTTGACTGAAATATATTGGTATATAAAATAGTAATTAAAGTCCATTCTAAAGCAGAAAGGAAGAATGTTGCTTCTCTGTTTCAAATAAAAAAGACGGGGTTATGTTAAACTTATTACCTTTTGATTTTTAAGACCATTAAACTCAGGTATTTTTTCTAAAGATTACCATACCGTGAGAATTTCATCCTGTAGCTATGGCAAGCAAAGATAAAAGAAAAGCTGCTCTCCCAGGCTTTTTGACTGACTGACGATCTTTACTATCAGTAATCTCACATTAACAGCCAACATGACCATTCAAACTGAATTTAGTAACAAAAAAAATAATAATAATAAACGCCCCCACATTTAGCTTCAATTGTGACCTTTAATCTAGGTCTGAAAGCCCTGCATTTAAAATGTGAAGTCTGCACTCAATCAACTGAAACTGCATTGTATTTCTGATGGTGACAGGAATAAAGCAATCACATGTGCTATTATGGTCTTTCACAGCATCACAGTGGAAATAATGACCACTGTGGAGCAAAAGCTCTTGGTCTCGATACAGAGAGCCATAACAGTTCATACCAGACCATTCAGCCAGCAATGCTAAGCTCACACATCTAAAAAAAAAAAAAAAAACACTCTCTGGCAGAATATTAAATAAAATCACGGTCATAATCACAATGTCAACGTGTGCAATACTGAAATCTCAAATACCTGCTCGGTTGCAGCATTTAGCAGATCTTTGAATATCCTGTGTGATGCATTTGCTTCTGCGTGGAAATTCCACATTTACCCTGCTATAGATGTAATCTTTTTTTATTATAAGATGTGCAATCCTGATATAAACTTTTAGTGACGGAGATGCAAAAGTTTGTGGAGAGTGGATGGGTGTTCTTATAATGATATAGATGGAAGAAAACTGAAGAAAACATGCGCAACTGTAGGCAATATTGATATAAAGCTACTCACAAATAATCTGGATTGATGTGATCAGTATTAGTTAATAATCTATAACCTTTTTTTTATTATGACTTTTTAGTGTTATGTTTTGCTTTTCAAAGCATAATCACTCATACAAGGAAAAAAAATTTAACACAGGTTCTGATGGAGATGATTCCACCAGAAAAATCAAAGACTACCAGACTGCCCTATTCATGTATCAAAGCATGTATTTAGAGCTTTCATCAGATGTTTATTACACTCAAAAACAGGACTACATATTACACGCTGCAGCTTGAAGCTTTAACGGAAAAAAAATTAATATATCTAGTGAATTCGGAAAAAATAGATCTGACTCATTCTGATTTGATTTCTTCTTCTTTTTTGCTTTTAACACAGAATCAATAAGCCACGCCACAGGTAGCAAAAGTCAAACCTATTTGAACTTTTTCTTTATGGTTACTTTACATTTAGAGGAAAGATACTCAAAGCAGGTACAATGTTTAAAATCAATAATCAATATATGTAAAAAATGTACGGATATAAATGTTTTATTCTGTTACGCCACCAAATAAACAGCTAAGCTTAAAGAAAGCAGTCTCAACTTAGAATCCACCACCATCCATCCACTTTCTGTCACGGTTATCCCAAGCGGAGTCGAAAGGAGTGCTGGTACCTATCTCCAGCTGTCTACAGGCGAGAGGCGGGGTCCACCCTGGACAGGTTGCCAGTCCATCGTAGGGCAACACAGAGACAAACAGGACAAAGAACCATTCACACACTCACACCTAAGAGGAATTTAGAGACACCAATTAACTTAACAGCCATGTTTTTGGGGCTGTGGGAGGAAGCCGGTGTACCTGGAGAGAACCCATACATGCTCAGGGAGAACATGCAAACTCCATGCAGATATCCCCTGGGCCTGGAATCAAACCCGCAACCTTCTTGTTGCCCACCGTGCACTGAGCAACCTAAACTTAGAATACAAAGGTAAAATCTAATATGTGTTGATATGCAACAGTCAAGCTTCTTCAGCCTAATACTGTTTTATTGATAATGATTTATTCTTTTTTTATTAATGCATCTCCCTAAGATGCATCTGTTGTTTTTAAACTCAAACTAATGCATTAAAGAGACGTGCATACAGTTGACGTGTTTATAAATACAAAATGATGGAAATTCTCTGCCGCTCTTCCTTTTATTGCGTTTTTATTCTTAGAAATCTGATAGAAAACTACTCTCTTGATCACTGATCAGAGAAGATCAAAGGAAAATCGCCCAGTTTCAATCTCCAGCTGGCCTATTGGTGCATCTCTGCATATGACTGCAAGGTAATGGATTACTCCGAGCTTCACATAGGTAATAACTACAATTACAATTTAATGATAATATCTCTGAAAATAGAAACACGAGGAACACATTTACATGAAGCAAATACATAAATATGATCATTAATATCCTTAAAGAATCGAGTATATCATTTATAACGCTGTTATGACACCTTATCAACACCATTAAATAGAGAGTGATTCGTGAAGGAAATGATTATATGATTGGGACCCCCATAGTCTGTTAAAGGTACCTATGAGAGAATGAAGTGAGGAACCAGTTATAGCTTTAATAATGACACACCCTCTGAAAGCCCCCGGCACCATTTAGCTCGCAGAGAAAAGCCCGTTGTTTGGAACCGAAGCTGAGCGGAGAAAACGCCGAGGCTCGCGCCGCTCTGCACGGCGGTTGGAAACAGCCCACCGGGAGCCGCGAGGCCACTGAGAGAGAGCAGCGGTTAGAGAACCGCTTTCATCGCGACCAGCATTTCCTGTCGCCGTGGTTTCACTCTCCTCAGCTACAACACCGCAGGCACGACGGAGACAGGGAGAGAGAGAATAAAATTCGCCTTTACTTACCTGAACATAATTGTTTTCACAGTATTCCGCTACCCGGGACAGGTTCTGATAGCTTTCCACCAGTGCTCTTTTACCGGCCGGGATTTCCTCCTCTAATAGCATTTGTAGCTCTGCCATCTTACATCCCTTTGCATTGCTCTCCTGCCCGTCTTTTTTTTCTCTCACTGAGGCGAGGCTGTGATGCTGTGCTGTGTTGCTGAGAAAGGGGCTCCCCCATCTGGCATTGTGGCTGCGCTGGCCTCCGATTCACAACAGTCCGTGACTAATCCCGGCTACGCTGTAAACGGCCGTCGCTCATTGGCTTAGAGCCGGGCGGTGGGCGGGGTTAACCAATCACAATTCGCTGCGGCTGTTTTCCACGTAATTATATGACTGGATGATATTTTGTGGAATATATCAGACTAAACAATTAATAAAAAAATATAAATCAGACAATATCAAGAGGATATTAAACTTTTATTTGATTTTCATACCCATAATAAAACAAAAAAGCATGTAGCAAAACGATTATACAACTACAGAAATAATTTAAAAAATTTATGTAAATGAATCTAAAAAAAATGCAGATGATGTGATTTATTTTCTTTTGGATATATTTAATCTAAGAAAAGTTGTATTTATTGTCCATCAATGCAAATCAAATATCAAAATGAGAAGAGAAAATCACTCAGTTTTGTCACTAATCATCACAAAATGACTCATAAATCCAAAAAGAAGTCATTAAGACAACAAGATCTACTGTGCAATCTAAATCAATCTTTTGGACATGCAAATTTTTAAAAAATCTTAAATCCGAGATCAAGATGTAGAAAATGTCATAAACACAGAAATTAAACTGTTATGATCAGGTGGATCTTTATTATATTTTTATCAGCATTCACCAGCGTTTGTTTCAACATTTTGTTGGACATTCACTAAGCCTACATTTCCCATGAACCCCCTCGCTGCTATTGGCCATTAGTACAAACCTGCTCTATAATCCATATATTTAGTTTTACAATATTCAAAGCACTCCTCTTTGTTTGAATCTACAAATGATCCTTCCCTTTTTAATTAATATAAATCATTTCTACAGTATTAAGAGAGTGTTTATTTGCCTTCTGTTTCTAAACATAAGGCAACATCTACAATCACAAATGCAGACAAAGCATTTCCTGTATATATGCCTACACTTCCCATAACCCTTCTGTTTTAAATCCCCTGCAAAGGCGGTTTGTGGGATTTTAAATCCTTCAACAGTGGGAGTTGAACCTAATTCCAGCAAAGCTTGTTCTGCAATGAACTACATTTCCCACACACTGCTTGGCTCATCCTTGACTGGAGAGGAGATTGGCTGTCTGCTACAGATTACAGGCAGACGTCGGCTAAATGAAGCAATAAGGTTGGTTTGCTGAACATGAAGCTTGCAGGGGAGGGGCTGCCTATTTGAAGGAGAGAGGTTAGGTTAACTGTGTTGACAGATTTAAATATAAAATGTCACAAATTGACTGAGATTTTATCTTCCATATCCGGGTTGCATAGCAGGTGAAGAATACTCTTCTTCTCAGGCACTATCAGATCTACCTTTATTTTAATCCCCTTTTTTTCTCCAGGATCGGAGGATCCTTTCATGTCATCCCTGTGTGGACTCAGCATGGAGCATGAGGAGGAGGAGGGGGAACACAGCCTGGAGGAGAAATTTGCCGCTGCGGTTAAAGTGATCTGGACTTTGCCAGAAGAAGGTGAGGATTTCTCCCTACCTGTTCTGAAAATAATATAATTGTAAACACCAGAGTCTAATCATGCACAGTAGTCTATGAAATGTGCGCTTGCAGACAATAAACAGTCCAGGTGACTGACCTAGATGCAGAGCTGTCAATCCTGGCAGCCCTGCTCCTCAAGCTGCTATAAGCATAAGGAGCTGTGATTATCTGCCCATGTGGCTTACAGTACATGTATAATGGATTTAACAGTACATCTCTAGTCTTTGTAAACACGTTTTATATTTAATCTTTTTCTCGCTTCTCAGGTCCTTTCCAGCCCTCCGATGACATGATGCTGATGTTTTATAGTTACTATAAGCAGGCTACCACGGGGCCCTGTCAGATCCCGAGACCAAATGGCTTCTGGGACAGTCGAGGAAAAGATAAATGGTACATTTCTTTTACTGGAAAGGCAGGAAACATTCAAAGATGAAGAGCTCAGTGCATTCTTTACAGATCATTTCCAATGTCTTGCAAACGTTTGTCACACGACAGAAAACTCCATGTAATTTTATGGGAATCTATGTGATAGACCAACATGTTTTTCAAAATGTGTTAACACCACAAATCCAGATGCTGTTATTAGGTAAAAACTGAGAATTCTTTACACATATACAGCTGTTTTGTGAAGGTCTCAGAGGAGATATCAGAGAACAGACAACATCATAAGACCAACGATTTTAGCAGACAGGTCAGCGATGCAGTTGTTGAGTAGTTTATAGCAGAATTAAGTTATAGTAATATCCCAAACCTTGAACATATCACTGATCTCTTTTAAATCCATTATTCAGCAAATGAAACAAAGTTTAGTTAACTACCAAGATGGATAGCGGGATCTGAACAGTGCAGTTGTGAGGGTTTGAGAGGAGACTAGGGCACTGGGATTTTGCCAGACATGAAAACTGCCGTGTTTTTTATTACCTAAACATATCACCGGGATGATTGACAATTAGGAGGACTACTTATTTTGATGCTCCACCTGGAAAAAAAAGAACATCCTCCACTATACTTTTAAGGCCTAAACAGGCACCAGTTAGTCCATAACTTCAAATATTAAGAAAGTAATGGAGAAAAAAAAGCAATTTTTTTTAAATACAGACAGAAGTCATGTTGGCAGGTTTACACAGTGGTCCCTGGCTCCCAGTTTTGTTTCTGTTTTTAGATGTTTCCATGCTCCACAGACATGACATAAACGACTGCGTTCCCTCCTCAGCAAACTATCTAGTTTAGCATGAGTCTTTGACTCTTACAGGTGCTGGTCATAAAATTAGAATATCATGAAAAAGTAGATTGATTTCAGTAATTCCATTTAAAAAGTGAAACTCGTATATTATATTCATACATTACATACAAACTCATATATTTCAGATGTTTATTTTGTTTAATTTTGATGATTACAAATGACAACAAACTCAAACCACCTGCAAAAGCCTTTAAATGGTCTTTCAGTCTAGTTCTATAGGCTACACAATCATGGGGAAGACTGCTGACTTGACAGTTGTCCAAAAGACGACCATCGACACCTTGCACAAGGAGGGCAAGACACAAAAGGTCATCGCTAAAGAGGCTGGCTGTTCACAGAGCTCAGTGTCCAAGCACATTAATAGAGAGGCGAAGGGAAGGAAAAGATGTGGTCGAAAAAAGTGTACAAGCAAGAGAGATAACCGCACCCTGGAGAGGATTGTGAAACAAAACCCATTCAAAAATGTGGGGGAGATTCACAAAGAGTGGACTGCAGCTGGAGTGAGTGCTTCAAGAACCACCACACACAGACGTATGAAAGACATGGGTTTCTGCTGTCGCATTCCTTGTGTCAAGCCACTCTTGAACCACAGACAGCGTCAGAAGCGTCTTGCCTGGGCTAAAGAGAAACAGGACTGGACTGCTGGTGAGTGGTCCAAAGTCATGTTCTCTGATGAAAGTAAATTTTGCATTTCCTTTGGAAATCAAGGTCCCAGAGTCTGGAGGAAAAGAAGAGAGGCACTTCATCCACGTTGCTTGAAGTCCAGTGTAAAGTTTCCACAGTCAGTGATGGTTTGGGGTGCCATGTCATCTGCTGGTGTTGGTCCATTGTGTTTTCTGAGGTCCAGGGTCAACGAATCCACATACCAGGAAGTTTTAGAGCACTTCATGCTTCCTGCAGCTGACCAACTTTTTGGAGATGCAGATTTCATTTTCCAACAGGACTTGGCACCTGCACACAGTGCCAAAGCTACCAGTACCTGGTTGAAGGACCATGGTATCCCTGTTCTTAATTGGCCAGCAAACTCTCCTGACCTTAACCCCATAGAAAATCTATGGGGTATTGTGAAGAAGAAGATGCAATACACCAGACCCAACAATTCAGAAGAGCTAAAAGCCACTATTAGAGCAACCTGGGCTATCATAACACCTGAGCAGTGCCACAGACTGATCGACTCCATGCCACGCCGCATTGCTGCAGTAATACAGGCCAAAGGAGGCCCAACTAAATACTGAGTGCTGTACATGCTCATACTTTTCATGTTCATACTTTTCAGTTGGCCAACATTTCTATAAATCCTTTGTTTTTATTGGTCTTCAGTAATATTCTAATTTTCTGATATGATGAATTTGAGATTTTCATTTGTTGTCATTTGTAATCATCAAAATTAAACAAAATAAACATCTGAAATATATGAGTTTGTATGTAATGTATGAATATAATATACAAGTTTCACTTTTTAAATGGAATTACTGAAATCAATCTACTTTTTCATGATATTCTAATTTTATGACCAGCACCTGTATATTTTAATTCAGCTCAATTCAGGTTATTTATAAAGCACCACTTCACCAAGCAGACTGCTATGCGTCAATGACTTTGCAGGTTTACTCCTTCTAGATGAGCATATAGTGACAGTGGACAGATGTATGATAGCAGGGAAATATGTAAACCTTGTAGTATCTCGAGCCCTGAGGACCCTAAGGGATACTGAACATCTAGAGAAAACTGCTAATTTTAGAAAAGGATAAAATTTTGGCCTTCATTCAAGCAGCTGCAAATGACCCTAGCAGAGAATGAATATTTAACCTCACCATTAACACGGCTATTGCAGCACCATGGAGCGGGCTTGTTTATTTTTAATGTGAAGACCTAATAAAATGTAATGTCAAAAAAACAAAAAAAAACTGTTGAAGTCACAAAAAAGACAACAACTGGGCCAGATGGTTAACCTCCAGCAGACAAACAATCGTAAATGTACCGGCAGAGCTGACAATCTGTAGCAAAGCTTGGCATCCAGTCTGACTGAGTTTGAGCTGATTGTTATTTATTTTTTTTATTTTCCAAAGCTTTCACAGATATTAATCAAAACAATCAGAGCTTGGAGATTTTGAGCAAAGATTTTTTTTTCTTTTTATATTATCTAAGATCCTGAATAAAAATGTAAACAATACTTTTAAGATTCGATTTGGAAAATTTCATACCCTACAGAGTTTTGCACTAGTTTGTGTTGGTCCACCACATATATACCAGTAAAATAAGATTTGTGGTTTTAACCTGGCAGAATGTCAAGAAGCTTAAGGGGTGTGAAAAGTTTTGCGTAGCACAATTTTCTTCTCAACCATTTCACGCCTTCTTTATTAGCTTGGGAAAAGACTCTTTACAGAAAGTTCAGTTGAAGGTATTTGAACTTTGACTGTGTTGTCAGGGATGCATGGAGCTCTCTGGGAAACATGACAAAAGAGGAAGCCATGAAGAACTATGTGGAGAACATCCAGCTGGTACGTGGTCTTCACAGAAAAAAGGAAGCATAAAGAAACTGAGTCCTAAAAATATCTGCATTGGCATGTTTGTGTTCTCTGCCAAATATGTTGGACCTTTGTGGCAAGTTGATATCATATCCGCAGTAACTCTGTTTTTTTGTTTTTTTTGTGTACATTGTCAGATTTTGGAGACCATCCCAATCTCAGAGGAAGTTACAGAACTGGTTCAGAGGCTAGGCAACTTCTACACTCAAGTGGATGAAGAGGAAGAGGAGGAAGGAAACGAAATAGACAAGAGACCCTTTACCAGACCTTTTGCAGAGCATGCAGGTAAAGACCATAAACATGTTAGTCTTATTATTGTTGAAAACTCAAAGGCCCATTGTATATAATGAAAACATATTAACCATGTGTTCTTATTATTAGGGGAGCTGGCTAAACAGTTCAAGAAGCCAACACTGGAGGGCAAGTATTTAGTCTTAGTTGCTATGTAGACTTTGTAGATAAGTTGTTTTGTGTTTTATCCCAATTTGATTTAATCCAGGCTTTTAGAACAAATATGTGTGTTTTATGTGTGCTGTCTTTAGATTAATATTTTTTTACTTGTAATAGTCTCTGAAGGAAAATGTGTGCTGTAAGTTTTTCTACAATCACTCATATTTTAACCCTTTATAGTGCACTCAGTGAAATACTGTACTTTGAAAATCCAAATTTCAAGCCAATAGTGTTATTAAAATCCAGGAACTGATCTTATAACCTTTGTAACATTCAAAAAAATAAGGATATCTTAATGTCAAAAATGTATGAAACGTAGACTTGCTCAAATATATTAAGAAAAATAACAAATATATTTCTATAAGAAATTCATGAGAGTGAAGGAAACAAATTTTTTTGTACAACATAACCTTAGAGGCACTAATGCTGATACTGGAAATTACTTTTTTTGTTTATAAACCTAAATATAATAGTTAACTAGGCTTATTAACTTTTTAACTTTACTTTTTAACTTTTAAATTAGCTTTTTACCTTTTTTTCTTGGCTTGTTAACGTTTGTTCAGCTTAATTTACAGTAGATAATATATCATTCAAAGGCTCATCTAATTGGTCAAACACCAAAATAAGATGTTCAGCCATGTAGCAGTATCTTTGCTGAATGGCTGGGTGTAGATATTGTGCTTCTAGACCTCACTGAGGGACAGGGGGGACTCCATTTGTAAGGGATATGCAAGGGATCAGAAACGGTAACTTGCCCTATAATTATGCACATCTAAATATGGAAGTTTCTTTGCCTACTGCTTCACATAAGGAATCAAGAGCAGATAGTTCTCAGAGCATCTGTGAACATCAAGGATAAAGTTTAATTGAATTGATTGCATTTAATTAATTGGCTGTAAAGTGGTGCAGTGTGTGCTTGAATGGTTTTTTTGTCCAGTTTGTCTCTGTGTTGCCCTACGACAGACTGGCGACCTGTCCAGGGTGTGCCCCGCTTCTCGCCCATTAACAGCTGGAGATAGGCACCAGCACCCCTTGTTAACCCAGCAGGGATAAGCATGGAGGAAAATGGATGGATGGATTGCATTTAATTCAGTTTATTTATATTGCACCAATTCAAACAAATTCAGGTTTGGACTTTGAATAGGCCATTCTAAAATGTGACATTGTACAGTAGTTATGTCAGGAGAGTGTGTTTTGGGGCACTTAGGTCAGCTCTGCTTCACTTAGGTGCTTTGCGATTGTTTCCATCTCTTTTGAATCTCTACCAGAACAGCTTTTTACATATCAGCAGTGGGGAAATGAGTTGAGTAGGGATGGAATATGACAATAACATATAAAAACTCTAAAGATTTTTGCATATACAGTAATACGAACGCTATTTTGTCATTTGTTAATGCTTTTGTTAGGAATAAAGCTGCGGTTTGCAGCAGAACATTTTCTCTTTCCCAGTTCATCTATACATCACAGTCATTGTCATTTCAACTTTTTGCCAGAGGGGACAAACATCTGCAAAATCCCTGGAACATGTGCTGTACTCTTTTAATACGTCAGTAATTAAACCTGCTGGGAGCACGACATTGTCAGCTGGAGGTGGAGCTGCAAACAACAGCTGGAGTAAAGCAGTGAAGAGCTAAAGAACTTTAAGGGAAAATTGGTGGCATTGGGTTTTCTCTGTGTGCTACATGGCTTATAGAAAACTGCAAAATGGTCCATCTTGTGACTTTCTTTTCACTTTGGCTTTCCTCTTGCCATAGTTGTTTTAAGGGCAGGTTTCTTGTCAGATTAAGTGAATGTCTTTGTTGTTGTAGCTTAGCAATTTATTTATTTATTTTTCAATTTGGGGCTGATGGATGGAAACTTGAAAAGTTATTTTATAACTTAGAAATTTCCAAACTTTCCCCACAGCTTCAGCACCTGCAGTGATCTTTTTTTTACTATGATTGAACACTACATTTTATTTGAGGTTTTTTGAGTAAAAGTGGATTGAAGCATTCTTAGCTTTCTATTTGTAAAGATAATTAAAATCAATGTGCATATTTCCTTCTCTTTCACAATTATGTTGCTATAACACAAACAGGTTTAAGGTTGTAACATGGCAAAATATTTAAATGGTATGAATGTGTTGCAGGACAGCAATTTGCTGGTTGACCCAGAGGGTTTTTCCTCACTTCTCAGGCTATGGGGATCTTTGGGAGGACATACAAAACGTCCAGGAGAAAGACAGAGACGGCATCGTGCCTGGACAAGGTATGAGCAGCGAGGAGACAGAAGGGAGGAAAACAAAAAAAGAGGAAAACGAGATTTGGAGGAAAAATGAAGAGAGTGAGAATTGGAATGATGAATTCAGTGACAAGAATGGAGAGATAAGAGGTATGACACAGCAAAACCAAAAAAGTAGGAGAGATGTTTGTATGAGATGAAAATAAATGTTTTTCAACGATACATCTGTAGTGAGATTGTCTAAGGTTGAATTTCTGTCCCCAGGCTGGGACCCAGACCCTCACTTTTTAACAGTGCAGGACTGGGGTTGGAGGTCTGATACTAAGGGGTCCTGCAGCAGCTTGGAGCCTAGCATGTCCTCCTTCACCAACGGCACGCACAGCTCGCTCAACAGCGGGGTGGAGGAGGAGGAACTGGCTTGCTCCATGGAGCCTGCTGTGCAGTATAACCACTGCATGCATTTTAATGGATACATCAATGGTAGGATCCCACATTGTTGTTTTATCAGAAAAAAACATTTAGTGGAGAAAACACAGTATTGTTGTACTAAAACCAAAAATAACATAGTTTTATGTCATTGGAGACAATATGAACTGAAGATAATTATTGTTTTTAATGTAATTCTATTAATATTAATATTTATTACATCTCTAAATGTAAGTATTTTTTGGAAATGTTTGAAAGTATCTGGGCTTTTCTATTATTCTAAATAATCTAAAATGACCCTTTTCAATTTTGCTAAAAAAAAAACCTTAATGAAGCCAAACTGGAAATGCTGTGTGAGAAGAATAACCAAGGATTTGGTGAAATTTGGTTAGTATGGTTAGTATATTCAGCCATGAAGCCCTGAGATCTCATGAATTCCTCTTGCCCCCATTTGCCATTGATTGTTAATGTTTTCTTTGATTTATTAATAAATGTTTATTTATTGTTTTTGTCATGATTTTACTAAGGTTCAGACCCAAATGCAGAAGACCAAACAGAGAGACCAGGGAAAAGGTTTAAAAGGTTTTATTGAAGAGATAATTCAGAGAGAAGTGTTGCTCTGAACACTGCTCAACCAGAACTGGAAAGTGAGGGGAAGGCACAGCGATTTAGTTCAGGCTCAGTGGGAAATTTGACTCGTGAACTTGGAGAAGGGAATCTGGTTGCTGACTCACATTTCCAGAGAAGTTGTTGAATCCTTGTCTCCAGTCTGTATGCTGTAGTTCCAGTGTTTGTCTGATTTGGTGGAGGGCGGAACAGGGTTTACCCAGAAAGCGGTTGTTGTAGGTGAAAGGAGAAACTGACTGCCACTCAGATTTCCTGCGGTACTTGAGCGGGTCGTAGTGGAGATAAATCCCTTTCTCAGTGCGAAGCTCAAACGATCTCTTGAGGAAAGTGGATCCAAACCTCCTGTTTGAACCCCAGCTCAGTTTGTAGCTCAGTTGATCCTTCCAGGGAGTGAAGGTCCAAAAAATCCGGTTTGCAGGATGACTTCCTGCCGAGAGGCAAAGACAAAAAACAAAGTTAAAACTCAGGTTGACTAGAACTCAGTTTGACTCAGCAAAACTCAGCTTGGCTAGAGTACTCAAAACTGGCAAGCACTCTGGCGTCGAGGTAGTGGCAGTCAGCAGCTTAAGAACGCTCCGTTAACGAGGAAACCATCAGCAGGTGTGTGAGGAGGTGGACCAGAGCTAGACGCCTCCTGGTGGAGGAAGGGAGACAAACACAGAAACACAAACACGCAGACATGAGTCCTGACAGTTGACATATTTAACATTTGTTGGAACTGTGTCACTTTAATCATGTAAATGGAGAAAAAAAGCAGTATCAGCTTCAAAATCTGCCCCCAAAAATCGTCAGCACAGTTCAGCAATCAGCTGTCAGCAAATGTAAAAAAAAAAAAATCTATATCAGCATTGCATTTAAATACCTGTATCAGTCATTCTCTACTCTCTTCCTCACAACATTGCTTTGATTCATTTGTTTTTTGCAGCCATTGGTTTAAACACAGCTCTCCTGCACATCCGTCACTATAATGCCTAAACTTTGACTATGATAGTTCAACACATTTAGTCATCGTTTCAATTTTACTGCCTCGATCGGAATACAGTAAACATGTAAGGACTCTTTAGCAAAAGTGGATGGGTATCAGCATTCCCCGCTATATGTTCTGTCTGAATAGTGTTGGCAATGAGGAAGGAGATAGGAAGGAGATCCTGTATGCTTCCTGTCATAGTTCCATTGAAGGAGCAAAGATGAATCCCATAATCCTTTGTGTGACAGGTTCCATATGCACAGCCCATACTCTATGTGAGACATGCGAATGTGCACACCTTTATATATTTTAGGTTTTAGATTAGATAGCTTCAACTGATCATTATGTTTGTGTAACTTTTTTCACTGTAGAATAAAAGACTTCAGATCTTATAATAAAAGTATTAATCTATTCACACAATGAGTGAAGGTAGTTGTATCTACAATGCCAACGCTTTGTCTTTTCCACCTTCGTGTCATGTTTCTTATGATAGTTTAAAAAAAATTAAGTTCATTGATCTCACCTTAGAGAAATGTACCTCTGCATTTAACCCATCCACTTGGGGAGCAGTGGGACCACTGTGCCACAAAATTCCCAAACAGCTCTTTTCCATAAAGCTGTTCATTTTTTTATGTGCATTTTATTATAACCACCCGACCCCTGTTTGTTCTGTAACTCAGCTTTACCATTTTCGCTTCTATACAAATACAAAACCTGGTAAGGTCTAAAAATGCTGAAGTTGAAGGAAGATGTATTTCACCTTCTACAATAAGTTTATAGATTTATAGGTTTCATAGACTGTATAGAATTACTAATCAAAGGAAAACAAATGGACAAGATAAATGCATTCATGTTTTCGGTATACCTTTTTTTACCTGACCACTCAGACAACCCATATGCTGATCCTGAGAGGAACCATCGCCCCATAGATTCGGACAATGAGGAATTTTGTGACTCAATGGAGCATCTAGCAATGGAAGAGGTTTGCTGTCTTGTTTCCTAAGATGAAAACATTGCCATTATGAAAATAAAACGTCAGAACTAGAGAAAATATTTCTTATCTTTTTTTTTTCTATTTATTGAATGCACCAAAGTAAGCAACCCCACCAGTCTATAAACATAAAAAAATAGGAAAAATTTATTATATCACAGTTATCAACAAAGGCTTGGAAACAACTGGGATCATCTTATGGTTTTACTTATACTGGGATAAATCAGCAACTGTAAAAATAAAAGATCCACTCTCTGTGATGACATTGATATGACAATAGTCAAAAGAGTTTGTCCAGGCAGTTCAAACAACAGACTCATATGTAACCTTTCTTTCCAAATGGGTACATTTCCAAACACAGTTCAAAATGATCACACTGTTATGCAACACTGGAAATGGACACCAAATTATACACTATACTTTCACAGTTTTCATAGCTTTTTAAAAAACAAAACCAAAAAGTATTAGCAGAATTGACAACTTTGTTGATAAACACAAACTACTTTATGAAAGTCGGTACAGATTTAGATCACAGAGGTCGATATTTTTGGCAATCCTGGAATTAATAGATTAAATCACCAGCTCCACAACTGGTCTACTTGATGGCCTTACAAAAAAGTTTGACACAATCTAACAATCAATATATTAAAGCATTGTAGTGTACAGGAGGGGGTGGGGGTCGTTGTTCTGGAGTGGATGATGAGCTGTTTAAGTAGCAGGCAACAATTTGGAAAAATTAGTGATTATCAGTCATTATTCTTGAACATTGCTTGCTTATGGTCTCCGCCAGGGGACAACATTGGGACCAGTGCTGTTTAGTCTGTCCATAAAGGACATGTAAGTTTTTTCTTTCCCCATACAGGTGATAGCTCACAGCAGCTCTTGAGTGACGTCACACCAGGGTAAAATAAGCTGAAAAACTGGTTTGACTAAAACAATTTTTCTTTGAATTTGGATAAACCTTTTATATTAAGTTATTTGAAAATTGGTGGGGTAAAGGTGGGACATCTTAATAAAATAAAAATCTTAGGTGTGATTTTTGACTACAAGATCTGTTACACTCAGGAAGACACCTGCAGGAAATCATTCAAACCACCATGCACTCTGCAGAAAAGAACCACCAGGATCATTTATGAGGCTGGCTATATTGATCACAATAAACTATTATGCATTTATTCCTTTATAAAGCTAGAAATTAACAGCTACCAGACAAAATACAAAAAAACATTTGCTGAGAGAGATTGAATCTTACATGAATCTTACAAGAATCTTACATGCTTGAAGAAAAACAAAATAATAAATAGTGAAAGCCTGGAACATATGGAAGACCTAAAGAGTCACTGAAAAACAAAACCAGCCAATTTAAATGTAACATTTTAATCATGCAATTTGAAAAGGATTTTCTGATTGCACATTTTGAATTGAATTATTAAAGAGGAACTCTGAAGTGTATATATTAATCCATTATTGAATACTGAAATGAATTGAAATTTAAAAAACAAAATTCATAAATCTGATTATAAAAACCTTTCCTTATCACATATTTAAGAAAGCCTTTTCTGGTTTTGATTTCCATTTTCTTTTTCAACTTGCCATTTCAAATCCTTTTTGAATTTTTTTTTTTTGCTTGGCATGCTCCATTTATGACTCTTTTGGTCCCTGAGCACACTGAAAACTAGTTTAAAAGATCACAGTTGCTCCTCAAATGTAACCAAATGTTCGTTAATTCATTCAAGCTATTAACTTAATCACAGAAACAAACTGCAGTTCATTTTTTTCTTGTCCTTCCGGACTTATCTTCCGGTATCCCCTGCTGGAAAATTGGAATTTATCAGCTAGAGAAAAACAGACCAGTACATCTCATCTGTAGTTTTAATTTTGTAGTTTATTAGCTTTTATTCAGCTGTGCCTAACCTTCCTTTGCATGTGTAGATGTGCATGCAACGACTGTCTCCATCAAAAGGTCGATCACCTGGGACAGGAGCAGCGTTGGTGAAGACGAGCGATGTTTGGTTTGAGAGCAGCACAACCCTGAAAGAAGCTAAAGATGAAATACCAGGAGGAGGTTTCTACATCAAAGAAAGAGTGGGTCCAAGCGGACACAGCAGCTCCTTATCAAAAAGAGAAATAGGTGAGCCTGCCTTGGTTCACTTTTAACATAACAGTGTATCCCTAACATGTGCTCAGTTTATGTAAACAACATTCTCTTAAAGTCTTTAACTTCTTCCAAATGGGACCTGTGTTGTAGGTTTGCATTCACCAACAACCACCTACAGCCCTCCACGTTGTGTAAGTGCAGGCGGTGAGTGCAGCTGTGTGATACGAAGCAGACATCCTGTCACTGTTACCAGGGGAAACGCAGATAAGCAAATAGCAGCTGCTCTGATGAAGCTGCAGCACAACATGACCAACGTGCTGCACAGGCTGCATGCTCTGGAGGAGCTGACTAGATCACAGGTGATTCACCACAACTCACGGTTATGTTTTATGCTACAGTGCAATCCGAGTTTCTCCATTTATCTAATTTTTGCATACAGCATTGCCTTTTTACACCCTTTGTTTATGTTCCTCATATCTCTACTTAAAAGCTTTTCTATATTTTCTTATTTGTAGTCAAGATCCTCATCTCCAAGACAAGACGGCGTTTTATCCGTCGCTCGAAAGGTTCTTATCATTTCTATTATTCTCCTCAATATTCCCATTATTTTTATGGAAGCTATGATTGGCCAGGGGTGCAGCAAATATCTTTGTGTGTGAATTAATCAACAAAAATCAATGTTGTTTATGATAAAAAAAAGCAATTTAGTATTAAAAAAATGAGTTTCTTCACCCTTAAGTGTCAGTCAATGCAAAATATGTTTAACATTTGTTAAAATATAATGTATTAAAATAATCTCAAATGGAGCAATGCTACTGGGGTCTCCTCTTAATTAGACCCAGAAACAGCAAATAAGTTTAAGCTTAACATTCAACTGACCTATTCTCGTTAAAGCTGGAGGGAGTATAGTGAGGTGATGTGATAGGAATATCCTATTTTAAAATGATCAAACAGCTTTTAAATGATTATATGATTTAATTAGGGGAAGCCTTTTATGAAAACACACATTTCCTAATTTTTAAATCATGAATTAATTGAATAACCACATTTTAGATCAATTTAATAGCCAAACCCAGGCCTGATTACTGTCTGACTTGTTAAATTAAAAAGCTATCTGAAAATAAAAAGCAGGGTAAAAGATCACAGAATCCACCATGATGCCCTTATTCAAGACATTCAGTAGAAGCTAAGAAAATGAGTTCCTGACATTATTGCATCTGGAAAATTTTACAAAGTTACTCTAACTTCTAGAGACATTACTATCAAGTGTGAATAAAGGTGAATGGATTAAATTTGTGGGGTAAAAACGAGAATGGGACGGCCTCTTCCTTCCAACAGAAAGAGGTGTGTGGGTCCCTCAGGTTAACATTAAATCAAATGTTTGCCAATTTCTTAAAAATAAATCTATCCAGCCAAATAGAACCAGTTTAAACAAAATCTTCCATATAGGCATTAAAGGTATAGTGGATAGGGTTGTCACGATACTAAGCTTTTCAACTCGATACCGATACTAAGGAAAATATTCGATACTCGATACCATTTTCGATACCACAAGGATAAAAACAAAGACTCCAAAATTCTACAGAAATTTTCATTAATAATGAAAATACAATAAATAAATACAATAAACAATAAGAAGAATATTTTGAGGTTGTATGCTGTGCACAGTATTAAGCAAGCTTGGTAAAAAACTTACAAAATTAAAATTAAGTTTTCCTTACTTGGCTTTGCTTTGCACACATAACAATGACACTGGCCAAACTGGTTAAGAAAAAAAAATAATTCTAAGCAGCTGCACCTGTTACAAAAAAAGTGTGAAACTGAAAAGTGCACAGAATTATTCCATCACACAGTGTGCAGAAAGTGATTTTTCCTCTATTCTGCACTTTAGGTGAATGACTGTTTAGGTGGCACTGTATCGATACTTTTGAAAATTAATTTTGTATCCGGATGCAACGTTTCAGTATCAATACTTTTTTGAGTATCGATACTTTTAACAACCCTAATAGTGGAGGATGTTCTTTATCCGGGTGGATCATCTAAATAAGTGGTCCTCCTAAGTGTCAATCATTGTGGTGATATGTTTACGTAAGGCCGTCCTAGGTGTTCATCCCCATTTTCACTTAACGGTGGTGAGTCTGACATAGCTGAAAAATTACAAACCTTTTTTTGAAAAGTAAGCTTGAATGAGCGATACAAACAGCAACATTTAAACAGAGCGAAATGGGCTTGTGCATGCGCTTGCATGCTTTTGATAGACATTCCCTCTCGAGGACAGGTACAGGGTGGAGAGGTTTGTTCTGTAGACACCCTCCTGGAACTGGCCAAAATATTAGGTACATGGGTAAAACAGTTTTTTTTTTTTTTATGTTTTATTTACTTAATAGTTCTAACACACAGTTAAAAAAAGAATATTGGAAATACAGACTTCTTCAACAAATAAGAGATGGATTTGTTCTAGCCAATTTACTATAAGAAGTTTAGTTTAAAAGTGACACAAAAACACACCATCATGATCATTCTTTAAATCTTAAAACAAAAAGCTCTGTCGGAGGAATAACTAGCAAAAACATTCAAATACTGAATAATTAAGTGAATGAAGACAAGAAGTCTTTTTTCTTTATTTTCACAATGTAGCATACATTGATATATAGTTTGGCAGCATCTGTTTTAAAAGTTTAATTTGGTATGTTTAGGATATAGTTCATAAATAATCTTTATTAGAATGAGTGCAAAGAAAAATAAATCAATGTTTAAGTCTGCTAGAGAGAAGTCTGGTGAAAGACCTCCCTAGCCCTACCCTATTGCAACAGTTTAGTTGTTGCTCTCAATTTTTATGATCTCAGCCCAAAGATCTACAGTAAGTCTCCTTCATGTGGACACAAAGGGGCCATTTTACAAAAATGTCAACATCTGTGGTGATGAGCTGTTCTCCTTTCCTGAAATCACCCATTAACCTCCACTCAAGCTTATTTAGATGATTATTGCACAGCTGGGCACAATCAAAAGAGCCGTCTAAAATGTGTTGTTTTGTCACACAGCAAAATGCCACACTGCTAGTTTTGAGGTAGCATGCATTTGACATGTTGACCAGAGGAATGTCCACTAGAGCTTTTGCCCATAGATATTGATTGTTTCTTTCTCTACCATTTTATATTTCCACAAGCGTTTCAGAGCATTTAGCAGTACATCCAGCAACCTCAGAACCCCAGACCATGGGGAGCCACCCTAACCCAGGAGGATTCAGTTTAGATAACCAAGAAACTTCTCCAGATATTGACTCTGTTTCAGATCCTCCCAAATAAAGTGACCCTACATTTTTGAAAGGGAGCATATATAACAACAATAATAGCAGTTATCTCTGTAGTCATGATGTGTGTTCAGTTTGTATCTGTGCTTTGTGTCTGCTGCAGTTCCTCAAAAGATTTAGGTGGCCTTTTCACCTGTCTCCACTCACTGTGGCGTTGGTGGCCGTCTGGCCTCTGATCAGCCACTGGCTTGTTCAACTCTATTTCCTTCGCAAAAGAAGGTAAGCAGAATTTCTGCCTAAAATATTAATATTTTTTCCTGTTTTATTTTTACTAACTCCTCTTTTTCTACTTGCAGGAGAATTCTGTGAGAAGTCTGATGGTTAACGGGGATCAAAGATGCACTGTTGTTGCACTGTGGCTTGTTTTTAGCAAACATCCCAAATGAAGGATGTTGAAGCTTGGGGGAAAAGAAACCTTTTCCAAAGAGGAAACCTTTTAGAAGAGCGTGAAACGGGCTTATTATTGTCTGAAATTTGAGCCCCATCACCAGCACACTGTTAACAGTATATTTGAATGTTTTAGGAATGTATGAATTTATCTGTGTTAAATCTGTTTTATTTTTAGATATTTAAAGACTTTGGGGGACTTCTGCAAACGCCACATGCAAAATTCATGTAACAAGCATTTCATTTAAATTAAGGCTGTGTTTAGTTTGTCAATACAGTGATATGATAAGTATGGAGTTTTACTTACAGCTGAAGAGATGATTAAACATGTGCAATAAGTTGCTGGTAAGAATTAAAAATCTTCGTCCTTGTTTTTGTAGAAATGGTTTGTGTAATAACAATCAAAAGAAAAAAATTATGCTCTGTAAACAAATGAAAACGGATTAAAGGGCACAGAAACACGATGGCAACTAAGGGACTATAAAGAAAGAAGTATTAAAAAGCTGGAATAAGTGTTAGTGTTTATAATCTAATAAATCTTTTGCTACGTAAACCTTATGGGAGTAGAGACAATCTGTATTAGCCTTATCTAAACAATCGTCTTACTAGTTTTGCAGATGAAAAGAAGAAATTGCACACTAATCTAATTGTCATACCTGACTGCATGAAATATGTAGAATATATAATAAAACAATTTTGAAACAAACCTGATTTTATGTCAGTGTTCATACTGGGAAGCGTTTGCTGTTTTAAAAAAAATAAAACAACAAATAATGGAACAATGACACATTTTGTTCACTAAATATTGATTCATATGGCTGAAATATGTTAATAAGGGCTATATCTGACCAAACCACAGGGGTTTATTCATGAGATGACTGTGTGTCCTGCTGCATATTTAGAAAGCTAGCAGTCCGTATTACCATTGCTAACATCCAATTCAGTTTATTTGAATGACGCTAATTCACAACTCATGTCATCTCAGGGCACTTTACCAAGACAATAAAACCAGATCTTACTATTAGATTGGTTCAAAGTTTTGTATCTAAGGAAAACTAGATGATTGCATGGACTCATTCTTCCGAAAGCAATCCCCCACACCGAGCATGCTTGTAGAGACAGTGGAGAGGAAAACTCCCTTTTAACAGGAAGAAACCTTCAGCAAAACAAGGCTTAATGTGAACAATTTAATAACATCCAAATGAAGTGTCTGACTAATCAGCTTCTTTTTCAAAGACTCTTTACCAAAGACTATAACTTCTGTTTTGTCTGCATTCAGAAGCAGAGAGTTAAGAGTCCAACTGAAATTCTTCAAAAAGTTAATTGTTGTGTAAGTGGTCACACACTTGTTTGTCAAGTACCTTCTCAAGAATTTTAGAAAAGAAAAGAAGATTGGATTAGGTCTATAGTTGACCAAGTCATCTGGGTCAAGAGACGCTTTCTAAACTAAAGGTTTAATTACAGCAACCTTAAGAGCCTTTGGTAAATATACCTGTAACAGGGAGAGATTAATGACATTTCAAAGGGAGGAGGAGATCAAAGGGAATACTTTCTTAAATAACCTGGATGGAACATTTGTTAAAAAATAATGCATTAAAATAATCTCAAATGGACCAATGCTACTGGGGTCTCCTTAGAATTTGACCCAGAAACAGCAAATATGCTTAAGCTTAATTTTTAACCGACCCATTTGTGGTTAAACCTGGAGGCAGTATAGTGAGATATAACTCACTATACTGCCTCCAGCTTCATAAAGCTCTCGCTTTATGAAGGGTCATCCCAAACAGCAGTAAACTATTTTTCCAGACTATGTAGGATTCCTGTAGGCCTGTGGAGCAACATTTTCCCTCCAGTTTCCTAGCATTTTGCTTCAAAGTGTGCAGCTCTGTATAAACCAAGGAGCCAGCTTTCTACTTTTAACAGTTTTCATTTTTAAAGGGGTTGTGTTTTCTAAGGCAGTACGGTGAGAACTAGCAACCCCATCAACAAAATCATCAACCTGTAAATAAAAGAAATGTTTGCCCTCTGCAGCACTGCTCAGTGGTTTAGAGGAGAGAGAAAATGGAACAGATTCTCAACATTGATAACTGCTTTATCTGATCATTATCTGCTAAAGTGAAACCTTCTTCTGGGAGAGGACAGGGTTGTGAGAAAATACAAAAAAATAAAAGATATACAAAGATAGAATTTGAAAGAATTAAAGACAGGTTTAATTTAATGCACCCATAGCAAAAGAAAAGTTTAAGGGACAAACATACAAATTCTGTTGTTGTTTTGTTTCTAGGAAAGCAAAATTTATTGTATATTTTAATAAATATGTTGGTTGGCAAGAAAATACACAGAACAAAAAACATAACACATAACATTTACCAAGGCTTACCAGTGGAATGGGTATCTACATTTCGACATGAGGTACAAATAAAATTGGACATTATAAAAAAAATTCAAAATAACTGATTGATTTAAGGCTCTCTTTTTTGTTGGTCCCCTTGTAAATAGTGGATACATATAATTACATTTTTTAAACCAAATTCTGAAAAAAAGTAAGAATGATGAGAACTTATATTTACAAATAAGAAATTTGCTAAATATTATAATTATTTTAATTGCCAGTCTCCTATTTATATTAGTTTTTAAACAAAAAAATAATATGTTTATAGTGGATTAACACGATTTGATTTCATAAACGATAATTAATCTCACTGCCTACCAGTTGGTGGAGGTAAAGTGTTACTTATCGTAGTTTGTTCAACTTTTAAGTCCATAAGAAGAAGAACACGGGGATTATTTTTATTAATAGGGAAACATCAGACAGGGAAATGTGACCGTGTGGGAGATGACACAATGGAACATGTTTTTTTGGGTTGTAGGTAATATTTGATTCAGAGAAACAAGTTAAATAGGAAATTTAGAAATATGAAAGTGAAACTTGAGATTGTTGATTTACTGCCAAAGGAATCAGGAAGCAGAGGATGTCAGGTCATATATGACTTTTTGAAACAGATTAAATTGTATAACAGGATATAGTAGTTTTTTTTGTTTTGTTTTTTTTTTGTCATGTGGTCCACATTCCTTACCAGTTGGTGGCGGTAATGCTCAGCTAACGTTTTTGCCAACCGCCAAAAGAAAAATTATCTAGAAGAAGAAGACAACGGGGACCGTTTTCGCCGCAACACTGTTGGCGTCATATCCGGTCTATTCCCCGGCTGCTGAAGTTCGTAGCTGAACTTGCTATGCCTGCAGGGGAGAAGCAGAGGGAAACAAACAGACACCTGTAACTGTCAGGAACAGAGATATCAGTGAGTCGGCTGCTATTAGTGGACACAGGCGGATGATGTTTTCCTTTTCAATGTCGGTCCAGCCGCAGGTACGGAGCTAACGGGCCGAACTAGTTTTAGCATTGTTGTTGTTTTGTTTCTGACCTACCCCAGTTCCCGTCGCTTGCTAGGTCAGACCCTGCTGCTTATCTAATGAGGATATTGCTGCTCTGTATTAGTTTCTCTTTGAATCTGCAAGCACTTTACACTCTTTGTTTACTCTAAATAAAGCTAATTCCTGTTGACATTTGGATACAAAAAAACTGCAATCCTTGACACTATTTTTCAGTAAGCTAGTGCGCCTGGTGCCACTATCTATAGCAATAACTGGAATACACGTTTTTAGATTGAACTAATATTACTTCTAGGATTTAAAAATAGTGTCTGCTGCTAATTATTTTAATGATCGCAGGTGACTCTACCTCTCAGTCACCTCATCAACATCCTGCATCCCCTGAAGAGCTCAGTTGGAAGCAGCAGCAGTGGCACATGCAAGTCCAGAAAGCCCAAGGAACCTGCTCCAGATTCAGATCCACAATGCACAGAGGTAATTATTAAAAACACTGCTACAATATGCAACTCTAGGTGATGTTCTGTTGATGAAATGTCAGCAAACAATCTGTGTCGCAAGGGAGTGGTTTAAACAAGTTGTTTTTTTTTTTTAAGTCTGATTTCATCAACTTTAACTTTAGAAACCCCAAAGCAATAAATTACAGATCATATTTGACGCATAAATCGAGATTCTTTCCCCTTTTTTAAAAAATTTTTATTAGTTTTGTGTTTTCACAAACAGAAAATAAAAAATTGTACACTGTGTTGCCTATCATCTAACATGAATATGGGATACGGATCAGGAACAAACAAAAAAAAAAAAAAAGACCCACCGTACAATGTCACATTCTCGTTAAATCATGTCTCCAGTGGCCGGCAAACATTAGCAGACATATTTAAAGCCTGACATCAACACAATCATATCTAGCCTGGTGATCAAAGAAAGAAAAAAGATGCATGGTAATACAAAAGGAGGTTGTTCATTAGTTAAGATATGGTGAGGCACTCCACTTCATAGGATTCTGACCTCTCATTCAGTTCTCTTCTCAGTTCTTTTGGTAAATTGCTAAGCAGAGGAGACCACACATCAATGAAATGTTTCTCATTACCCTTAAGAACTCTACTAATCCTTTAATGAAGGAGGACCCTAAATAATTCTCTATACCATTTTGTGATAGTTGGTGGTTTATCCTTAATCCAATTAATTAAAAAGCTTTTTCTAGCCACAAGCAATCATTTTGTCACAAAGTTTGAAGTGCGATTGTGTCAGAGTGACTGATTTTGAAGGGATGCCAAGAAGAAACAAACCTTGGTCACAGCTGATTTTTACATGAAACACGTCACTCTTCAGAATGCTCCCCAGAATCGTTTGATCAGTCTGCATTGCCAGAAATAACGGTAATATGACCAAACCTCTCTTCCACATTGATTGCATAAGGGAGAGACCTAGTGTTCCATCTTCTAAAAATATAAAAGGTGTTATATGTAGACGATTTAGTAGTATATGCAGTGTCTCTCTTAACAAATTACATATAAAGGTAGAATTAACCATATAAATGGCTTCTTGCTAGTCATCCTCGATGTATACTGTGTCAAATTCTCCCTCCCGTTTCTGTGCAATGTCTCCAACACCCTCTAAGAGAGTAGAGCACTGCATAGAAAGCAGAAATAAAAGGCCCACAGTATTTATATTTATCTATAAATCCAAATTTTAATGATTTATATAGTTAAGCTAGCAGTACATTACATGGAATTCAATGAGCTTGCAAGAACACAACTACCACCATGTTGTTACGCCTTCTTATGTGTAGAAATTGAGGGCTCAAAGCTTACTGGAGTGACAGCAATACAGTGGTTAATCGGGGACTGCAGGCTACGGAGGAATATCAGAGGGTTATGGTCAGAGAAAAACAGTCTCAGTCAGGATCATAGTCTACATGCACGCTGTAATGCATTCAGGCCAGAATCTAAAGAAGATTTATTAAGTAGAAAGCCTAAAATACGAAAAACTAATTGAATGAGAGTCTTTGTCAGTGGTGTAGCACAAATGCTTTGATTAATATTTGTGTAAATGAGAGAGATGGACCTTTAAAATTCATACTTTAAAATAGTTTTTTTATTTTTTTTTTCTCTTTTGCGTGTGTTTCTTATATCATTTGGCCTCTTCTTTTTTGCTGCTTTAAATCTGCAGATTTAAATGTAATTAAAGCGTCAAAGACTGCCAAGAAAGCTCACAACAGATCCCTGCACAAACTTAAGACAATTATTTTTATTTTTTATAAGACTCCAACAAAATATTTTAGAGATATTTGGTTTAAAGAACAAAAATATATCAAACTAAACAAAACCAAGAGCATCAGTCATTGACAAATGCTGTGATCATTAGATGTGTAGATGTATATTGAAAGTTTTTTTAGATCATTTCCACCCCTTGCCTCAGTTGATATTTATTTAGGGTTTAATTGTTCAAATTCCTTAATGGTGAATTTTGTAGAAGTGAAATAAACATCATGGTCATGGTTTCATTGATCGCCCCTGTCTCACACTGTATAAAAAACAGGCTATTAACTTCCAAGGGGAAGAAAGGACATAGAAGAGGCCAATCATTCTGAAACCTTAACACACAGTTTGCTCTGTCTGCATTTCTGGTTTACAGTATGCGCTTTCAATGTGGAACCTCCGGGAGCTCGGCTTTTCCGACCTTGGAAAGCCGCAGCTGGATGAGCTGGTGAACCAGATGTTTCCACATTTGAACACACAGGAAGTGTCGTCCCAAGCCCGGGGACAGTCAGCATGGAGGACATCGCATCTCTCCTCTTCCTCCTTTTTCTACAATAAGCACGGTGAGAGCGAACTGCTTCGCTTTAGGGACTGGGGCCTGTTATGTTTTGCTGATCTTCTTTTAGTATTTAAGTCATTTCAAAATTAACAGAGAGCTGTTGTTTTCTGTGTTTTACTCAGGCTTTTCATTGGGCCCCACGCCTTTGATGACTCCTGCTTTCTCAAACAGGCACCTGTCCCCCCTGCAGACAGTCTGCACAGAGCTTAAACACTGGCCAGGTAATTTGATGATTAGTTGTATTTATTGATTTATTTTTTAAAGTATAGACTGCGTATTTCCATCTGTTACAATATTCTGTTTGTGTTCCTATTTTCTTTTAGAAACTCAGATCTTTTCTTTATTGGTTTTTAAGTAATGTTTCAGAGCCGAGGCTTTAAAACTTTAAGGAGCAAAACCAGGCGAGTGCAGTCGGCGTTTGAGCGGCCCGTGGACTCCGAGACTTTCACGCCATCTTTTATAAAGGTGGGGTCTCAAGGATATATGGCTACCAAGTAACCAGCTAAATGGAAATTACAAACTTCAGAGAGTTTCACTGGGATTATAGAATAGAAATAGACTGATACATTGCCTGATCAATTGGCTGTTGTGTTCATTTATGTATTCAGAAGCCATGTCTTGTGATCAAGTATAGTGTTTGCATTGCCGTTCCCTTCTTTTGTTGTAAATAGTTAATGTTTTGTTAGTAAATGTTTCCTTTTTTGTGTAAATTAAGACTTTTGTAGCATTTGTCATCATTGTAAAGTCTATCTCCAGTAAATAGAGGAAGAAAAAGGCATTTAAGAATCGTCCCAAAAATATTGTCCGCAAATATCAGGGATCAGTTAGACTGATGTCAGAATAATCAGCACCAACCTTTAAAAAAAAAAAATTTATCTTTAATTTTCTGTTTTTTATAAACTAACAAAAGTCTAAATTTAGCGTCTTTTGAAAATTAAAAATCCGGAAAAGATTTGGGGTTGCTGTAATCAAGTCACTGTCTGTGACTTCTTTACAAAAAGTCTTTTTTTTTTTTTCAAAGCACTGCGTTTGTTTAACTTGCAATAGCAGGTGCTACTGTATTAAAGGTTTTTTTATGTATTATGTGACCAAATGAGGGAAAACGTTTGAGGTTTTTTAAAAACATTGTACATGTTTCTGTCTTAGTTTCATTAGATAAAAGTGACCTCAGAGACCAGACCTCCATAAAGAATATTTTTCTGTATCCAATCAGATCCTTACATCGTATTATCTTTGAATTGACATTGGGTGTTATTTTTATATGGATATCACCAAGTGGTCTTGTCTTCTACAGGGTTTCCTTACGCGTGATAAAGGCTTTGATGTTGAAAGCCTCGACGGCTTGCTGAAGAACAAGAACGTACCAGATGGACAGCAGGACGCCTTTAAGAGGGGCTTCGCTGAGGGTTTCCTCAAAGCTCAAGCTCTGACGCAGCGAACTCAAGGCAGGTGTTAACACAAGTCCAACAAACAGAATAACTCTGCAGGAGTTTATCAAAACTAATATGGCCCCTTTTGTGGATTCAGACTCTCTGAGGAGAACTCGTCTAATCCTCCTGATCCTTCTTCTGGTCGGGCTCTATGGTCTCTCTAAAACTCCTTTCATATCAGGTAAAGGCCTTCTTATGACTTTTTTTTTCTTATCAACTTTGTGAAATTACATTAAATTCCTTTCAGAGGATTCTGATCCCTTGTTTCTTTGTTCCAATGGAGTTTTGTTTTAACTGTAAACCAAACTGAGCAACTTGCTCCTCTGACTAGATCTCTTTACTGTGCTGGAGTGAACTTTAATCTGAACTTTTTGAGCAGTGCGCTTCCGAACAACAACAGGCCTGGACTCGGCGGTGGACCCGGTGCAGATGAAAAACGTGACGTTTGAGCACGTGAAGGGAGTTGAAGAAGCAAAAAACGAGCTCCAGGATGTTGTGGAGTTTCTGAAGAACCCACAGAAGTTCACAGCCCTCGGAGGAAAGCTGCCAAAGGGTATGATGTTTTTTTAGCACCTGCAGGCTGTCGATAGAACCTCGTTGTTGCTTTTGGACTGTTACTTATTTTTCTTACTTTATTCCCTCTTTATCTTAGGTGTTCTGCTTGTCGGTCCTCCAGGCACTGGAAAGACTCTCTTGGCCAGAGCTGTGGCCGGAGAGGCCGATGTGCCGTTTTATTACGCCTCTGGGTCAGAGTTTGATGAGATGTTTGTTGGTGTCGGAGCGAGTCGCATCAGGAACCTCTTCAGTGGGTACCTTTTCCTTTCTTTTCCGCTCAGAAGTTAACACACTTAAATCATTATCTATGTGTTTAATGATGCCTCTGTCCTGCTTGCACTCCCCGTTTATATATGCATGCATTCCCCCAATATTTGGTTAAATGTTTTTAAACAAGTGGCACATTGATGATGCGCTTTCTCCAACTGTCAACAAGTTTCTAGATAATTCTGGCTGCATATTTGACCACCTTTCCTTTCACTCATTATATTCCCTCTCAGGGGTGCAGCTTTAAAGACAGATAATCAAAGAAAGAAGCATTTCAGAAGCTAAGCTGTTTAAGCTAAGCTTTTTTATTCTTTTTTTTTTTTTTTTCCAGTGGTCATTGTCCTGTTTGAAATTCAGCTATCTGTATTTTTTTTTTTTTTATGTATCACGAACAACATAAATTTAAGTTCATCTAATGAAAGAAAAGTTCTTGGAGGATGATTGAAAATCAGGGTCACTGCCGACTCTGGACTAGAATGCAACTGCCTGCATTAACAAGCTACATACATAATAACAGTAAAATAACTATTTGTCTTCACTGACCAGAATAAAGTTTGGGGGACTTGAGAAGAGGCTTCAGATGTAAGAACACTATAATCGTGGTAATGGCAGCATCAATGTTGAGGGTCTGATTTAACACGTACATGAACTTTGAACACAAAACAGCTGTTTCGTTAAAAGTAAGAATAAGGTCCAAACACACATGGATAAACCTGCAAACATTAATCTCCTGAAAAGGCCCTGTATTTGTTTTCTGAAGTCAGAATATTGACCCACTCGACCTCTAATTAGAGGGTTTCCACTGGAACCAAAGTCAGAATCATAAGTGGGAAAGGAAACAGGATCGTACCAGACTTCTGCGTTCACGATGGCCGTTTTTGGCTGTTTTTGAACAGCTCTTTTATCGTTTAAGTTACAGTTAGTCAGTCATAAAAATACTACTTTTCACAAGATGAAATGAGTCACTGCTGTTTTATACACTCAAAAAACATTTTAGAAGTGTTCAACATTGGAGAATATGATCATCCACAGACAGGAAACTGAAACACAGTCACCTCAGAGATTAGGTCACTATTACTTCACAGTTCCAGGGTAAATCCAATGTCCCAGAAATGGAAGAATGGTCTAGCATCTTGCCAGAACCTCAATAAAGTAAAAACGAATAAATAAATGTTAAACTCAGCATTGCTGGTGGTACAAACACATTTTAGTCAGTTTGGTTTTGTTTTTTCTTTAGTTATGTTTGTATTAAACACAATACACTATATTTAAAAACAATTGTGCAGCAAATGTCATGAAACGCGGACAGATGGACCCAGTATTCAAGGAGAGACAGTCAGTAGGAAAGTTCAAAAGGTTTATTAAATAAAGAAAACTAGAGTGGAGCTGTGGCTCGCGGATACTGCAGGAGGGGGGCGGGGCACCGCCCAATCTCAGACACTCTGGTTTAGCAGGCTGACCAGGTGGTCACGCACAGGAGCAGACAGGATCAGGTGCAGATGAGCAGGCTCAGTGGCAGAGGGTAGCCGAGACAGGACGTGGAACCAGAACTTGATGCAGGAACTTTAAACTGGTCTCCTCCCTGGAGCAGGACACAGGTGAGAGGAATAAATTATAATTGAGACAGGGAGGGAAAACAGCAGGTGAAAGAAATTACCTATTAATGGGGAGCAAACAGGCCAGATCATGACAGCAAAGTCTTGTTGTGTTGACATTGTAACATGATTCCAAAGCATCTTTAAAATTCCCAAATGAATGGTTAATAAACTTCTAACAGGAGCTCTGTTAACATTTTACAGCTGCAGTAGTAATAATGTAGAGGCATGCATTGGGGCGTAACTGCTGTTCTTTGCTGTTTCCTCAGGAGAGGCCAAAGCCAATGCTCCCTGTGTGATCTTCATTGATGAACTAGACAGTGTGGGGGGTAAAAGGATCGAGTCCCCTATGCACCCTTACTCCAGACAGACTATCAACCAGCTGCTTGCTGAGATGGATGGGTAAACTTTCAGAAACAATCTGGGACATGTTTTCATGTTTGTGCAGCTGTTCTCTTCATTTTTATTCTGATGAGGAAATTAGATCACATTCTTGAGCGATTTAATCTTTGCAGAACATAAAAGCGTGTGTTCATACCAGAAGGCTCAGATAATAAACTGTGACTGGACAGTGTGATGTTGACCAGGCATGTACAAACACTGACCTGCTGTTTTCTAGGTTTAAACCGAATGAAGGGGTGATCATCATCGGAGCCACTAACTTCCCAGAAGCTCTGGATAAGTAGGTTTTGGTTTCTTACGGTCTACTCAGAAATCCGATCAAAGCGCTGCAGCCATGTGCTTTATGCTGCTTCTGGGTTTGTCTTTGCAGTGCGCTGATCCGCCCGGGACGTTTTGACATGCAGGTGACTGTACCCAAACCAGATGTTAAGGGGCGGACGGAGATTCTCAACTGGTACCTGAAGAAGATTAAAGTAGATCCAGGTGAGCCGTTAGCATCGGTCTTGTGCTGTTCCTCTCCGGTTAATTCCTACCTACAGTACAGGATGCCATCTTCGTAAAACTATACATACTTCTTGAACTTTATTTAATTTTTATTAAAACAAAATCATGATTTTATTTGGATTTTATGTAAAAAGTAGAGATGCAGCTGTTGGTTCAAAGGACAACTCTAGAGGAGCTGCATACATCCACAGTTCAGACGTTAGCTTCTGTTCATAAATGGTGAAATAAATCTTGGCGTACTTGTATAGAGCTTTATTAAGTCCAAGAGCCCCAAACCTCCTCACACTGCACTCAAGTCATTCACCCATTAGGGGCTGCTGTACACAACTCTCTTCCAGGCCCTCTGAACACCATCAGTATGCAATGCAGGTGAGATGAGGTTCCAACCTTGGCAGGCAAACCTGTTTCATACGCCACTGTCTCCCCTGTGTAGGAAAGCCATTCATTTCACTCTCCAGAACTCCGGCCTTTAGGTAAAAGGCCAATTTATGCTTCTGATGCATAGCCTCTGTAACCGTCAAATCTGTCTCTGTGCCTCAAAAAAATCCTGGCTACACATCGGACGGTCACAAATCCATGCAAACCTCAATTTGAACTGCGCAGACAATAAGAAGCTGTGATTGGTTCTTGGTATGCCTTTCCTGCTGTCTGAGTAGTCATCCTTCTCGATTCAGTGCCAGGGCGCGCCATTTTTAAAAACTGAGGGACAACTACAATGGAAGTACAACCACCTGTACGATGCCTACAAATTATACAAACATGCTAAGGTCTCTGCCAAAACGAAGTTCTCGTGACCATCCGCCGAAGTTCTCGCGGGTTCTCGAAAAAGGCTCCCCCTTGCACTTTAGCGTGAAACTGCTGTGCTTTCCCAGACTTTTGATGTGTGCGGTTGCAGAAGTCTAATCTGCCCTTAAAGGTACATGAAGGGCAACATGGTTGAAAAGCAGAAATAACCCTTTAGTTTGCAATGATTTAGTAGATAGAGCAAATACTGACCTACATGGAAAACGCTGTTTAGTTTTGAAGAGGCTGAATACATTAAAAATAAGAATTATTTTTTTCTCCACTTTTGGGTTCTGCACTACTTTGTGTTGGTCTAACTAGCAATAGGGCTGCAACTAACAGTTATTTTGCTAATCCATTAATTTGATGATTATTGTTTGATTAACTGATTAATAATCAGATAGCAAGAGGTTCCTTAAAGAATACTTTTTACAGAATTTAAACCCGGTGAAACTAAAACTTCTGGGTAGAGCATATTGATACAAAAAGATTTTTTTTTTTTTTTTTTTTTTTTTTTTTTTTTACCTTAAATGAAAAATATTTACATATCTTTTTTTTAAATTAAAATGTAGGTATAATTACTGCTCTAAATGGTTTTCTCTGTCAGCTAAAGGCATGTTTTAGTCTCTTTAAAAAATAAAATCCATTACCGAATCGGTTGACTTATTATTTCAATAATTAATTAATGATTACGGTACTAAGCCCTACCTAACAACAGATTCTTATGATGCAAAACATTTAGTAAATAGTTTAAGAAATTTTGGCCGTCAGCTTTTTCTAATGCTTATGATGTATTAAGTTAAATCATTCAAACCAAATCATCTCCATGACGACATGTCTGCTCTGCGTTCTCCCTGCAGCCATTGAGGCCAATCTTATTGCCAGAGGAACCGTTGGATTTTCCGGCGCCGACCTGGAAAATCTGGTAAACCAGGCCGCCCTGAAGGCAGCAGTTGATGGCAAAGACATGGTCACTATGAAGGAGCTGGAGTTTGCCAAAGACAAAATACTCATGGGTGTGTAAAGAGTTGCTAGTGGCGATCTGATGACCCTGCTTCTGGAGATAATGATATGCTTCGTCATTGTTACCTCGCCTCCCTCCTTTCTCCTCTCTTTTCTCCAAGGCCCCGAGAGAAGGAGTGCAGAAATTGACAACAAGAACAAGCAAATCACGGCATATCATGAATCCGGTCACGCCATCGTGGCGTATTACACCAAGGACGCCATGCCGATCAACAAAGCTACCATCATGCCCAGAGGCCCAAGTCTGGGACACGTAAGGAAAATCTGGACCTGTTGCTGAAGTGCTTCTTTAAGTTTTATCTATTATTGCTGTGCAGCAAACATTTGACTTCCTCTTCATCCTACAGGTTTCCATGCTTCCAGAGAACGACAGGTGGAGTGAGACCCGTTCTCAGCTTCTGGCACAGATGGATGTCAGTATGGGCGGCCGTGTGGCAGAGGAGATTATATTTGGCCATGAGAACATCACAACGGGTACGAACCATTGATGGGAGATTGATGGCCATGTTAGTGTGTGTGTGTGTTAGGAAAGCTCATGCTAAAGGAGATTAATTCTGGTTTTAAAGGAGCATCAAGTGACTTTGATAGCGCTACCAGGATTGCTAAGATGATGGTGACCAGATATGGGATGTGTGAGAAGGTAAGAAAAGCAAATTATTAATTACAAAATGCATTGCACTGATTTAGGTTCTGACTTTTCCTCCTCGTCTATCAGTTAGGTGTGATGACCTACTCTGACCTGACGGCGCAGAGTCCAGAGACACAAGCTGCTGTGGAGCATGAAGTCCGGGTTCTTCTGAAGGTCCGCCTCCATCAAATTTAAAAATTCAAACCTCTTTAGCTCCTCTGATGCTTAAGTAACACCTTTTGTCCTGCTGCTTCTAGGATTCCTATGAGCGTGCCAAAGCCCTGTTAAAGTCTCACGCCAAGGAGCATAAGAACCTGGCAGATGCTCTGCTCATGTATGAGACGCTGGACGCCAAAGAGATTCAGCTGGTTCTGGAGGGCAAAACCCTGGAGACCAGATAAAACCCGCAGGGAGGAGCACGAACAGGAAGAGAGGGGTGGATAGATTTTAAAGAGAATGGGATCAGATGCATTTAGCAGGAGGGTCGTCTTTTAAAAAGTTCTTCACTTTAAGTCCTCATGATTTCATAGAATCTCCCAAACTAGAAGTGCTGGTGTATTTAAAGCAACGACAGCAGGTTGATGTTGAGTCACAGATGCGGACATGCTTATATTCCGCTCCTTCTGGGAATGATGTGTGTTACACCTAAGAATAAATCTGTTTTGTTTGTTTTTGCCATGGGATAATGGTTGAAAATCAACTTAAATGTGTGCACTTGCTGCGTATACACTGAAAGTTAAAGTTAAATTTAATCACTGATGGCACTTTTTTTTTTTAGTATTAATTCAAGGGTTACCTTGTTGCTAAAATGCTGCGTTTAAAAATGGATTTAAAAAAGATAATTTCTCCTTTCGGTGGAAAATGCTTTCTTTTATCAAACGCACTATTTCCATATTAAATTGGACTAACAACATCCAGGTATTTAAACAAGGTGGAAAACATCGTAGGACACATTCTTCTTTTTATAAAGCCTCCCTTTTTTCAAAAACATCAAACTACTTTGGTTTGAAATGTCTTTTGGTTTATCATTGAGGTGTAAAGAATAAAGAAAATGTATTTACAGATCTTTTCCCAGTATAAAAGAGGAATCAATGTCTCCTTTCATTTGTAGTTGTTTGATACAGCAAATCATATCTCATTTTTAAGCGTAATCTTTTCTTCAATCTGTACAATTGAAGGAAATGAATGATTTTTTTTACAGTATTGCAAAGTTGGATCATGCTACTACTATAAAACAGACTGATCTAATTGTTTCCACATCTTTCCCAGAGAAGCCAACCAATATGTCCATGTCTGTGATCAGCACGTTGCTCAGGTTGTTTTATCAATTAGTGGGAAGAAATTATCCATGAATGTAAACATAAATGGAACAACTGTATTTTTTTTTTTTCTTTTCCGGAAGAGAATGTCAAAGAATTGAATTTTGAAATGAACAGCATTGTGAACTTGGAGTCATTTTTGATATGATGGGAAACCAGTCCAGCCATTATACAAATACATTCATGTTTTATCTCTGAGGGGATTTCATAGATGTTCTCGTTTCCTTGCTTCACCAGTTTCCACAGGTTTCTGTTGCTCCTTTATAAAGGCGGCCTACATGTGAATGTATAATGAGTCATTTGTTTTCCAGTGCATTACTGTTTGTGCACTTTATGTCTAATTTTAACGTAAATAAATATATCCTTATTTATTTAATTTGGCTTTTTGGAAGCCTTTGAGTGAATTTCCTGTAATTACAAATGTGTGGAGTGAAGACAAATCAAATGTTTTTCTTTTTTTTTTGCTTTGTCTTTCTATTCCTAATTGCAGAGCAATATTCAGTCCACTTCTGCTTATGTAAGCGATGTTTCTTTTTTTTTTAAGAGTGAGCAATTATATGCTCTGGCTGGATAAGAGGCACTTCAGCAATAATAAATGTGTCAGGTTGTCTAAAACTGACTGGGAAGCAGCATTTTTGACTCTAGAAGATGTTGATTTATTCAGCTGCTTCTGTGGTTCATGTCTGATGCAACATACTCCAAGCTTAGACCATTATTTAAAGGTTATCGCAAGAGTTTAGCTTATTCTTCACCTTGGTCTCAGTTTTAAAGATGGTTTTCTCAGTTTATTAATCTCTCTACTTTGCTTGGCATGTAAATACTGTACGATTCAGTGCTGGGAATCCTGTATATAAATGTATAGGAGTGCTTTTATGCTGTGTGCACTCTGAATGGCTCCTATCTGTAGATCTCTTCCACTGTGTTATGATAACGACTGGTAATGCGTAGCAGAAACACCAAACTCCAAATAAAATATTTAAATTGAAGACTTGTATCATCTTTGTGGAAAGTTTTAAAACAATTCTTTCAAATTTGCCTTTTAATCAGTGGATCAATAGGCTAAATAACAATTCATTCCGTTTCTGTACATTAAACCAAAACTATTTTACCTGCTTGATGTTGTCTGACTGGTTTGATAAAAGGGATTTCATGATTTCCCATATCTGATAGGAATTGTGCTTGGATGTGGCTTGGAAAAAAAAGTACCCCAGTTTTTTAAATGAAATTTTCAAACAGTGTTTATTCAGGATTCTATGAGGGGGGGTGAGTAAGTTTTCAAAATCTATCCAAACCTAATGTAATGTTTGTTTTAAAAAAGAATTCGGGTTTTAAGCCTAACCTTCTTTTACAATCTGTAACATTTAAACTTAAAACAGAAAACACATGGCAATATGTTCTAAAAGGAGCAAATACTTTTTCTTATACATGTTTCATGCATTTTACTAAAATATTGAATAGAACAATAATGAGACTAAAGATAATGCCTGAAAGCTACTGTGTATGTTGGGCATGCAGCATCCTGTATCATACCATTAGGCTCAACCAGGACAATAAATGTATAACACTGCTAGAACTTAATAAAAGCACCAACCAGTGTGAGAAACACAGGAATGAACACAAGGCCATGGAGCAAACCAAAACTTATCACGAGGAACATAATCTTAAAGAAGGTCCTAAAAATGTAGCTCCCAGACATCGATAACACCACCACACCCAGAATGGTGGACAGCGCTCCTTGCATTATAGGGTACCCCAGGTGGCTCAAAGCCTCTGCAGCTTTCTGGTCCACGTCCCTCTTGGGACTCGAAACAAAGGCGTATGAAATGTGCGCCGAGAAATCCACAGAGAATCCGATGCTCATAATCAGGTTGATCATGGAAATGGTGTCCAAACTAACCCCCCACAGTGACATGAACCCAACAACGCCTACAACTACAGAACAAATTGCAAAAGCCACACAAATGGAACAAAGGGGGTTTGGTATCAGTATGAGTGAGACAAGCAGCATTGCAGAGACGGCAATAAGGACGGTCTGAATGGTGCTGTCTGAGATAAACATGTATTGGTCAAAGTAGATAAAGGCAGGGTGGTAAACCAGCAGCTTAAAGGGACAGTCCTCTGCAGTTCTCCTGAGTTCAGTCATTATTTCATTCAACGGGGAGTGGGTTAGTGTTTGAAGAAAGAAACGAGAAGCCTGAATGGCTTTTCCTGAAGTTGAATTGAGATCTAGTTTAAACATTGGGTTAAGCTCCAGGAAGTTAGCCAGGTGGGAGAAGAAGGTTTCCTTGGAGCTAATATTCAGATTAGAAGTGCCTGCATAATGTTTGAAGGAAGTAAACCAAGCGAGAGTGTTGTTTACAAAGTTCAGGTTTTTAAAAGCTGAAATGCATGAGTTTAGATCCCTCTGGTCATCGTCATCCCAGTAAGAGATGGGTTGCTTCACTGCCACCATCACATTGTAGCCGTATTTAGAGAAGTGCTGCTCTTGGTGATTGTAGTATCTTATGAGGTAGGAGTCATCTAAAGCAAGGTTCTTGATGTCGAGTCCTTCTTTAAGCAGGTGAATACCATAGATGCTTAAAACCAAATAGCCTGAATAGCACACAAACACGAAAACTTTATACCCTTTGTGGGAGAGACACTGACTTAAGAACTGCTGAAGAAAATAATCGATGGGTTCAGTTTCCTCCTTCTCAGTTGTACGATTGTAACCACCCCCAACACAGCACGCCCTGAAGGCTTTTGAAGATCCGCTTGGAAAGTCCTCTGGTACTCTGGCACAGGTGAACCAGTGTCTGTTCTCTGCTTCCCTCCGTCCATTCAGAGCCATGCACGCGCCAAGGAAGGTGATGCTGTACAAATAACAGAAGCAGACACAAATCCCAGCATAGAGACAAAAGGATCGGACGGAGCCAAATGGCGAGCTGCAGCCCAGGAAGAGAGACAGAGCATCAGTGATGGTGGTAATGGTTACAGACACAGACGCATCTCTGTAGGTCACACCCATTCGGTCAGGAACTGTGTCCAGAACGCGGCTCCTCTGCCAGCAGGAAATCATGATGAACATGTCATCCAGCCCAATTCCTTTATGTTCAAAGTTCAAAGAGGAATAAGAGTCATTCACGTCCTGTCAGACTTTAGAGAAAAAAATGGTCTTGTTTGTATTTTTTACTCACCTAAAATCATGAAAGGACAGGATGCAGCTGTCATGACAAAGGGTTGTCCGAGCAACAGCAGCACGCCAAACCCACTCAGAATTGCTAGGCCTGTGCAGAGAACTCCACAGAAGGCCACCCAAACCTTTGTCCTCACATTGTCTGACCTTAACAGAGAAAAAAAACTGTTATTTACAATAAAATTACAATCATAAAATGTTTATTCTTCTAACTTCTTACCTACCTCCAACAAGTTAGTATTGAAAATGTGACGACAACGGCATAAGTGATGGAGAATAAATTGATGACAGAAGCTGGAGACCTCTCAAATTCCCACTGCATTGACTTTGAGGTGGAAAATGAAACCTAAAGTAAAATAGTGTTGATAAATTAAGCAAAAAACATTTAACAAACCTGAAACTCTTAAAAAAACCATATATGTTCTGCTTACCTGGAGAGAAGATGATGACTCGCTTGAAAGCAAGCTGATAAAGCTTTCCAGCCAGAGGTTATTCTTTGCATGGTTGCTCCCCTCTAAGTAGTAATGAAGCTGCACTGCTTTAGCGCTTTCAATAAATGAAGTCTCTCTGTGAACTTCCACGCTCCCCAGGCTTAGGTATAAAGGTATAGATTTACGATCAGTGTGATACCATGGAAACGTTAAGTTGACAGACTCCACATTGCTGGCATTGTACTCGATTATATCAAGGAAATCACTTGAGGCACAGGAGTCCATCACTTTGGCACAGATGTCTCCATATTCAAAAGAATGGTTGCCAAACTCCACCTGCATGCGCCTGATTCTCAAGTCCAAATCTAAGATGTTGTGAAGCGACTTAGTGGTTAGAATATTTCCATCACTTGTTACTATGACAGTGCCGTAGCTCCCATCGGTGCTTAGCCTAAGACTTGAGAACATGGAGCCGTTTCTCGGAAAGGTTTCTTCCACGTATTTCCTCTCCGTCTTGGCCGGTCCATCAGCAGGTGTAAACTGTTCTTCAATGTCATTGGACATGCTGTCCTGGAGGAAATAAAAGCCACTTCCCAGAGCAGAGGAGACGATGAGCGGGGCGAACAGGAACCACCAGGGATGGGAGCCAATAAAACTGCCCATCATCTCAAAGCACATCCGCAGAGGCTTTTCCACACAGTCCGTTTGGCATCTTGCCATAGCTCTAAAGTTTAGTCAGAGGTCCAATACGATTTAGGGTCAATTAGAGGCAAGGGCTCTTCAACATGAAGGGAGAGATCTGCAGGTTATATGCTGAGCTGTATTTATGGTGCTGCTTTTTCCCTTTTGCTCCCCAATGAGCTGGAATTTGCATAATTACAGGGTTAAGAACAAATGTTATGGGTTATAGTTTAGAACAGATGTGGTAAGAAGAGACCCACAGGCATCCGATTAAGACATTGGTTTATTGTTTTGTGGTTCACTGGTTTCAGCTCTGAGACTGGTTAGCTTTTCACCCAGAGGGTTTCTTTTCATGGTTAGGGTAACATAATTGTTGCAAATAAGGGGGTGTTTCAGAGTTCAGATAGTTTAGGTAGGAAACCAACAAAGGTGCATTGTCTTAATGTTGTTAAACTACACAGAACCTGCTCTTCCATTTAACCCAAATAGTCCACTATTCAGGGTCAACAAAGAGTGATCTTAACACCATTACCTACATGAGAACATTTGTGTGAAATATTCAAATATTAAGAGCGCCAGAATGAGAAAGAGAATGACTTGGGCTCAGATCTTATTTGTTTTTGTTTTTTTTTATCATAAAAGTACTTCTAAACAAGCAATCAATACATTTCCTTTGCATCCCTTAATAGAGTTAAAATCATGGGTAGGGATTAGTTGGTTCTGATTTAAAACATCAGGATGACTTCAAAAATATTGGGGCTTTTTTTTGGATTTCTAAAAATATTCTGACTTTGAGTTTAGTATTTAGGCTTCCCTCTAATTTCTATGGGCATTTTTTACAGTAAATTGTAAAGGTTCATTCATTTAAAAAAAGCGTTTCAGTAACATTAGAGACACAAATGTCAGAATTTGGCTCAATCTCATATAAAGAACATCTTACATTTCATCTTTTAAATTTATTTGATCTAATTTTACAGGTATAAAACAAACACATCGGTGATATTAATATTATTGCATGGTTTTTGAAATTAATGGATTATTATTCTAAGTTAATTGAGATTAACTATGGAAATGAATGGGCACAATTTGTACAAATCTCTTGTCAATTTTAAATCAATAAAATATTATTTTCTGAAGACAGTATATTAGCCCCTGTTTACATTGAGTTTGTTTCTGATCTTTCTTTGTATTTACAGAAATAATTTTCCTAATTATTGTTATTAAGATAAATAAATAAAAAAGTATATCTGCTGGCTGTGGCTCAGTTTTAACGAAGAGTTTTAACAAACCGATGGTCGTCTATAAGTTTAACTTTTGTTGATTTTGTGATAATAAAAAATCAACAATCACTGCAAGACAGAAATACAAGCTACAAAAAATAAAATAAAATACACAGAAAAATAAATATCAATAAAAATTATTTTACCATAGACTTTTACCTAAATTCATCTTTTTATTGCCTTTTTTTTCTGCTCACATTTGGACAATTTCCCTAAATTGTCTTGATTGTTTTTTGATCCAACTAAAATAATTTTGAGCAAGCAGGTATAAGAAGACACTTGATTAGTGGATTTATATAACATTTCAAAGCAAAAGACTGGATTTATTGAAATCATTGTTTATCAGAGCAAGATCGTATGGAAGCTGCTAAAGCCCAGTCATGCCAGTCTCCGATGAAAAAAGGAAATGTATTTAACAGAATTCTGATTTAACTATCTCATAATACATAATAAACTGTTTTGTATAAATGTTATGTTTTGGGATACATTGTGTTCATTTATTTAGGCTTTCTTTGGTTTCTTCCATATGCAGTTAATGAATGATCAAATATATAAAATATATATATATATACCAGACCAAGATTTATGACGTAAAAAAGTATGATTACAGTACCTTTCCTATAGTTTAAATACCACAGCAGTTCTTCTGACACATAAAATCCTCCCTAGAAGTGGTGGTCTAATTCTAGCTAACATTATGTTCTAATAAACTGGAGTTAATTTTACAACCTATTTGGTAATTATGAGATACTCTCCCATTACGAGATTTCATCATCATCATAATCAAATCATAATCTCATTATTATGAGATATCTCACTTATCCTTATGAAGTATAACTTTTTTTTTTTTTTTATTAGAGTGGCAGAATTGGGCTCCCATATAGGAATGAGACATCCTCATAGCGCAATGGAGGTTCTAGAACAAATATATCAGCAGAGCCAACATACATGATACAAAAAAGGGCAACAATTCATCATTTAATGTACTAGGAGCCACATGTGTATTTAAATTGAAAGAGGAGAAATGTCCTCCTCATTTATTGATATTCAAATTTCCTGTTGTGTCAATTGAAAATGGGTAACTGTGGTTTGAAACTGCTAATTTCACCTTAACTAAAATGAAAACTTCCTTAGGAAAATTAACAAAATAAGTAAATATCTACTTTAAGCCAAAGGTGATAGTGTTTCCTTGAACACAGGATTGGCTGGCCATTTGATGATAGGTGCATCCAGTGATGTGACAGCATGAACCGAGTGGCTGCTGTTTCAAACAACAATGATTCCCACTCAATATTTAAATATGATAACATTGTTGCAGAAATAACAGCTTCAAAACATATAAAAAAACAAGATAAAGTTAAAAACCAAGGTGTTTAACTTTGTTTAATTTAAAGGATAACTGATGATGTGCTGTATTACTACAATTGTACGAACTAAAGGGAGAGCACTAGAAATCTTTAAAGACTAAAAAGACTAAAGAAAAAAAATATATTTTTTTGAAATATTATGGCCAAGTAAATTTTTTATTTTAAAAGAAAATGATCAGGTTTGATCAATTTAGAATTAGAACTTGAGCAAATCGGATAAATTCAGTTAAAATCGAACTGTAAAGGTAAGAAAAATAAATAAATAACTAAAAAAAAGAAAAAGGTGCAAAGGACCAATCAGTAATGGTGTCTGTGCGAAATCATATCAACATAATAAATTCACCACAACCTCCACACCTTTACAGGGAAAAAGAAGTCCTCGCCTATTCAGCCAGGCCAACAATTCCCGTTAACGACACCCCGTTCAGAGACACAGACAGGTATGGGGCATTGCAGGCTAACAAAAGAAGCTAAAAAAAAAACATTCCAAAGGAGTGGACCCGTTCGTCCTTTTCAGTTTACATATTTTCTAAATAAAAACAAGGCTTTGATGGGCTCCTGTATTAAACCTCCAATTCAACGCTATTCCTGACAATCTGAATTAAAAAGATTCCTGGATGGGAAGCGAAACGTCTTCAAACTTGGAAACAAATTCCAGTGGGTTGTTTTTAACCTTTTTGGATTAACTATGACCTGGATGACTGAGAATCTTGCCCATCATAATAAATTAACTTTGAATTATATTTTAGCTACAGGGGGCAATAATAATTTAACTTTATTGATTTCTAATTGGAGAAATTTACCTCAGCATTTAATCCTTCTCCTTGGGGAGCAGTGGGCTGCCATCGTGGAGCGCCCGGGGAGCAGTGTGGAGTTAAGGGTCTTGCTCAGGAACCCAGAGTGGTGGCTGTGGGAATTTAAGCGGGTAGTTGGAACCTTCTCAGACATGGGCGGTTCTAGACAGGGGCCAGTGCCCTGTACTGAACACATAATACTCAAAGAAATTCTGATGATGATATGTGCTGAAACAGACATGGTTACTGATAGGTCCTTAGGATATATCTCTTTTTTTTTCTTTACAAATTCTGTTTTACTAATTATTTAAAAACAATAAGTTGATAGCTTCAGTGGTATTGAGAAAGCATCCCAGTTTTCATCTGCTAATTTTTTTTAAACTAATTTAAAAAAATAATCATATTTTTAAAGCTGAATTTATCAGTTTTTTTATTTTTAGTTCTAATTCAGATTTTATAGAAACCGGTAATTTTAACTTAAATTAAGTCAAAATATGTAAAATTTCTAAATTATGAATGTATATTGACCTCATAAGACATAGAATTTTAATTAAACCTAACTGAAATTAAATTTCATTTCATGCAGCTCTCTTAATATATTTCCATCCCTTGCCCTGTTTTTTATTTCATGCTTTTCTGTTCCCGCATGAAAACACACTGGCCCCCTCCTGGCCCCCTGGTACATTTGGTCTAGATCCGCCACTGTTCTCAGAGCACAAACGCACTGCTCTGACCACTAGGTCAACACTAATGGTGTAACAACACAGCGATAGGCCCATAAGCAACATTATCTGGGTGGGCCCCATATGAAGTACATATATGATCACACATCCCACACAGAAAAATAATGACTGCGCACCTTAAATGGAACCACTGGTGACAGCATAGCACAACATGTTACAGACATCCCAAGTTCCAAAAACTTATTTCAGGGAGAAGCTTGTCGAAGCTCTGGATAACCCGTAATTCCAAGTCGTAGTGTAAAAAATAAAATACTCAAATACATCGTTCTTTTAAGATCTTTATTGCTGTTTGAAACATATATGGGTGTATTTTTTACCAACCGTCTAATTAACTATACACAGTTATTAACATAATAATTAAAAGTACCACTGCCTGCTTTGCTATTGGTGTCGTGTTTAAACGGCTCACCATCATGTTGGAATCTGGCATGTGTTGGGGTATAAATAAGGTCCTGTGTGGTCAGTCACTTCAGATTCAGGTGGGTTTCTGCAGGGGCGGAGCTAGATGGGGGGCCAGGGCCAATCATTGGCCACCCCTGTGGCCACCCCAACCATTTTTTCCCTATAATACAGATGGTGGCAGCAGTAATACTTTCAAGTAGAATGTTTTAACTTATTTAACTTTTTAATTTTCTATATTTAAACAATTACCTGACAACAAAAACACTGTGGTTAATTATGCACATAAATATACTAACATTAAAGATGATAAATACAGAATTCATTCTCTTTTCAGAACTAGATTTTGTCTTATATTGGATAAAGAGAAAACTATGTCTCTGCAAGTGATCTAGGACTCTTCACTGAAATTGGAGATAAATAACTATTTTAATGACAAGTAATCCATTTAATATAGATATTAGAACATGTAAATATTAGTTTTATGAAGAATAATTATTAATAAAAGTAGGTAAGGAATGACAAAGGAAAAGATGTTCACCCCAGAACTCAAAACTGAAAGAATTTTGTCCTCTACACCTTTACTTTAGACAGCATGGATGTTTAAATATATGCGTCTGTTTGTTAGCAAAGGCTGTAGGAAAGTTAGTCTTTATTTAGAAAATATGGATGTTTTAATTGTCCATTTTCCTTTTGGAACAGATTGACCCTGAGGCTCTGGAACCATATCCGCTTTAGGCCACCCCTCAGTGTACATTGGTTATTGCCTGGCCACCCTTATTAAAATTTTCTGGCTACACCTCTGGTTTTATGAGGGATTTTTTGTTCCATTACATCTGCAAAGAGAAGTCCTTGTGTGGGGGCCTATCAGGTGTCAGTGATGGGGCCCATAAGAGGTTGTGGGCCCTTAAGCAATTGCTGTCTTTGCTTACCGATAGTTACGCCATTGGCCAACACACCCCAGGGCCAGGACCAGTTCTACATGGGCTCTGGCCCCTGTTGGCCCCCCTCTAGAACCGCCCTGGCCTGTTGAAAAAACGCATGGCCTCTTTGTTTATGTTTTTGGTCTATTAGGGCTGACGAACGCCGTGACGTCAGGCGTTGCAATAGATTAGGCGGAAGTTGGTCAGCCAGCAGGCAGCTGTCATCGTAGCCGATAGCCGCCTGCTGCTGGAGAGAATAAACAATAATAAAACTAGTTCAATATCTGTCGCTTAAAGGTGGAGGTCAGGTCAGCAGCAGAAAAACATGGATGAAGACGTGTTGACCACATTAAAGCTGCTGATAATCGGAGAAAGCGGAGTGGGAAAGTCCAGGTTAGTGTATGCTATTAGCATGTTAGCGGCTAGCCTGTCTTTATGTTGACAGGATTCTAGTCGTTGCGTAATTTTTATTCTTCACTGTCTTCACTGCTCAGCAGCTGTTTGTGTTCTTGAGATTGTGTTTTCTACCTGTTCAAAACAAGCTGAAAACTACCAAAAAGTTACTAGTTGGCTTTGTTACAGAAACATTTAACAAACAGCTGTGAAAGTTTCTGTTTTCTATCTTATTATCGCGTTTAACTTTGAAGGACCGATGCTGGACATTCAGCATCACAACTGTATATTTTTGTTGTTGTTTAATCTGCCGCTAACAGGAAGCTGTTTTTATTTTTAGTTCAGTTTTGTTTTCTTGCAAACAATACAATAGCCAACTGTGCTGAATACTCATTTGCAATTTATCTTCATATCCCCTGACAGCCTCCTCCTGAGGTTCACAGACGATACATTTGACCCAGATCAGTCCGCCACAATAGGTTCTACACTCACTCATTTATTACACAAACTGTTACAGATCAGAAATATTTTCTCCTTTATCCACATTCTCGTTTCTTTATCATATTTAAGGTGTGGACTTCAAAGTCAAGACACTCGCAATTGAAGGAAACAAAGCAAAACTAGCTATTTGGGTAAGTCTCTGCCCCATCATCTACACAAACATATGGCACAATATATAGCTGGGAAAAACATGGTGAAGTTAACCTTTGTGGCCACACGGTGGCGACATTGCTCAGCAGAATATACTGTTGATGACAAAGCTGTTCTTGAGCTGCAGCTATGTGGCCTAGTTCTTTGTAAAATTTGAATCTCCTTTTTATAATGGGATTAGAAACTAATCCTTATTAAAAGTAACTACAGGTAAAAAGATCAACAACAATTGGGGCTTTTTTTGGACTTTTAAGGACTATTAATGCAATGATCCATTTATTTGTTTTTTGAGCACCTGTACATAATAAAAGGGGATCTTTTCATGAAGCTTAAACAGTGCATTCTACTATTTAATGGCGGCTCCAGAGATTTTTATCTACAGGTGCTAAAGGGGAGCTGAACATTGAACTGAGGATGCTATAAATCGTCCTTTTCTATTCAATTTTTAATTAAATTCAGTTTATTTCTATAGCACCAATTCAAAACACATGTCACCTCAAGGCACTTTACAGTTCACCAGATCAAACAGTCAAATTGATTCAAAGTTTTCTATCTAAGGAAAACCAGTTGATCCCTCACACTAAGCATGCTTGTAGTGACAGTGGAGAGGAAAATCTCAATTTTAACAGGAAGAAACCTCCAGCAGAACCAGGCTCGGTGTGAGCGGCCATCTGCTGAGTGGGGTTCAAGGAGACAGAAGCAGAGATGCAAAAAGCAGCTGTAAAAGGCCCCGTCCAGGAAAAACACAGCCAGGCAGACGAGCTCTGAGCCAGCTCCCATGTCAGAGGATGAAGAGAGCACATCCAGCCAGTCTCAGTCAGAGAAACAGGACTACACTGGAAAAACAGGCCAATCTCCAACATCTATAAACAAAGGTGTTGATGGAAGCAGCACAGCTGATATTTCTCTCTAGGATGGAGTCACAGTCAAACAGGAACAGACAAGGCAAAGCTACTACGAGGAAAAGCAGAGAGAACAGAAGGTTAGAGATTGAACTAACAGATTCTGCAGAGTGGGAGAATAGAGACAGAATGAAGCAAAATGGTGAAATAGGGGCCCCTATGTCCTCCAGAAATCTGAGCCTATAGCAGCATGACTATAGAGATAGCTCAGGATAACCTGAGCCACTCTAACTATAAGCTTTATCAAAGAGGAAAGTTTTAGGCCTAGCCATAAAAGTAGACAGGGTGTCTGCCTCACGGATTAAAACTGGTAGTTGGTTCCACAGGAGAGGAGCCTGATAACTAAAAGATCTGCCTCCCATTCTACTTTTAGAAATTCTAGGAACCAATAGTAAACCTTAAGATTGAGAGCGAAGTGCTCTGTTAGGAACATAAGGAACAATCATATCTCTAATATAAGAGATATGATTTTGGTACATTTGTAATGCACACAGATGCAAATGAAAACAGAAGTGTGCCAACAACTCTTAAATCTACAAAAGCCAATATTAAGATGGATCATCGATATGTGGTGTTCTGATATTCAAATAAAACATATGAAGTACATGTATAAAGTGTAAAGTGAAGTATACAAGTTGTTAGAATCAGTTCACTGTATTTTGTTTTCCTGAAGACAAAAAAGTGACTAGATGGGGAATTCACCAGTGACATTTAGTGAAGTCAATGTAAGGTTATTTGTTAATAATATTTAGAACTACCTATAAGAGGTAAAATTATTTATAAATATTTTGTTAATTTAAATCCCCCCAGTGGTTTTTACTTTACTTATTTACTTGGTTTTTTTTATTGTGTAGAAAAAAGCCAGATGTTGCAAATAAAATACTAGACAGAAAACTAATTTATCCTCTCAAAAATCCGAATTAGGCCAAATTAAAGTAGCAGTCATTCGTAGGAATCATCAACTGGATTTAGAAAAGCACAGAAATGATTAATTTAGGACATATGTCCTAAGTTAATCATTTTTGTGCATAGAATAAAATGGAATAGAATAGAGATAGATAGAATAGATAGAAAGAGAAATAAAAATACTTTGAAAGTACAGGATTCCAAATCATATATGAAGTAATGCCATAAATGGTAGAAAATATGTATTCATATGTTTATAGAAATTTTAATTACCTTCACAGAACATTAAATGGTCTCGACATTCACACTATATGATATTTGGACACTTGACAATAAAAAAAAAAAGGTACAAAATAAGTAATTCTTCTTTTGCTATGTATAGAGTCTGTAGAAGAGGTACGACTGATTTGGTGTATTTTTATGCATTCAAACTTTTTGTTTCTCGACTTGGACAAGCTTGGTTATTTTTACACCCAGGGTGTATACAAAACGAAATTTTGTTTAGTACTGCTCTCAAGATTCTTAGGGCGTAGATGTGATAGAATGTAAACATGATGATCAATGTAAACATAAGACTAAGATATGATTTACAGTTTTTCCAACATTTTTTTTTTTTTTGGAATCTGCTGGACCTGTATCGAATGCTTCAAAGCCTTTTTTAATAGAAAATTGATTTTTATAAAATTGGAACTGGAATATATGGAAAATAATCTTTCTTATTTTTTCTTTCCAAGGACACAGCTGGACAGGAAAGGTTTCGTACGCTGACACCCAGCTACTACCGCGGTGCACAGGGAGTCATACTCGGTAAGTAGCTGAGCCTTTCGAGCTTAACAGGTCAAATGATCCCCACCTCTTCATTTTTGTCATGTCCACATTCACAGCCTTTTCCATTCACCACAGTTATAATTGTTTACTGATAAACTTATCCTTAAAATAAATCATGTTTGTTGACCTTTCAGTTCCCTCTACTGTCATGAAAACCATTTTCCCCTAAGTCCAGTTAATTATAACTTAGTTACATAATGGTTTCAAAAAGGGACACATTTTATTTCTGATTAATATTTACCATTCTAAGTAACACCGTAAAACTATTGACTATGTAGTAGCTTAGCTTGATATAAATTAAAATTATTTTTCAGCTCACTTTGTTCTTGTTGATGCAAACCACTCCTGTGAGTTTCCTGCCTATTTACCTTGAGACTGTTAGATTTGTCAGTCAATGAGTCATGTGACCTAGAGCGCCACTTTGCAGCAGCCTGAGCTCCTTTTACAGATCAAACCTAAAAATGAGAAAGTATTTGTCAGCCAACAAAACGAATATGAAACTTTCCATTTCATATATATTTTTGGTTTCTCTGATGTAGGATTTAAATGTTTCCTTGTCTTTAAAAGTAACTCCATGACTTCTTTTTTCACTGATCCGAAGTGGTCAGCTATCAGATTCCAATACATGGAGGGAGACGGCTGCTTTCACAGCTGAGGGAGGGAGTTTCATTTTGCCACAGTGCAGTTTTGCTAATCATAGACATCACCGCCATATTGAATGTAGCATAGAGGTGCTATAGGGAGGGATCACCAATCAGAAAGCATGTCTCCCTCCTGTGCTTCGTGGAAATGTACCAACTGATTTATAGTACAATCCAGATCTGCTGCACGTCCCTTTCATGGATAAGAATGGAAAAAATACATATAATAGGATTTTACTTTGACGTAATTTACTAAATAGAATGTGCTTACTTTGGGGAAATTAGTGTCGCCTAACGGGCATCATTATATGAATCCTACAGGGAAACCAGCTAGAAAGAAAAAAATATATATAATTTTCTATACATGAAAATAAACCACTTAAATTGTTTATGCTCTGTTGGTTTCCCAAAGATAAAGCTTTGGGAAAGCAATAAGAACAGCATTGAGAAGATAAGTGTTAATTTATTCAATATTAATATTTGTGGTCTTTATTTTTTTTAAACATGTCATATTGGAACCTTTATTATCTTGTATAGACACAGATCTATGATGGAGTTTAGGTAGAGATGTCCTGATGCAATATTGATAACAGAAATCAGTTTCAACCAGATATAAGAAAGCCCATAGACACCCTTTGATTCTGTCCACTTTTGTTTAAAATGTATGTAACTCTTTGGTGAATAAGAAATGGGTCAGTTGTTCTCATACTTGATGCCATTTTACTGTTGTTCTCTGTCTGAGAAAAATCACTTAATCAAACCCTTTCTATCATTCCACTCTATTACATAAGTAATAAAAGTATCTATCATTCTTGCTGATATCATATTGGGTCAATATCACATTGAATCAGAAATGAAAAACTTAAATCGAGACATGCCTAGAATTAGGCGGAAAATTTGTTTTTCCTAAGGAACACAGGGATAAAATGACTAATATTACAAAGAAAAAAATTCAGGAGAATGCAGGAAAAATTTGACAAGACGAAAGAAAAAATAATATTGCAAAAATAAAGTGGTAATGAAAGTAATGCCCATAAGGCGCACCGTACTAAAAGGCGCAGTCTCAGTTATGTGTCCCATTTCTGTGTTTAACACACACATAAGGCGCACCGGACTATAGGGCGCGTTTTTTATATACCGGTACATGTCCTCTACTACCTTTAAATACCTCTACTGCGTATTTAAAAATACAGCGGGGGCAAAACTGAGTATGATTGTGCTTTATTCATGTATTTATTACAAAGTATTAATCAAACCTGGCAGCTGGCCGTGAGACAGACACATCGCAGATGACACAGCGCTGTGATTACTCCTAAATTAACTTAAAATCCTGAAACCTGCCGACGGAATATGTTCGCTTTTATTACCGGTATCCTGGTGCCTGCAGTTTAAATTATTTAGATGAAAAACACCTGCCAGCAGCCGCGATGAACCGGGAGGCGACCAGGCCCAGTGGCTGCTGATGAAAGGATTTCTCCTGTCGGCGCACCGCTGGTATGTGGGGGTCTGAGCTGCTCCGACAGAAATAGATAATCTGGATGAACTGATTGCAATTATTAAGTTTTCAGGTGGACTTTCTCACTTAAAAACATATTAAAACTACTTTATTCCCACTGATCACAGCAAATATAGCTGCAAGATTTAGATTATTTAGATGAAAAACACCTGCCAGCCGCCGCGGTGAAGAGGAGGAGACCCGCCCAGAGGCTGCTGTTGAATTAAGTTTTCAGGTAGAAAAATAGAGCGGGAGCAAAACTGAGTATGTTTGTGCTTTATTCATGTATTTATTACAAAGTATTAATCAAACCCATCAATGTCATTATCCTCTGTTTCTGAATTAAACAGCTGCGCTAAATCAGACATGCCAATTTCCCCTTCTTCGCTGTCAGTCACTTTCCGTGCAGCGCAGCTCCTCAGAAATAATGCCGGCTTTTGCAAAAGCTTGAACAACAGAGCCAGCAGACACGTTAGTCCAAGCATCAACAATCCATCCGCAAACGGTGGCGTAACTTGCCCGGCGCTGCCTTCCACTTATCCTGAAACTGTGGTCTCCGTCGGTCATCCATCGCTCCCACGCCGCTCGCAGCCTTACTTTGAACGGCCGGTTCACACCGACTTCGAGCGGTTGAAGTTCCTTTGTCAGACCTCCCGGGATAACGGCAAGAACAGCGTTCATTTGACTCACCTTTTTTTTCACATCGGCTGTGAGAGACAGTATTTAGAATCAAATGTAGTCGTATAAATCCCTTTCTGCCCCTTTAGAGACAAAAATATTTTTTTTTTTTTAAAGAACCATACTCTAAAAGACTTTAACAAAAAATTGCAAACAACTGTTGAGTGTAAACAAGGACAAACAGAGCAGTTCTTCTTTTATTCACTTGTTGATTCAAGATGAACACATCTTTCATGTCTCTGTTGTTATAAGACACAAAAATAAAAAGTCTTTATTTTACAAAAAAACAATAAAGTTCACATCACACTATTACACACTATTACCAAGTAAATTTACTTAGTTACTCTACATATTTGGGAATTTATTAGTGAAAAAAAAATGTATTTTATTTGTAATAAGTTTTATAGAAAGGGAAAAAAACATAAAAACATTGCAGAGGTTGCTTACTATTACTCCAGTAGGATGTAGATACACATGAAAAATAAAATAAAGCACATAGCTTTAAGCTTAATGAAAAATTAGTTTATAAAGATATTAGTTCTCTGTCTCATTTATGAAGACGTTTTGTTATTATTTTATTTAAAAAGACACAGCAAAAAGCAACTGCCTAAACTTTATTTATTTATTGCTAAATATTTGTGTAGGAATTTTAGTTGCTGTGTTCATCATTTTAGGCAAAGTTAGAAGAAGAATCGTTGGTTTAGTGCCTGTAGCAGCACTGCAGTGAGGCAAAACATCTGTTTTCAGTGTCGCATGTCGAGGAAGGGATGCAGTTTCTGAGGGCTGCCCTTGTTATAAATTATTAGGAAGGTTCATAAGTACCTGTTGTTCTATAGATGCAGTTTTTGGATGATAGACCGTGTAAAAGTAGCACGATTTTAAAGTGAGAGAGAAAATTTTTTTATTTTTTTTTTGGTAGCAAATCAAAATAAAACCTTAAAAGTAATTTAGTTACTTTTATCAAACCCCCAATGATCAAAGTAATTGGAACTCTAAGGTAAACAGCAGTCCCAAATCTGCAGCCTTTAACTGATTTTCTTTCAGATGTACCCTTTCCTGATTGAAATATATTGTTGGATTTTTTTAATATAACAACATCTGGAATAAGTTCAAGGGGCAAAAATACTTCAGTTTTGCATTACATTAAATTAGCCGAACGGCAAAACTTTTCAATAGTCAATTTAGTGAAGTTAGAGCTGTTGTCACAAAACATTATATGTTTATTTAAAGTCTCTTTGTGTGTGTGTGCTTTGTTACACTTTGTTAGTGTATGATGTCACAAGGCGCGACTCTTTTACGAAGCTCGAAAACTGGCTGAACGAACTGGAAACGTACTCGACACGCAACGACATTGTCAAAATGCTGGTTGGCAACAAAATTGATAAGGTTAGTCACTGCCTGGAGCTCTTATATGCAGAACACGTGGCCGACTTCTGTCCAACTCTCAACGCAGTCATTTAAGGTCTTAATTTTCCTCTCTCTATTTTATAAACATCATGATGATCTATAGATGTTAAGTTTAATTTGCCTCTGTGTGTGTGAGAGTGTGCGTTCAAACCTCTGATGTGTTTTCAGGATGACCGTGAAGTGGACAGAAACGAAGGTTTGAAATTTGCCAGGAAACACTCGATGCTTTTTATTGGTAAGTGCTGGAGTAAGTGCGGAATCACTCATGTTGTTGGTCCTGTAGATTTACAGAAGGAAAGATGTAAACTTTCGCCCGCCGCCAATAAAATTCTTTATATTGTGCTTAAAAGTTACAACTAGGCTTTTTTTTGTTTTTTGTTTCACAGTGTTGGCTTTTGCTTTTTTGCTGACAGCCGGGAAATGTATGTTTGATTAAAATTGAGCTGCTCTGTCACTGAATCCATGTAAGCATCCAAATCCAGTTGGAGCTCTTTTAGAAATCAACTAAGCCCTGTTCTACTGTAGGAAGACTTAAATAAAGGACTTTTGTTGAGTGAATAAAATAGAAGATGTTGTTTTGATAGTTTTTTTTGTATTATACCCACACGTTCACAGGGAGAACAAGCCAGGGGAATCAAATCTAAGACCCTCTTGCTGCAAGGCAACAGCGCTTCGAACTGCACTTCATGTGTCCCTACAAATATTGCACTTATCCCCCTTTAGAAATGTAGAGTCTAATCTGAGAAATTCATTTGAAAAAGATTGCAATTCATAAAAATGTATCCCAAAAAAATTAAGAACATGAAAAAAAATATGAATAAAATACCAAATTATTTATTTAGGATGAAACCGCCCAACGTGCATCAGACCCACTTTTCCACCACGTAGCTGGAGCAGCAAAGATGCTTCAGCTGTGCATCAGACCTAAACATGTACAAGCATCAAAAATGAAGCAGCTGCTCTTGCTGCTTGCAGTCTGAACGTAGCATAACACTGATTCAGAGTGGGACCAAATGCACTCTTAAAGTGTTACTTTAAGAGTGCAAATTTACTGTGTACCCTTTTGCCTTCTGTTGCTTAGCAATACTGTAGCTGGTATACTTTGGGACTACAATGGCTTCTAGGAGGGGGCAATAAGCAACACCCATGCTACTTTGTTACAGGACATAAAATAAGTTCAATTTCAGCAAACCAGATTGAATGAAAACAATAGTTTGCTTTTGATCCGAATCAAACAATCAGACCAAAAGACGTTTCTGGTGTAAATCGATTGATTAGTGCGTGTATGGTCCTCTTTACTAAAGCAAAAATACTGAGCAAGTCATTAGAAATATCTTAAGAGTTTTCAGTTATAAAGTCTGAGGTGAGGTTTGTGTCGTAACTTTTTGTCTTTCCTAACACTTTTGACTCTTCAGCTCCCTGATCTCATTAATCCTTTCCGTATTCAGAGGCCAGTGCAAAGACCAAAGATGGCGTCCAATGTGCCTTTGAAGAGCTAGTGGAGAAGATCCTCCAGACTCCGGGGCTCTGGGAGAGCGACAACCAGGGTCAGAAGGTCCAGCTGGGGCATCAAGAGCAGGGCGGAGGAAGGGCGTGTGGAGGATACTGCTCCATACCCTGAAACTAGAAGAAACGGCAAAAACGGCGACCTGACAGAAACTACAACGGACCAGAGATATGGAGCTTAAGAGGGGCGAAAAAAAAAAAAAAGAGACAAATTGTTGGAGTTCTGTCATCAGAACGAACACTGCAGTTTTGCACAATTCCTGTTCAACTTCTATTACTTTATCATGTTCAGTTAGTGTGTGGCGAACCATCTGTAGGTCGGTGGTGGTGAAATTAATTAAACATACGAAGGATACCACAACAGTACACGTCTAGGTTAAAGTGATGTCATTAGCTACAGTTACTCAGTTGGACAGTACGGCATTACATTACCAGCATTGTGCCTGTAACATAATCTGATTTGTGGGGCTGTGATAGGTGGCCTTGCAGGTTTTACTCTAAATATGGAATTATTGTAAAAAAAAAAAAAAAAAGAAGTGTTTTTTTGTTTTATTGGCTCCAAAATTCCCAACTTTTGAGCATCTTGAGGTGGCAAAGACTGAATACTCTCAAATAAAACCTTAAAGAATGGAGCCTAGTTACTGACAACATTGTTACCCCTTCCCCGTCTCGGCTGTACACTCCCTCCTCCACAAGGTTACTTCTAGCTACAAAGGATGCCCATTTACTCACTGTTTTAATCCTACTCTTCCAAACTCGACCAGTTTATTTCCATTTGTTTCATTTAGCGTTGCTTCCTTTATAATTGTCGTTTATTAACCACAGAAAGAAAACATAACCAAGCACTTCTCTCACTCAAGATCCACATGTGTTGGAATTCCAGCTTTAATTTGGACATTTTTACTTTATTATTACCAGTAATTGTTTTCTGGGAATTGAAATAATTTTCTTTTTTTCTTTACTGTTGCTTTGTTGTGCTTTTCAGTAGTGTGCTGTTTCTTGTCAATCCTAAACCTGCCTTAACACTAGAAGAGTTGCAGTCAAGTAGCACTCGATCTGTTTTGAATTTAAATAAACGGAAACCCGAAGATGGGATCTCTCATCTCCTACAAGTCTTTGTTTGATGGCTGTCGTGTGGTTTAGTGTTTTCCTTCTAAAGTAATTTGTTGACTTGTCTGTTGATGCATATATTCCTTGCAAAGAATAAAGGCAGAAACTGCAGAGGCGGACAATCCAGGCTAATCAGTTAAGTGAAGAGATAATCCAGAAATACTTGGAGGTATGGAAAAAACTTATATTTTCCTAATGGTTCTTATACACTCTGGAAAGTATGCATGACTTTTCCAAATTAGGATAAATAAAGGAAATGGAAATGGGCTTCATTTGTGTTAAAGTGCTTAAATACATATAGGCACTTAAGATAACATAACCAACTATTTTGCTTGTTGATGTTGTTTGAACTAGTAATACATCAGTGGTTTATGGGTTTTGTAGAAATGTTTGAAAACTCAGCCAATAGATTTGGTCACAAATCGACTCTAGTACTATTTTGTGGGTCATAAGCTGAAATGTTCATTAATCTCTGTTTTATGCAGCAGCTTACTCTAAAAAAAATCATATCCATTTATCAATCCATAAATTAAACCAAATGTGTCTGAGTCCATCTGTCTGTTTTTTCTGTCTATCCATTCATGTGTTCATCCATCCATCCATCCATCCATCCATCCATCCATCCATCCATCCATCCATCCATCCATCCATCCATCCATCCGTTCTTGATCGGTCTCATTATTGATAACTCATAATCTTGGGAACTGTTTTGGAGTTTTACCAGGATAGACGTGTAGGAATGTGATTATTTTTCCCCATTCCTATTTTACTTTCACTGAGAAAAGTTCACAAACGTGTCTTGGGACAAGAATACTCAGAATAAGCTGTTTAACTGCTTCAATATACACAGGAGCAGCTGTCCGGACTAACTTTTTCCGTCATAGTGTTTTTCTGTGGTTTAAATTCCTTTTAATGAGATATCATAGAACAGATGAAGGAATCAGGAAGAGGAATTTTTATAATTTTGTGTAAAACCCATGAAAGGTATCATACTTTAACGTATGATGCCGACTGTATGAATAAATAAAACAACATATCTATTAGCTACAGTTCAGTACAGTTCCAAATCATGCAAATGTTATGATTTCCAGCTATTTACCAGCTTTTAAAACATCACTTTTGACTGAAAATCTTCATCCTAGACGGTCCCCTCTGTGCCTTCAGGGGCCATATATTGCACCCCTGTTGGTTTGCCATCCTTTTTCCACAGTGGATCTTTAAAATGCAGTTTGGAAGGCTGTAAAAGTCTGCACACATGAAGCCTACCACTAAGTACTTTGTGAAAGTACTTTAGTACTTTGTGAAAGTACTAAAGCACTTTGAGACAGTAATCCACGCCTTTGTGACCACTCGGCTGGATTACTGTAATGCACTTTATGTGGGGATTGCTGGGTCCTCAATTGCTCGTCTTCAACTTGTTCAAAATGCTGCTGCACGTCTTTTAACTGGCACACGCAAGTACGAGCACATTTCACCTGTTTTAGCTTCACTCCACTGGCTGCCCATCCATTTTAGGATTAATTTTAAAATTCTTTTATTTACTTTTAAAGCCTTGAATGGCCTTGCCCCAATTTACCTCTCTGAGCTTCTGCACCCCTACACTCCCAGCCGATCTCTCAGGTCAGCTGATCAGCTGCTCCTGACAGTGCCTAAAGCAAGGCTTAAGCTCAGAGGGGATCGAGCGTTTTCTGTTGCAGCTCCAAAACTCTGGAATGCATTGCCGCTGCACATTAGACAGGCCACCTCTCTGTCTCATTTTAAAACTCTTCTTAAAACCCACCTCTTTTCTTTGGCTTTTAACACCATGTAGAGTGTTGATTTTATGTACACATGGTGATTTTATGTACACATGTTGATTTTATGTATACACATGCATTTTTTTATCCTGTGCGGGCAGTGCTTTTATTTTATTTTATTTTATTACTTTTATTTATTTTAGTTATTTTATCTTTTTGTGCAGCACTTTGGAAACCTTGTGTTTATTTAAACCGTGCTATATAAATAAAGTGGATTGGATTGGATAAGTACAATTCTGTGGAACATAATTAGCTTGTCTCGGCCCATGTAAGGTAATGGTTTAAAGGAAAAGACAGAGCAGACATTTTCACATTGGATTTATTCAAACAGCTGCTGATAAACTTCATCCCTGGAGGATTCTCCGGTGTCTTGAAAGTTCATATAAGTTACGGAAAATAAGGTCAAGTAGAGAATAAAAAAGAACGCAGATATTATCTGGATTCTTTTAAGGTTACTGTTTAGATATTACAATATTTAACATAATTAGAAAGTAGTTAAAAGTATAAAACATTAGTACTGAGGGCTGTACACTGTTCATTAAAAGGCACTTAGGCTCATTTTGAGTGGAATATGGTGTTCAGTGCCTACCCACTGTTTGCCAGGGTAACTTTAACAGTCTGGACCTCAGAGATATGGGAAGATTTCTGGATAATGCGGCTGGTCAGAGCGGTCTCTGTGCTCTGCTTTAGGGCTGACACAGCTCCAGTCACACACAGCCTGCCTGTGATGCTGGCTTTTGATCCGGAGAACGGCTCTGATGGGCAGCTCTGCCCTGTGGCTGAGATGGGCGCCGGGTCAGTGCTCAGTCCTGCCTTGCGGCTCTTCCCCTGGGCCAAGCTGGTAAGAGCCACAGCAGCATGGATCTCCCTCCAGCCTTGGCCGTCTTTTCTTTGTGGGTTTCGGTTTTGCAGCTGACCCCTGTGAAGAAACAGCCATTGAGATCAAGAGAAAAGAGAGGTGAGGGTTCAGCTTGAATAGCAGCTGCTGTATCAGGTGATGTTTCTTTGTGCTGCTGATCAGAATGAGAATAACATCTTTTATTGCCGTAGGTTAGTGAGCAGCTGTTAGACGTTATTTATCTCCATTGCTCCCATCATGCCCAAAAACTTATTATAACCATGCTGTTAACTTTTCAGTTCCTTTATCTGTAACCTTTTTATTACATTTTATCAAATTGAATATGACCTTTTTAACAAGCGCAATAAGTGCAATGCCAAAATTGTGCTTACCTATAACTTTTAACTGAAGTGTTGTCTGCTGTATCTGAACAAAAAGATAAAAATAAAAACACATTACGCAGAGAAAGTACCATAAACCTATTTACCAGGTTATAGTGTAAGGCCACACATGTCTGTTTTAAAAATAAAACTGACTTTCAAATATTGATTTTGTGCCCAAAAGTCTAATGTAACCAATACATATTCATTCTGTATGTGTTCAATGCTTTTGCTGAGCATTGGAACATAACTGCCCTTATTTCATTGTGTTGAATCTTTAATTTATAGATTTCCTTGTTTATTTTATGTTTTTTTTAAACATAAGCACTTACCAATAGGAAAAAGCTTTAGAAAAACATTAAGAATCGGTTGTGCTCAAAAGGAGATTACGTATTTGTTTATTTTACAGGCTCAGAAAATAAGAAGGAAAGAAAAAAAGACTATGTAACATTGCTTCTAGCCTACAATTTCTGCTTGTGGTCTGTGTGTACATGTGCAATATTTGTAGGACATATTTTCCATCTCAGCTTCTGGTTACTGCCTTTTTTTTTTAGGTTTAAACACAAAGATAGTTGCCAAGAAACAGTTTTTCTTCTGAGTCCAATAGAAATTGAAATTAGATGCTGAAACTCTGTCTTTTTGCGCTAACAGCCTGAAACATACCACAGACGTGAGCCAAAAGTAACTTCTTACTGATAGTAAATCACTTTTGTTTTATGCTTTTTGCTTTGCTACCGAACATCCCTCACCATGTCTCCCCTCAGCTATAAAACTCCCTGCCAAGAAAGTAGCTCAAAACTTTGCTAAATTTATGACCAAGAGAGAAAACCTCTTGTGAGTTTCACTTCGCCAGAGGGTATTAGTGACAGCTTAATGTTACAAGTAGTAATGAATCCAATCAGTGCTTTGTTTTCAATGTCTTATATATCGTAATTAACATACAAGTGTAAACACCATAGATCATAGCTATGTGCTCATAAAGCTGCTATCATGCACTTAGGTAGCATTTCATGTTTAGTGTTGGTTCTTGCATGATTAGCACCTTGGGCTAGAGCCCACCTGTGTGCACCTGTTCTGCTTGCTTACCCACAGACACTAATTTCCCTTGGTGAAACTGATTATGTCAAATAGTCATAACTGAACATTTTTAGATATTTGATGTAGGTATATGTTTCATAACAAGCAAAAACTAAAAATAAAAACTAAACATTGTTATAGTTCTCCCCTTTTGGACTTCTATTTGAGTTTATTTTTGAGTTTTCAGTTATCTTTGTCATTCTGTTTTGTTGAGCTTTGGTTTCTTTTCCATATTGTGTGATATTTTAGCTGTGTTGCATTTTTTGAGTTTCTCTCTGTTGCCCCCTTGTGGCGGTCTCCTTTCCTCTAGCTCCCTTCTAGTTACTTCTATTCACACCTGCTCCATATCAGCTAATTAGCCCATGCTTTGTTCTGCTCCCCATATATACACCTCCTCTGTAGTTCCTTACTGCTGGTTTCTTGTTGTTCTCATGTGTTTCCCCTGTTTTTTGGTTTCCTTTATTTAGTTTTAGTTCCTAATTGATTTCATTTAACCTGCAAGACCTCATCTCAGCATTTAGGTCCTCAACCAACCTCCACCCAACCCTGACAAACATAAATTACTAGTGAGTCAAAGAAGAGGCCCTGAGGTACACCAGAAGAAGCTGACTTTAAGACACTATTTGAAAAATGCACATAAAAAGATCTGATAGATATGATAAAAATATTTTAAAAATCTGTAAGGCAGATGTTGATACACTGGCCCGACCTACCAAGCATGAACTGGCAGTCATCTGTGTTAAAGGCTGAGCTTAGTACCAGCATAAGGATACTAAAGTTATAATATGTAACATACATGAAAAGTATATTTTGTTTACTTTTAGGGCAGATATCTTTTTAATAATATTCTCCCAATACCTGCACATTGATCAAATTCAAACAGGAAATACTAAACTGGTGTTAATATGTAAGCTACTGCAAACAACCCATAATTCATAATTCTATAACTTTCCATAAAAGTAAAAAAAAAAAAAAAAAAAAAAATCCACTGGACTTGGTTTCCAAATTTTGAAAGTGGATTTTTTTGAACTTTTACGAATGACTATGACCTGGATGACCTATGAGACTGAAACGGTAAATGTCACAGTCCGGTGGAATCATGTAACTCTAACTCCTGAAGGTCTAGTGCCTGTTTCATTTGTTGCATGTTCAAAAACACATTAGGGTTTCAAAAACACAGGCTTTAGTCCGTAACTTTCATAATTCAAGAACTGTTTAACGTTTAGCATTGAACTACTACCTCTGATGAAAGTATGTCATCAATCTTTAGGCCTCTACAGCTTAACAAATCTGGGATACACAGCAACAAAGTTTGACTAACAGGGATCTGTATTCGTCTGGAGAAGGCTGTCAGCTAAGTATGCCCAGCAGTGTGAGAAAAAAACCCATCACCAGTCAATCGGCCTGCTGCCTGGCACACCTGCATCAGCTCAAATGGGAAGACGACACCACTGAATCTGGAAAGTGTGTGAAAATCCAGTATCCAATCCAGTGCGCCCTGCTCTGAAGACATGCACTGTTTAATCATTTGTTTTTTTACATGTGCTGCCGCAGGAACTGAAGCTGATTGGCCACTTGGACTAATTTGTTTTTTCTTTTTTTTAATCTACAGTTTTCCTTTAATAGTGACTAAGAAATGAAGGTATTCTACTTTCAGCTTCAGTCTTTTTGAGATTTTTGGATTGCAGTTTTCATCTACTAGATCAGGGGTCTGCAACGTGCAGATCTAGACGTGTGCAAGTGGCTCTTTAGCTTGCTTGATTTAATAAATAAATCATGATATTAACCTGTTATTTTATGTAATGTTTTTGTTTTATGGACCCCTCCTGGCTGTTCTGCTAAATTTGAAGAACCGCCACTGCCCTGCTTCTCTCCAGGAGAAGATCCTATATGTTTCTTTTTAGACCCATTCTACAAAAGCTATCACTAAACCTCATCAGAACTGCTTTTATGGAACACTTTTACATACTTTCCACTTATTGCTTGGCATCCAGTTCCAAAAATGTATAAAAACCAGGTAAGAAAAAACAAAGATTCAAACTGACATCAGTGATTCCACTGCCTTAGCTTTGTTTTGATTAATATTCCTTTTAACTTTAAGTGTCTTTATGATGTGTACCATCACAATGTTAAGAATGAGCATTTATTTTCAATAGGTTTTTTAAATGGTTAAATAAAAGACATATGACAGAGCGGTTGAAATGGATCCAAAGTCAGACCCCAGAGGCAAATGTCTGAGTGTCTTTAATAAAAAAGGCTGCGCTGGAAGAGAGTCGACAAAAGGAGCCAAGAACTCAGGAAAGCAAAACTGAGTAAAGTATCTAAATGACACTGACGAGGTCCTTTTGACAATAACAATAAAGCAAAAGTAGCATCAGGGGAATGAGGAACAGGTGCACTGATTGACCAATGAGCTGGAAGTTAAGACCTCTAAGGAAAAACACACAAAATATAAATATAAAGAAAAAAAACAACTCAAGAACTTTTAATTAAGCACATTTTTCTTTTAATGGATTTCTTAAATTAATGTGGTACTTTTTATTATATCTAAAAGCTTTTAACCTAATTAGTTCTCCGTTTATGATGATAATCTGTGGCTAAATAACGTTTTTAGATGAGAGTTTTGCTCCAGCTTTCAGTAACTGGTTGGAACTCATTTGTTGCCAGGAATAATTAGGCAATTCCTTCCTTAGAATTACTGTAAAACATATAGAGGTGCTAAAGAGAGGAAATGATTATGGAAACGTTACACAACTTCTCTAATTTGAGGTGAATTAGAATGCCTTTGAGCAGGAAAGTAACACACGGGAGCAGCGGACTGCCAAGGCACACAGAAACTGTGGCAGCAGAGCTACATCCTAATAGACTGGGAGAACATGCCAAATAAATATTAGCGTGGTGTCTCACGTTTGTGTGGCTGCTGCAGCACTTACTCTACAATCTGTCTGTCTTCAGTGTTTTACCAACAGACTGTTCCCTTTCTACACACATCCTGAGGTTTCCACTTCTCACCCTGGGAGAAATAAAGTCTCAGACATTCTGTAATTGTCCTTGAGGCCGAACTGGACATTTCCACCAAGGCTAGAAGTGGATGTGGAACAAATGGCACATTCTAGGATATGGAAATGATATTTGTGGTGTTCGGTGGCAGCCAGCATGGGCTTCTTCCAATTTTGAAATGTAGGATTTCAGTATCTGCATGAGTCTTTATTAGGAATCTTTGCAGAGGGTTTGGCTGGCTTCTCCGGGTGGCTTTGAGATGTGTTAGTGTGCTGTGATCCCTGTAAGTCTGTGTCCCCCCCCCCTGTTTTACTGTTGCATTTATGATTAAATCTAGCTGAGCTTCTGACTTTCAGATGGACGCCAGAGATTTATTAATGTCAAAAAACCCTCAGGAGCCAAGTTGGAGGTTTCTGTTCGCCGTGTCCTTATTTTACTGTACACTGCTGTGTTTTAAAAGGGAACGGAGAGGAATCAGGGTAGTAAAACTGTCAGTGTGCTTCACATTCATTGTTAATCTTTAATTAACTAGAAATATTTTTTCTTCAGCCGGAGGACCCTGTTGTTTCTCTTTATAAACTGTGATGTATGCATTTTTAGCTTGTTTGCAACTCCCTTTAAATCCTGCAGAGTCAAACATTTCTTACCCATGCTGTAGATGAAGTTAGCCTCTGCTTTAGAGGAATTGGACAGAGAGAAAACATCTCCATCACTTTCGTTGGAGCTGGACAGTTGGGAGAGGCACCTCTTTCCACGCGCAGAGGCAATGGCGTCTGCCTTTGCCGCCATCATGTGCCGCAAGGTGTCATTAAGGTAGCGATTCAACAAGCTGTTCTTGTACTTGGAGGGAGGAGACGTCCCGTCATCATCGGTGGAGCTGTCTGCCCTGGCAACGACACTGGCCTGCTTCTCAAGCAGGCTTCCACGGTAAGATGTTTCACCGAGGTTTGATTGGCTAAAAGCCGTTGGTAAGGTGCACTCTTCATCTATACAGCAGAGGAAACAAAACTGTCACTGCAAATTCTAACTTAAAGAATAGCATTTTTGGGCAGAGAAAGAAATCTAAACCCACTTCTTGGAGTTTTCTTGACTGGTAAAATAAAAATCTTTGATCAACCATTTTGTTATTGTTACCCTCTGTGTCTGTATCATCGCTGCACACACTCAGTCTCTCTGCATTTCCTTGGATGTATTGATTGTAGAGTTTGATCCTCAACGCCCAGCTTAGGTCTGGCTGCCTCACTGTGTTTTTCAGTCTTCGCCGGGCATTAGCAAACCAATTGGAAACCTGGCACAAACATTTCTTGATTAATATAAAAAGTATCTTAAAAATAATTAGGCATTGCAGTTTTTCTGATGAGACTAACCTGCACTAGTGTCATATGCGAACCCAGAGCTAACAGCACCTTTTCAGTTTTTGTTGGGTAGGGGTTGTCCCGATGCTTATACAGCCAATGTTTCAGTGGTCGAGCCATGTCCTGCAGAACCTGCCTCTTGTGGCGAGCTTTCACCCCACCGAGACAAGACCTAGGGGAGCTAGAAGACAAATAAAACATGCACTTCAGTTTGGTGGCTTTAGCTTGTAACAGCCGTGAATCTGGTAAGATCTTTTAAAAGTCAGTAAAATTACAAAAGAACAACAACATAAATAGATGGTAAAAAATTCTGACCTGCATCTTCTGTACTTTAAGGCAGAGTTTCTGTCAGTCTGCAGCATGTCTGGGCTCTGTCCGTCTGTTAAACTCATCTGAGGGGAGTCTGCACAGCTCAGTCCGCTCCTTTCTTCAGCTCTCCTACACTTGTCCAAAAGGAGCTGAGCATCAGTCTTCATTGGAGAAAAGTTGTCCATTGTTAAACATGCAGAGTTTCTGTTCGGTCAACAGGTGCATCAGTAGACTCCCAAAGACACGCAGACACTGTAGATCCTTGTTCTTTAGAGATGTGATGTGCAAGTAAAGAAAAAACCTATATTACATCCTCTATATTTTTTCTTTGAGTCTTGGGAGAGAAAAATGCTCTACCTTACCAGGGAATAATGTTAGAGAAGTAAGAAGATGTTGTCTGGATTAACTGTTCTGTCTAAGGAGAGTTCAAATAACATTCAGCTCTGCTGCCTATTGGTCTTCACATCATCCAATCGCCTCAGTGCAAGACTCTGCAAGGTTTTTCTTACAGCCCTGCTGAGTCCTGCAGCCATACCCCGGGATGTAAAAATGATTCCACTCCAAAGAATATCAGCAAACCTAGTCATTAGATTTACTAGAAAGTGATTTTGTCAGTCTGTGCGAAGCCGCTTTAAGCATGGTCTCATATTTTCAGCATGAGCTGCGTGATTTTTGCGGGTCTTGCGGTATCACTAAGAATGGTGTCAGCAAATAATAATCCATGTTTTATCAGGGGATTCTGGAAATTTATGGCCCTAATTATACGCTTGCTAAAAACCAGCCATGCCACAAAACGACGGCTCATGTCAGGCAGGAAATCCTGCTGCTTTGGAACTTCAATATGGATTTCGTTGAAAGCCAGCTGAAAGGCACCACTTGCAGCTTGTTGATACATTTAATTAGGATCACACGTGTGCCTCGTTGACTGAAATAACAGACACTGGAACTATAAACAAGTCAGAGATGATACACTCATTCATTTATGCTCGTTTTATATTCTCATAAACAAAACTGTGCTCAAATTAATCTATTTATCCTTCTCCTGACTTTTAAAAGATTGTATCCATTTAAACTCATTTATCATAAACGTTTATAGTCTACAGCCCTTTGCATAAGTCCTCTAAAGACTAAAGTTTTTGTTTAGTCCTCATTACAAAAACGCTTAAGCTTGGGCAGAAAGAAGGCAACATGACTGTAGACAGTAATATAAAAGGTGCTAAATTAGATTCAGGCCTAGACTTTGGCTACATAAGCCATTCAACCTTTTTTCTGTATTTTAACTTTTCTCCTTGATGGGGGTGAAAAATCATTTCTGTTTTTCCACAAATAAATTTGTGAAAAAAAAAAAAGTCAAAAAGAGGTTTCATATTTCTGCAAGGCATTGTAATGCTTTTTGTTGAGAGGGTTGTCTTTAAATCATGGCTAAAATTCAAGTGCTCGTTCAACATACTTAAAGACAAATGTCTTTTCCAAGTTCGTAATTCAACACTATCAATGGGCAGGTTGAGTTTTATTGCTTTCAAAGCTGAACACCACATGGACCAGAAGCATCTCCGGTAGGTGCAGTAAATTCCTCGGTCGCATTCCTCAGCGGCGGCTGGAGAACGCTCGCATACTATCACACACCATTTACCCCTGTCCCTGTGAGATCTGTTCAACGGCAAGACTGTTGATATTAGCAGGAACGCACCCACCGGCTGCAGTGAGGAGGCCTGTAAAAACGCTGGGGACCAACATATATCCTGCTTTGTTTAGATCATTTGGCACCTCTTTCTGCGTTAGGTGTTTGATTTACAGGTTCTAAAACTCCACGCCTATTCTAAGGGCCGCGTGTGTAGCAAACACACGGCGGGGAAACTGTTCCTCAAACATGTTTTTTTTTCACCATATTGCCTAATCATTGGGTTCCCCTGACCTTTCTATATCACTTGTAGACTTTGCTTACTAGAAGCCTAAATATCGAGGCCTCAAATTGAGGTTTAGGCCTTTTATCAGAGATAGGTCTATCTCAATTGATCCATATAATCAACTCGTTATTCAACTCAATTCAAAAGTACTTTATTAATCTCAAAGGCAAATAAAAAGTTGTCGTAACTCATATTACAGAAAGTTTTCCGCAACTTTTTGTAGATGCTGATGACTGTGGATCTCCTGTAGCAGTTTTTCTTACAGCGTAGCCTCTGACTGAAGACATCAGAGTTAAGAAACAAGTAACAAAGTACAAATACCTCGCTATCTATACTTTACTGGAGTCATTATTTTTTCGACAACTTTTTACTTCTTAATTTTTTTCTAATCCTTCTTCATCTACTTTGTAATCCTTACATTTTACATTTTAAAAATAAACTAATTAATTTTGTTTCATTTGAGCTCATTTTAGTTATGGCGTGCTGGTATTAAAATGAATAAATAAATAAAATCCATCAAGAAAATTTGTTTTATCCATTTCTTTGTGGCACCACCTTGTTGTTCACTATATACCAAAATAAATAATTTTTCAAGATAATGCAAAGTTAAATTTGACACTGTAACCATTAGTTATAGAACTAAGAAAATTAAATCTAAGGAAATTATCATCTATAAATGTGGAAAAAAATGTCCTTAAATAAGGTAGTGCAGTAAAGCATCTGTCCTTAACATTTTTTCCCGCAAAAAAATCAATCAGACAGCTGCAGCTGATTCAGAACGCTGCTACTCGAGTCCTCACTAAGACCAAGAGACTGGATCACATCCCTCCAGTTCTGAAGTCCTTACACTGGCTTCCTGTGTCTCAAAGAATTGATTTCAAAGTACTTTTGCTAGTTTATAAATCACTAAACGATTTAGGGTCAAAATACATTTCTGACCTGCTAGTACACTATGACCCCCCCAGATCTCTAAGGTCATCTGGGACAGGTCTACTTTCTGTTCCTAGGGTCAGAACTAAACAGGGGGAAGCAGCTTTCAGTTACTATGGCCCTAACATCTGGAATAAACTCCCAGAAACCTGCAGGTCCGCTGCTACTCTCAGTTCTTTTAAATCAATGCTGAAGACCTTTCTTTTTGATGTTGCCTTTCTCTAAATGGCATTCATTTCTTTACTGTTTAATCTTTTATACTGCACTGTAATTTGTATTCTTGTGTGTTTTATTCTGTTTTTATTTTTAACTGTTTCTTCTGTATTTTATTTATTTTTTTAACTGATTTTATGTAAAGCATTTTGATTTGCCCTGTTGCTGAAATGTGCTATACAAATAAAGCTGCCTTGCCTTGCCATCACTTTTATACTTTAAGTAGTTTTAAAAATGCTACTTTTACACTTTTACTTGAGTAAAAACTTAACTTCTACAAAAGTATATTTGAACCGGAGGATTTCTACTTCTACTTGAGTAATAAACATGAATACTTTTTTGGCACCTCTGGAAGACTTTGAGTTGTTGTACTACAGTCTGATAAAAACACCAACCCACAATGTTCTTCATTTAATGGAGAATCTATGTTTTTAAGACAATCTTCAGATGTTTTTAAGGACTTACTGGAACAAAGCCTCTTATTATTATTGGCTTGTTGAGTATTCTCCTCTGACGCTGCCACCCCAGCAGATGATGGCAGATCACATTCTCCACAACAAACTTATGGAAGATAAGCAGCATCTTGTTGTAAAGGCTGAAGAATCTAAGCTTCCTCAAGAATCACAGTCTGCTCTTTTCCCTTCTTGTAGTTGCTTTTCTAGTCCTGTTTGTTGGTTCATATTCTGGATCAGCTTATTGTTTCCGCACCATGCTGAGTAAATCATTGTTTTATTGACTGCTTATGTATTATTGAAATAAATTTTGATTTGGTAAAATAGTAGTCCATAACTCGTAGTATATATTGTTGTAATTGTTTGATTAAAAATGGAAAAATGCAGGTTCAAAAGAAGCTTATTTTGATGCAATAAGAAACTTTAATACAAAAATATGAAATAAAAATACAGAACTAACAAACCAGAATAGTAATAGGACAACAGTTTGAAATCAACAGGAGGAACAGAAAACCATGAAAAAGGAGTGTGAAAATTATACACCTTATCCAGAAACAAACCTGCCTGGTACCCCTGAACAATGCTAAACTTATTTTATTTTGGTTAACCTTTTAAAGACATCTACACAGATTGGGTGCTGTATTCGATTTTTCCTTTGACATAGTGAGTTTCAAATTTTTTCTATTAAACAGATTGCGTTCCTGCAAGTGGCACACATAGCAGAGTTAGAGAAACTCAGGTTCAACATACAATGGTTCTGTTAACATACATGTAAGATGAGGATAATGTTTAACATTCTTTGTGTTTATTTCAACACTCTTCAAACAGAAGATCATAACTGAGTTTAATGATCCAAGAGCTGCTGACATCATACAGTACATTTTTCAAAAGGTTTGATGTGGTAGGTGCAGTGAACATAACACGGTGCGTTTTGGTTGGATCACAGCTGTGTCTTTAATGGCATTGTTATGATCTCAGAGAACGCCTGCAGATTCTCAGGGCTGTGATCAAATTATATTGCCATGGTTTTGGTTTTAGGCTGGGCTTCAGACCTGCCACAAGCCTGACTGCTGTCTTGAAAGTCGGTTCAAATGTATTGTAGAAACAAAGCACCTGGTCTCCACACTTTGCCTCAATCTTTCTGGTTTACCCAGTTATACAAAAATAAAAGGATTTTCCCTGCAGCAGCACTTTACTTTTACAGTCACTATTATCACAGCTTATAATTTTTCTGTGTAAAACTTTGATGGCCTTATAGTCCCTTAAGAGCTATCACCATTTCCCTGCGTTATACTGCGCTACTTTCCACCAAATATTAAAGAGACAGATTAAGACTTTGTCACACCTAATGGAAAGAAGAACCGCAGCAAAGAGAAAGTTAACGCCATCATATAAGAGGAATGCGACTGTAACTAAGTACTATTTAAAGATTTTAGGCCGTAGCATTTGGGAGGATCAGGTAGTTGTAACACATGTTTTTGTTTTACAGGTAAAGCTCAAAAAATTCAACTTTTTTATCTTTTACTGATTTCCAAAAGTGGAATTCACATAGGCTACTACAGATTCATTACAACTGAAAAACCTCAAACCCCAGTTCTTGCTAATTTTTCATGAAAACCCCCAATTTTCCATGTCAGACAATTTGAATTTCCTGAGAATTCAAATAGTCATTTTTCAAAAATGACTGCCACCTTATGGAGGGGTTTGAGTCTCCCACTGACCTTAGGAACTATGGGGTCTGGGGGCTTTATGCCCCTAATAGGGTCACTCAAGGCAGACAGGTCCTATGGGACCAGACAAAGAGCAGCCTAAATACGTCTTATGATGAGTAAGACAAATGGACCTAGTGTTCTCTCGCCTGGACATGGGTCATCTGGGCCCCAATCTGGAGCCGCGCCTGGAGGTGGGACACATTGGCAAGCCTGGTGGCCGAGCTTTTACTCATGGAGCCTGGCAGGGCACAACCCGAAGAGGAAACAAGAGTCCCCCTTCCAATGGGCTCACCACCTGTAGGATGGGCCAAAGGGGTCAGGTGCAATGTGTGATAGAACGAGGGCGGAGACCTTGGCCTTCTGATCATCGGCTGAAGCTGACTCTTGGGACATGGAATATCAACTCTCTGGTGGGGAAGGAGCCTGAGTTAGTGCACGAGATTGAAAGGTACCGGCTAGAATATATATATATATATATATACACAATTTTATGCCTTATTCACAAGTTATGATTAACTGTTTGCACTTGGCACCAAATGCAGTGGATTTTATGTTAACTCATCGTTTTGACTCTTATTTCTATATTTGCTGATGATATTACAAATTGAAAATGTACTTTAATTTAGGTTTTCTAACAGTGGGATCTTACAAATCTGTAACATTTAAAAAATGTAAATTATCATTGGTCTATGTAAAAGGGCTAAATTAATTCAGATTAAAGCCTTTTCAAGGGTTAGAACAGCTTAGTCAAAGTCCACACTGAAAAAACTATATAGAAATAAGTAAAAAATTTCTTAAATTAAGTGTATTTACCCTTAATTTGACTACGTAAATGAGATGATTTGCCAATGGAATGAGTGTTTTTACTCTTTTACTAAAGATAATTAGACAAAATGCACTTGAAATAAGACATTGCAGTTTTGTTTTCTTATTTTAGATGTAAATTGTCTTGTTCCATTGGCAAAATGTCTCTTTTACCTCCTCAATCCAAGAACAAATACACTTATTTTAAGAAAAAATGACTTATCTAGATTTCGATTTTTTTCCAGTGCAGTCCTACATTTGACTAAGAATCAGTGTTCAAATATGAAAATCTGTTGTCAACAAATGCTCTAAATTTAGTCTGAGTGGCCTTACACAAACTTTGCCAGAAAACCCACTAAATAGTTTGGTTTCTAGATTCGTAAAATGTATACATGCCTCAAATTCCTACTGCTGTAAATGTAGCAAAAGGCATTTATACACTGAAGCAATATGACAAAGTTCAAGCATGAATACCTCCATAAGGTACTGAATGTTTTTTTTTTGCTCTGGCCAAGGATTGTTTTCATGTTTGTGTATGTTTTATGCAGAACACAGTTGGCAAAAAGCCTCGATGTCTGCTTCTAATGTTTCACTGGAGTACATTAAAGTTAATTGAAGTGCAGCAGCTGTCAAAATAATTCCCTGCGGATGTTTGCAACTTGGCAGCAAAGGATGACACCCAGCCACAAACTCCTTACAGGGCCATTTTTGTTTTTTTTCCCTCGTTCGGCAAATTACAGTTGTGTCAGTTAAATGCCAGTAGAGAAACTAAGTCTGAGACAAATGGAGAAAGCATTAAGAGGAAAGGGAGATGGATTCAATCAAACTAGATGGTGAAAAAAAAATCTCAAGAGGCTGGGAATCATGAAAACTAATGAAAATAATGAAAATAGCAAAAATTAATATCTAAATGTTATAAACCTAAATGTAACACTTATACACGCAGGAAGTAAGTGTTCATCACTTCCAAAGAGACTGTGTGAAACGAGCTCTAAGGAATATTTGGTTTGACTGTAAGTGATCCCCGTTCAAATCCAGCCAGTCAAACTGCTGCAGCTTCTGCAGGCTTTGGTTGGTGTGGAGCGCATCCATGCTGCAGGAACCCACTGGACTTCTGCCGCATCTATCTTCTCGATGTCTGCTTTCAGCTCTCTGAATGCAACAGCAATATCTCCATTGATAATTACATTATCAAACAGGTCACCATACTGACTGAGCAACAGTTCAGCCAGGTCAATCATCTCCTCAAAATCCTCCTCCTGTGAACCCAGAAAAAAGAAAAAAAAATGTTTGCATCTAAGAGAAATTTCCTTAAAGTTAGATAATGCAGTATTATTGCTTATTATACATAAACGTAGTTTATTTAAAAGCACTGATTAGCAGAAACATCTTTATTGGAAATTACTTAAATAATTTTATCTGGCTTTTTTGATGTATCATTTCAGTTTAATTTGGGCAAACTCTTCTTTACATCATGACTTCTTTGCTTGCATAACCCAGATTGGATCAGGCTGCTGCTGTTTTACAGATGACCACAGGTTTCAAAGTTTACTCAATGACTGCAAGGTAGCTGGTGTCGGGGAACAAGCCGTTCACTATTTCTTGATTTGTGCTCTGTTTAGGTTGCCAAATCTTTATAATGTATACGGTATCTCTGTATTTGGAGACACAAAGCCTCCTCCTGATAACCCCCCCACACACGTTTGTCCCAAACTTAAATCTAAGGGTGTAGCCGGGATAACACTTCCCTTTTTTTTTCTTTTTGAAATCATTGCATGTTCCATCCATAGGTGAATGCTAGAAATTCTTATTCTTTAAAGACTGGACACTTTCTTAAATGTTGGGTTTAATTTAGAGCCGCAACTAACGATTATTTTGCAAATCGATTAATCTGGTGATAATTTTTGCGATTAATCGATTAACATTTGTATCGCAAACGGTTCCTTAAAGATTTTTTTACGAAATTAAACCAGGGTAAATATTTTTTTTTAAATCTTTAATGCAAAATATATATTAATATATATTTATATATTTTTTTTTACAATTCTGATATAATTACGGTTCTAAGTGAGTCACTCTGTCAGCTAAAGGCATGTTTTAGGGTTTCTATACACCATTTAACGATTAATCAATTGCTAAATTAGATGACGATTATTGCAATATTCGAATAATCGTGATTAATCCAGTTAATTGTTTCAGCTCTTGTTTAATTGCTAATGAATTTCAATCTTCGTCTTGTGTTAAAACACACCTGAATGGCCCACATCAGCCACCCACTAAAACAACTGCTTTTACAGAGGTGCTCACAGTTGCTTATGATCAACTAGTCAGGTGTATTTTATTAGCATACTGCAAAAAGTGATCTAAAAATACATGTCTAAAAATAAGTAAATGGTTTAGAATAAGTTTAATTGCCTTTAATTTAAACAGATAAATAAGATGATCTGCCACTGGAATGAGTATTTTCTCCCTTTAAACAAAAAACAGTGTTATGCACCTGAAATGGATTTGTTTTTTTTCTAGTTCAAAACATACATCATGTTATTCTATTGGCAAATTGTCCTACATGTCTGCTCAAATCAAGGGAAAATACACTTATTACTTATTTCAAGGTAAATATACCTTTTTTATAATTTAATTAATACCAAGTGTCACAGCAGTTTGCTCCTATTTTTGTTGTTGTTGTTTGGCAATTGCCAATACACACACACACACACACACACACACACACACACACACACACACACACACACACACACACACATATATATATATATATATATATATATATATATATATATATATATATATATATATATATATGTGTGTGTGTGTGTGTTTTAGAACAATTTGTAAATGAAAAAATTCTAAACATTAAGTACATTTTAAGTTATTACCTTTTTGAATTTTCTTTTTTTTCACATTTAACATTTGGGGATATCCCCTTGGGGAGTAGTGTGCTGCCATTGTGCGGCGCCCGGTGAGCAGTGTGGAGTTAAGGGTCAATGCTCAGGGAGCCAAAGTGGAAGCCTTCGGAGTGAAGCTTGAACTCAGAACCTCTGGATTCCACTAACCACTAGGCCGCCACTCCCCCGTTTTATGTCATTTGAATAACTTGTATGAATTTATAATCAGAATCAGAATCAGAATCAGGTTTATTGCCATTGTTAGTGAAGGAGTTCACAAACTAGGATTTTTTAATGGTACAATCGTGCAACATGAAACATATAATATATAATAGGTAAATAAAATTATAAAAAATATCTAAAAACACTGTGGGTATAAGGCATGCAAAAAATAGACTAATATATACACTTAGGATAAAAATATGGATAAAAAACATAAAAAGTAAAATAGCATCTTACAAGGTAGTGCAAATAGAGCAGTGTGCAAATTAAATTTCCTTTAATGTAAACTTTCAAGCACAACTGTATTTTAGAACAAACTGCAAATTTGAAAAATAGAAGGATAAAGAACCATGTAGCTGAAACTGCACCGGCAGACCACATAGTTACATGCTCAGAGTAAAGGATAAGAAATGTTTTTAAGCCAGATGTGGTTCCAGTTGAAAGCAGACTCTTTGGATTGGCCTGAACTCTTTGAAGGTTTTGATTCTTGGAAAAGAACCAAAGCCATGCAGCATCACACATGTTTAACTTCACTTTCTTAATAAGGCCCACAAGGACAAACAGGGTCCATCAGTAAATGTGAGGTCATAAAGCAGTTAGAAAAACCCCACATTATTTTCCTTTATAAATGCATGCATCCCCTAAAAAGAGTGGGCTTGTGTTTGAAAACAGAACAAAACAACAAAATAGGTTTTAATAAACTGAACCATAATGTGCTTCGGTTATTGCCTTAAACCGTAGCACGCTTAGTGCAAACCTTTATTTAGGCAAACAGCCAAGTACCAAGGAAACCACCCACATAGTAACCCTAACCTCTGCTCTGTCTTAAATGTCTCTAAGGAGAAAATTACTGGGTTAAAACAGTATGTGTTTCTGATTTTTAAGGCCACACTGCCCTTGCTTCACAAGCTGTGAAGCAAGCACCTGACTTCCTACATGATGAGTGGATATTTTTGTTCCAAAGGGACAAGGAAGCTGGACTGAGTTTTTGGAAAGTTAATCCAGCTAAATACAGAGTAAGCCTGAAAGAGAACTTCTTAGAGGCTGCAAAAGACTTGAGACTTGGGCAGGAGAATGGAAGCTATTCTTAAAATTGCCCCACTGTGGTGACCAAACTGGTTAATAAATGCTTACCTATACTTACTTATGTCTGAATGGGCAGCAACACCTGTTAGCAAAACTGTTAAAGAAGTCTGCTCAATTTCTATACTTTTAATGTAGCAAAAAATGTCTACACTGTTAGAGACAGAAAAAGTAAAAGAGACATAAAATATGAGACTGCACTAGTGCAATAATATTGCACTGTCAGAATAACATGGCTCGCTAACAGTGCTAGCAGTTGGTATCTCTTTTGAAGCCATATTCATGTTTTTTTTCAGCTAGGGTTGGGGTTTATGTTAAATTACGTTGGAAAAAATATTATTTCATAACAAGGATGCCAAAACCAATTTAGGGTCAGTCTACACTCATTGCACTGAACCAATTGAATAATGAACAAATGAAATATCTGTATATGCCAAATTAATTAGTGAAGAATCTTTTGAAGCCCTTGCTAATAAATTTATATCCATATGTATATATATTTGTTGCCTAAACGGGTTAAGGCTTTGCAGTGGTTCTTCAGTTCTATTTTTCAAAAGACCAATTGATGATGGCAGAGTCTGATAACTTTTTCTGTCTTCAAAATGCTCAAAATATATTTCTTAAAAGACCATTAGTTTTGTGTTTAATAGTTAATATACTAAAAACTGATAAATTAATTAGTTACTGTAAGATGTTCCAAATGAGAATATGCTCATCTAGTAGGGGTGGCCATATAAAAAGAGCACCAACTTGTCAACAAAAAAACCCAGAATTTCATATATAGGTTCTCTATGGGTGTGTCCACGTCTGCCTTAACCCCTCACTATATAGAGCAGGGACTGTATAGTGGACTGTATAGTGAACTCAGTTAACTGACCGTTCAGTTGACGGCTTCTTTTCCCTCCCCGTTTGTCACGTGATTCCAGCTCCCTATTTGGTGCCTGTGCCATGTTTGTTCTCTCTTGCCCCAAAACAAATCCCATTATGCTTTTTGAGGAAAACTCTTCCAAAGTGTTTTATATATATATATATATATATATATATATATATATATATATATATATATATATATATATATATATATATATATATATATATATATATATATATATATATATATATGTATATATATATATATATATATATATATATATATATATATATATATATATATATATATATATATATATATATATATATATATATATATATATATATATATATATATATATATATATACATACATATATACGCTTCTCTACCGATCATCATTGAACGCTGCTTTCAAATCCCCTTTTTTTTTATCCAATAGATATTCAGACACTGATATAAAATGGCATAACCCCATAAAAAGTTACTGACCTGGATAAACCCAATACAGTGCTTTATATAGGGGTTAGGGCTCATGTTCAGACACAGCCTATAAATCAATAAACCAATCTTAAAAGCTTACGCTGAAAATATGCTTATTTACTTACTGTAAACATCCTGACTTGTTTACTATCCTCCTCACAGACAAATTTAGCTCTCCGCCTGGTGAGGCGAAGCTCCTCAATCCTTGGGGGCTTCACAAACACAATGTATGGTTTGTATTCAGAGGTGTAAACAAGTTTTATCTTCTGCAGTGAAAAGAAAAGAGGAAATGGGCAAGATGAAGATTAAAAAGTTTGGTTCAGTCAGGAACCTTTTCACGTCAAGTGCATCCATATGCATTGCTCATGCAAAATTATGCATGTGCAGCAATAAAACCACCATTAACTCTTTTCTGTAGCTAAATTACAATATACCTGGAAAATAAAGAATAATATATATTTTTTATGCAGAGTGTAGAATGATATTTCCCACAATGCATTGCAAAACAGTTACTGCTCCTTGAATTAACTGATATGCTGTCAGGCCCAACAGATTTAATGCTCAACTGTACCTGCTAGTTTTGCATATCTAAAAACAAAAAAATGTGCAAGCTTCTCTTTGCAAAGTATGCCAACTCAGTTTGAATGGATTTTAAATATTTATGTTGTGTCAAAGATTCTTAGTTAAATTTAGGTCTGGACTTTGACTGGGCCATTGTGATACATGGATATGCTGTGTTATAAAACTATGGCTCTCTAACTGTGGTTTAAGTACCGCTGGTGATACTTTGCCTGCATTTAGTGGTTATTATATTGAGTTTCAGACATCTTGATTCAGGTTGGAAGACAATAGAATATAAAGATGGACATCGCTTGTGACATAAAACTCTGTAACTATTTTATAAAATTAATGATACTGTATTTCTTTGGGTTTTGTACTTTATACACTGTCAACAAGTTCATGATGTAGAATATAAAGCAATGTTTGCATGAAAGAATGAATGAGATATTACATGCTAGAAGAATAAGAAAATACATTTTGTGTTTTGTTTGTCTTGTTTTACCTCAATATTTCTCACTCCATAAACACAGGAAGCCATATTAGATTTTCAGATCAGGGCCGGTAAGAAACCTGCAGCTTTCTTATTCAAGAGGACCATTTTCAGTTTTTTCAACAAACTTCTTTTACATTGAAATTAAAAGTGAAAAGAAAAATGAATCCAATTTCTAAACCAACTAGAAGTTGATATGGAGATGTTTTTTGCTTTTTATAATATATTTGGACAAAGTGAACTTTACCTGCAGCAATATTATTTGAGTATGTGAAAGATGTTTGCATAGGTAGCACTTAACACGTTTTAGATCTCAGTGAAACCGTTTTCTGCTGTATGTTTAGTCACTGTTTTGCCAGATTTACAACCACCTTCCAATCAGTTCCAACCAGCTTCCCAATCTCTGTTGAGGAAATCAGTGGTGTCAAAAGTACACACATTTGTTACTTAAGTAGAAGTATAGATACTGCAGTTTAAAAACACTCTGGTAAAAGTTGAAGTATCAACTTGACCTCTTTACTCAAGTAAAAGTGAAAAAGTAAGTGCTCCAGAAACTACTTAAAGTATAAAAGTATAAAGTAACCTTAGAAAAACGCCAGATGCCACTATATGAATTAAAAGCTCAATTTTTGTCTATTTCAAAAAATTCTTTGAGATAGGGCCAAGGATGAGGGAGGTCTTGTTGGTCTCTGTCTCCATCTCCCGATACGCTCTCACCTGTGTCCGACCTTTCAGACATTTAGACATGTTTTTCTGAATCCGACATTGTAGCATGGCATAGACAATTCACGTTTACAGTTTGAAGAACACCTGCTTGCTTCTGATGAACTAACCAATGAGTGTTTGCGTTATACGACTCATCCAATTACACTAGTTTTCACTAGATGTGGATGGAGCCAATGATCTGCATTGGATGGCGCACATGACGTGAAATATATATTTAGAAACATTAAACCACAGGTAACTAATAAAAAATCAGTGGGGTCCGAATAAAGAAAATCAACCAGTAAATGTCAGGAGACATTTTTAATGATCTGTTACTTTAAACAGAATTTAACACTCAAATAAAATGACGTATTTATGCATTCATGTTACACTGAATTAAAAAAAAAAAAAGATGAAAAAATAAAAATAGAAATTGCCAAATATTGCATCCTGTTCTATCTGAGAGGAGTTTACACTTGTATGACTGTATTCCTGTATATCCATCACTAGTTAAAAGACCAGATTCAGCAAATGCAAATTCTGCCCTGTAAAACAATGACAGCGCAATTGTCGCTGTACGATCAGAAGCCTCATTTGGAGCTTTTAAACAGGCTTTTGAAAAACTCTGATAGTTTGCTGCTGTAATATTATAGATTTTTTAGAATAAAAAGCTAGCAGATGTGAATAATCAAAAAATAACAGAAACACAGTTATAGAGCATTCAGTATTGTAAGAAAGCCACACTGTTTCTGAATAAATACATTATTGTATGAGTTACGTTCCGTTTTTGTCTCTTTCCTTGTAAGTATGAAATGTCCCATGCTCCCGAATGCACCATAGCTGTCTGACGCTCGCGAATGCGTCACACTGGTCTGTGTATGCGCGTTTGATTTTCAGCTGAAGACAAAGCTTTGCAGTTTTAAAACCCACGTCGGATAATCGCTGTTTATAGTTGTGTGTGAATAACAAGAGACTACAACAAATAAATCAGCTTTACCTCGGACAAAATCTTTGGATTTAATGTTGTTCATAACATCGCAGTCCGCTAATCCGTGACCTGTGCTTTAAACCGAAGCCAAGAGTAACGAGTAACGATTGTTTTAAAAATGTAAGGAATAGAAAGTAAAGATACTTGTGTGAAAATGTAATGAGTAGAAGTCAAAAGTAGGAGGAAAAATAAGTAATGGAGTAAAGTATAGATACCTAAAAAGTGTACTTAAGTACAGTAACGAAGTATTTGTACTTCGTTACTTGACACCTGTGGAGGAAATACATTCCCACAGCATAATGCTGCTATCTCAATGTTTGACAAGGAAAATGATGTGACCAGGGTTCTAGTTTTTCCCCAAAAGAACATTTTTGATGCTGACCAGAAATATCACTTTTGGTCAGTTGTGAGCAAAGTAGCTTTTATTTTTCTGGCCCCTGAATGGCTTGTATTACACTATAAATGCAGAATTGAACTGTTCTGGCCTGATGCAATAATTGTTTTTTTATTGTGCTGTTGGTTCATTAATGTTCTTTAACAAACCTGATTGTGATGTTATAAAATGAGAAATAGTCCAAGTGGTGCGAATGCTTTGCAATGCATTGTAACTGATTATTAATAAAACTGTGAATATAAACAAGAAATCATCTTGTAAATGTCATGCTTACACTTGGGTGCACATCAAGGAGGCACACTTTTCCCTCAGCCATCACTCTCTGGACAGAGTCCAGATTTGACCCATAGTAGTTACCTCTGTAATGTCCATACTCCACAAACCTTACAGGTACAGTGAGGGAAGGAGAAAGCAGGGAAAGATGGCTTTGAATGGATGAACATAGATAATCAAACAGATTTAAAACAGGACTATTTATTCCACACCTGTGATTGAGAATGAGCTCTTCAAACGCCTGAACTGTAACAAAATGATAATCCACCCCTTCTCTCTCTTTACTCTTCTTCTCCCGTGTTGTGTCTGAAAAAATGAAACGCCTCCTCATGTTTGCAAAAAGAAGAAATGTTCTAGTGTGCTGCTATAAAATTCAAAAGTAATGAAACCTCAAGATGTGCAACTTACACGGCACACTGACGCCATAGCGGTCCGGGTCAGAAATCACCAGCCTCCTCTTCAGTTCGCTCACGCCAACTCCGCTGGGCCCTCGAGGCACGGATCAAAACACAGCACCCAGAATGTGGGTTTTAATTCTGAATATTACAGTGTACTGATGCTTTTCATGAGACGAGCCCAACAGCAAATGACACATCTGTCTTTGTCATCAGAGAATTAGAAACTAAATGAAAATCAGACAGACGAAGCTCTGATTTCATTCTAACAATGCTGCTCAAACAGCCTACTGTCTGTTCAAGGCCTAATGCTCCTACACTCTCTGGAAAAACCATATCATTCTCTCTAAATGTACCATCTGTAAACCCATGCAGTATCAGTGTCACAATAATGTAGGAGCGCACACATTTGTCCACATGTTCGTTCAGTATTGTAGCAGCTGGGACTGATGCAGAGCCAGATTGCATCAGTCTCTAATGGGGAGCAGCCTTAAAGCAGGATTCCTGTCATACCTGCCTTTTCCATCACTGGACTGCATGAGTTTGATACATGACCAAATATCTAGTTTATGGACTTGCTACCCTTTCAGTGCTGATGTGCTCCACAGCTGCTCTGAAAATCTGCAGAGGAGTATCATCAGGCTCACTGGATGATTTCTTTCCGTTCTTAATTTCTTTTCAAGGGTTACATGATATGTGGGGCATTACTTGCATCGGCTGTCCGAGGGTAAATGGGTCTTTAGTTTAGAATGAAATGTGCAAGCAATGCAAACAATAAGGGCTTTCAATGTGGGTAGAACTCGTCCATCTGGTTCTGGATTAATAATCCTATAGCTTTAGCTTTTTCCTGTCTAAAACGTTTATTACCAGTGACCTATATTTTCCTAATGATGACCTAATGATGTCTACTGTCAATGAGGATCCTTTGCAGCCGGCAGTAAAAACAGAACCAGAAGTCGAGGTAGGCACCAGCTCAATTAAAGGAGTCTATATCCAAATCCAAGCGGTTTTAAGCACGCCAATATGATGATAAACCACCTGGCTGACATCATGAGGGATCTTATTCACAAGCATTTGTCTCTTTCCTCCCATTCAGCTATCTTTTATCTCTTCTCTACATGACCCTGCTTTTGCATCTCTTCGGTTCTTTGTCTTTTTTTTTTTAACCTCCCTGTATGCCTTTTTTTATCACTTCCCCACATTTCTTCCCTCTTCCATTCCCCTCAGTCCTTCTATGACCTTCAGTTGTATCCTATTATAACATTAAAAAGACCTCTGGCGGGGCTCAGTCTGGAATTCCCAGTGGGGAGATAGAGCTCAAAAATACACAGAGCAGACCTGCAGGATTGGCAGAGAAGTGAATGTGGGGTTGGACCTCTGCATTAGTTGAGTGAAGACGATATATTTTAACTGGAAGATTTCTGACACTGTTTATGTGGTTATGATGGGAAAGGATTATTTTTTCAAATCAAAAGTGGGGACATAAATCTTCATCAAGACATAACATTTTCTTTTGATCAACCACAGATTCTGTATTTTTCTATTCTTTGTTTAAATAAATAGGATGAAGGTGTTTTGTGTTCTCACGTTGCCATAAAAGCAGTGGATTGATATAAGGCAGAATTCAATTGAGCACAGCACCATTTATTTTTTTTACACATAACTCAACAATTGCTACATTTTTGCTTTGAGTTTCACTGGATTAATTTATCGGAACACTTGTGCACATCAGGTAAAAAAATCCAGACTTTGAATTTAGATGCATTTTAAACTTTTTTTTACATACCAACCAGCACAATGAGTCTGTGTCTGTCATTTGGCTCCTTATGGTAGGGCACCACCTCTATATAAGTAGGAGGACAGATGGCACCGTGTACCTCAGAGTTCCACCTCCGTAACTGAGTAGTTTTCCTGGATCTGCTGCTTTTTCGTCCGAGTCGGAAACTCCTCCTCAGACCAGCTGGGTCGACAAAACAGACAATAATCATTAAACAATGAAGTGTTTGAAACTTTTTTTTATCTAAAACTTGCTATACCACTATAAGTCATGCATTTTCTTTTTTTTGACAAAACCACAATTCTTATTTGTATTTGTTTGATGTTGGAATAAGTAGACCATTCCATATGGGTTAAACATTCACCTGTAGTTGAGTTATCGTACGGAGAAAAAAGGAAAAACGATTGAAGAATAGAGCTTATTTTGTAGGTTTTAGAACACTCCAACCAGGGACTGAAGTTGAGGATTAGCAATAGCTATAAACTCTTTGTGCACCACATCATTTGCCATGTTGCTGCACTATATATAAAATGGATGTTGATTAAAAATATAAAATATATAACATGCAAAAACATTATTTATTCATTTCATAGCTTTTATCAGAAGCTCTGAGCAAAATTACAGTTGTCCTTCATATATATATATATATATATATATATCACACAATTATCTTATCTTTTATTTTTATAGTGTAGTTTATTGTGTATTTTACTTGTTGCTGGATTTTTGGATTAAAAAATCAACTAGATAGTTCTCTGCAGGTGAACGTCCTGTCATGTCAGGGGCTTCAAATCAGCACAAAGGAAATTTAATATGGATGCAAAGCCCATGAAAAACAGTGTTATGATTACAGTTTTAAGCATTATATTTCAATTTCTGAAATGTCTACCATAATAAACCACAGGCAAACTACTAGATGCATTTAGACTGAGAATAACAATGAAATAAGGCAATATGATGCACTGCTGCAAAATCTCTATTAAAGAAAGATGCTAATGGCTAAAAGTCAATGGAAGTTTCCATATGATGTAAGTACCCAATTTGGATGATTACTATTTTAGCTTAGATTTGATTAGATGCTGATGCATTGTAGAATAACCTATTTTATCTTATTTTTCGGTTCAGTTTTAAAGCTTGTACAACAGGAGCATTTTTTTCACATTGACTATTCAAATGGACCAATAAAAATGACAGAAAAAAAAATTATTGCAACAGCGGAAAACAATTTTAACTGGTCTTGTTCTGAAAAGAACAATGTAAACATCTCCTAATTATGGAAGGGACTCTATAACAACAGGGTCAGTTGTGAGGGCAGGACACCACAGCAGCACTGGATGTGCATTAGGAGGAGGGGGGACGAATGAGAATGATAGATGCTTTGAAATAAATCCCTAAGTTTCACCAAAAGAAGCTAAAGTTGGTAGACTTTTTTTAAAGATCAATTGATTAATGGTTTCAAAACTTTTGATTTTTAACTATTATTAGCAGATGAGTTGATAAAATAAAAATAGCAACAAAGTTGTCAAGTTTACTTGTAGCCTTGGTCCTACAAGGGAAACAATCAGGACAAACAACAAAATAATTGCACACGCTTATATAAAAAAAAGCCACCTAGTGGAGTAGTTCATCAAATATCTTTGATGCTTGGAAATAATCCACAAATGCATGGAGAGGATATGCAAACACAGTGCAGAAAAGCTCCTTGTCAGGACGAAAAAACAAAGCACCTTCTTGGTATGATGATACAGAACAGAGCTAAAAATGACCTTGGGTTTCATGCAACCCTCTTTAGGCAGGGATACATAAAAAACTGACCTCAACATAAAAGCCCATTGAACTGAAACCATTAAACATCTGACAGAACCAATGTTGTTTCATATATATGTATTCCCACACAATTATTTGCATTTCAATAGTAACTAATCTTTATATGACTGGTTGCACTGTAGCATCACAGCACTGTAGCATCACAGTAAGTACAACTTTCAGGTTATTTAGTGCAAAAAAGAATGAAGTGTGTTTTTTTGTTTCATAAAAGGTATTAGATTTTATTTGATCTACATTTTGTTTATGAACAACCTTTTCTATTTATCACAGCCTGTTCAACAGTTTAGTTTTGCTGAAATTTCACAGATTTTAAAACAATATTATAGTTATTTCCTTTGAATCATTGCATTACTTTAAGGCTTGCTCATTTCTGGCTCTGTAACAATAATTCTTTTAACATTTTGATTCTGTTTGGGTGCCAATTAAGAAATTGAAAAATTATACAGCTCAATTCTAACGATGAGGACTGACTGAATGGCAGACTGTAAGGGCCATCTATTTCTGAAACCATCAACCCTGAGATCAAAGCTCTGGTGTTTAGCAAAACATGAGCCATGTCTCAGAGAAGACACATCTCAGCCTGTCACGCTTTGCTGGTGTTCTGTCTGACATCCAGCTTCTATAACGCGGCCGTGGTTTGGCTCCTCTAGCCAGGTTCGTTCTCCCTCATGATGTTAACCACCATTATGTCTCAACGCCAAGTCTTCTTTCACTAAATTTAACTCCATGCCATGTACAGAGAATAAGTATTCTCTGCTAAAATGGCCGGATTTGAGTTTTATTCTCCGTCACAAAGTGCTTAAAGACTTAGACAGACACCAGTTAGAGGAGCTAAGTGACTGTAAATGATGCTGTCTTATATATTATTGAGACAATTCCTGTAACTAAACACAAATAATACCACGCTCTTTAATACTGTACATATGGGTTGTGTCCTTGTGCTGCTCTTAAAAAATGTAGTCGTAAGAAAAAAATAAGAATGCTCTATAACTTGTAAATTAAAGCTATATTGATGTAAAAATGCACAATTTTATCATACAAGTGTGTGATTTTGTTATTTTATTTATGTTAATTCATTATGCATGCAAAAAAATGCAAAGAAGAAATTGCTGTTAAATGTTTATTTTAGATGCCCTGGCGCCTCTGAGCAAGTACTGTACTTAGTTTATTATGCCAATGGATCCATTCCAATAAGACCTTACCTTCTTAGCTTGTCACCACCCTTTGTAATCATTTGCTTAAAGGCAACTACCTTAGCAACAAGGCCCAAGAAGAAAATGTATCATTGGGTTTATTGATGAACAAGCATAAACCTCTAAGACATAGAAAAAAAATATTGTTTTTTTAAGTCTAAAGACCTTAAAGCACCTCAGCCCCAAATTTAAAACTGTGATGGCAGCATCATGCTGGGGACACTTATTAAAGCAACGTTTTGGGAACTATTTACACTGCAAAAACTGGAAATCTAAATAAGTAATTTTTGCTTAAATTAAGTGCATTTTTTCTTGAATTTAGGAGGTAGTTGAGACACTTTGCCAATGGAACACGACAATTTACACTTAAAATAAGAAAAAAAACAACAACAAAGTCTTATTTCAAGTGCATATTATCTAGTTATCTTATTTTAGTGGTAAAATATTAATTCCATTGGCAAATCATCTTATTTACCTACTCAAATTAAGGGTAAATACACTTAATTTAAGAATTTCTAAAACCTATTTCTAGATGGTTTTTGCAGTGCATTAAAGTTGACCCTGAAATGTCATAGCTACAACATTTTCATCAAAATGTCATCTTTATATTTCCGTATCCTCTCTACACTCATTTGCTAAGTTGTAATATGTTTTACATCTTCATTGTAGAAGAAAAAATGTCCCCAGGTAGGGATAATTTGGCTTTGATTGTCCATCGTCTCACCAATGTGAATTCCTGTTATAGCTCCATAGTCCACATCCTCTGTGACTGGAAACACTGAAGGAGAAAAAGGGAGATGTGTAAAAAAACAAAAAAAAGGGGAAAAAAAGTTATGTAGCTACAAAAATATTTAAAAAAAATTAAAACATTAAATTTCGGCTATTTGTTTATGGCTTGAGAAAGCTAGATTAGCCTTTGATACAGTAGATCATTTTAAAACGTGAATTAACATACAAATCTGTTTAAACTGGGGTTTTGCTGAAGGAAAACTTATAAAAAAGAAGGAAAAGTGAACTGCCAGTACCTTCACTGTCATCTGTGGAGCATGTAGAGCAAAACAGAGAAAGTCAGTATGAGTGGGAAGGGCAGCCAAGCCAACCTTCCATAGGACCATCTTCCAATCAGTTAAACTTCTCATCGTCCAAAAGGTTTATTGGAATGTCTATAAATGACACTGATCACCTGCTGGCTTGGTTTGAAGATTCTTGAACAGGGCTCTGGGTCGTTGCAATGCAACTCTTCTGCAGAGGTTAAAAAGTTGGACAAAATAATTATAAATTGTCTGAATTTTTCCTTAACTAAGAGTGGGTGGCTGTATGGAAAGATCACCTTTCATGCAGCTGCTTCGAAGGGATGAGGCCTGCTCGACTGCTGCCGTCTCCAAGGCGACAGGCCTGCCACCAGGTATCATCGTCCGTGCTGACAACCTGGAGGACGTCACCTCTTTTAAAGGCCACTGCTGCCTCCTTACAGGGGATGGTGGGATCCTCCGTGGGATCATAGTCAAACAGAGCCCTAACAAACAACTGATGAATAAGAAACACATTTTCTTATCTTAAAAAAAAAAATATGAGAAGTGAAAAATCTATGTACTCTGGCTGCTTTTCCATCTCTACTTTTGAACATCTGCATCCTGACAACAAACACATCATTTCTTAGCTCCCCATGTGTCATTTTTGAAAAACGACTCCAATTACTGAAAATCATTTCAAAAATTTCGCCTGCTCTCAAAACAGTTTCCAGCTCCCTCATCTAATGTGAGGACAAAGTGGCTGTGATCCATAGTACTTTATGGATAAAAAAATAGCAAATTGCGAATGTTTCTGCAAAATATAACATTTCATTTATATATTTAATTTAAGTGAAGCCCAAACACTGATGGTGCCAAATGAATCTAATTCTATCGACATATGCTGAGGAACAGGCTATGGAAATGACAGCAAAACTGGATAATACAAAGCAACTTATCTTATTACATCCATTTTTGTTACATATAGGTGAAAATAGTATTTTTGTTAGTTCTGTGTAACAGATCAACACAAAAAACTTCACAATTGTGATATGGAAGAATATAAGTAGCTAGAATACATTTATAATCCGTCGCCTTGAATCAGTCCTTAAAGAACCATCTTATGCTGCCATTGTATGTCTTTATGATCTTTGCACATATTGATTTCACCCATTCCTCTTTGAAAAGAATCACATTTCATTTAAACTGGAAGGACAGAATCCATGAACATCAAATTTTAAGCTTTGTTAGAATATCTTTGTGAGACTGAGGTTTTGAGTTGGGACAGGGTTGCTTTAATAAACATGTTGTAAAAAAAAAACATCTAGAGCTTGGTTAGTGTCCTGCTGGAAAGTCAACCTCCAACCTGGTCCAAAATCTTTGAAGGATTTCTCTTAAAGGTTTTCTTCAATCAGTGTTCATGTGCCTTCCATCTGCTTATCAACGATGACTAGCTTCTTTTACATGCAAAGATTCAGTGTCAAATAATTACCTGGTTTCTGCTGTGAAACTCTGCAGCTCCTCCAAAGTTTCCATCATCCTTTATTCTGCTGCTATCATTCATTTGCAGCTTACCTGTCCCATTAATTAATATGGATGGTTATATCTTGTAAGGCCTGCAGCCATATTCAGATGATGGATTGAACAGCTTGGAATATCGTTTTATTGTCTAAACCTTTAAATTAAACTTATTTTAAATTTCCTGTATGTCTATATGATGCTAAATATTTGTAACAAATATCTGAGGCCTTTTCAGAACAAATAAATGAATGCTAAGTTTTAATTAAGTACAGATAAAATCTACATATATACTTTCTTTGTAATTCATTTTAGCTTATACGTGTAAACAAAAGTTTCAAAACATAATGAACTAAAAATGTGAAGGGGGAGGGGGATCTTCAATAATCATCTCAAGTTTAATCTACAACCATAATCTCAGGTGAACACTGAGGGTCATGTAGAAACCCTGACTGTTAAAATACTAAGACAATATCAAGTCGCAAAGCATTTAAAACTGACTTTAATATCTGCTTTACCTTCGTCAAACATAATGACATGTCCTCGTTAGGAGATCCAGGAATGATTTTCAATTTAACAGCATCCTTAGAGCAAGCCTACAACAAACACAAAGAAACTTTTTTATGTTTCTGGTGTAACAAAAAGAATTATTGCTGATAATAAAACAATGAAGTTTTAAATAGCTAAAGAGATCAATTAGGTATAGGGGATGAGTTCAAAATGATTGTGTGGTGGATGAGAACACCTTGTGGTTAAAAATAATACACATAAAAAATACACTATGTAAAAACTCTTACATTTATACCATACAAACATTTCTGACAAAAAATTGTTAATTTTTGAACAGACATGAGTCAGATTTCTTTAGGTAAAAACTCATATTTCCAGTCTTGAAATCAAACCCAAGTTCGTTCTCCAGTTTGCCTTCCACTTATACTGTAAGGTACATGTTGTAATTAAAGCTACAGTAATATTCTTACCACTTGCACTTCGGACAGATTGTATTTCACTAAATAAGTTACAGAAACTCAGAATTTCATATTAACTTTTTGAATTTCTAAAATGCAGGGAAAATACATTTCTATTGACTAAAATTAGAGTTAGCCTGGTTGCTCAGCACAATAATGTACAAATCGCACCAAATTGAGGACAAATCATACTGACAACATCTCTTTTGATTGTACTAAAAGGCTTTTAAATAATCCATAAAAGCTTATCTTAAAGGGACTTTAAGATAAGCTAACTAAAATAAGATAAATAAAGGGTCCATCCTGATGGCGTTTACTTAGACTTAGACTTACACAGAGGGTATACAAAGCGAAATCTCCTTTTGTACAGCTCTCATGACATTTCAATTTCTTAAAGTGCAGCAGTGATTAAATGTAAAAATTGTTGGAGAAAATGTTTATTTAGTCCCGTTTGAGCCTATAAGTAATTTTTGCACAGGTTATTATTAGCAGACATTAAAACTACTGTATATCTTTGCCATCTCCGGGCAGTATTTACTTATGCATCCATCATCTTTGCACCTTCAAAGGGTTTCGCTCCCGCTTCAGTAAACATCTTTTATATCATATTATGAATGGCACTCATGTCTTATCCCTGTTTGCATCATTTTTTTTATTTTTTTATTTCTCTTTTTCACAGTTGATTTTAAACTTTTCATATTTCTTTTTGCACACCTGCTGGGGAAACGCCGACTTAGTCTGCTCCATAGCTACCCTGTTTACTCATTCCATGCATGCCCTATACTGTCAGGTGGCCTCTTGATGGTAAATACTGGAAACACTTTACAAACAAATGGAGTGAGTAATGTGCCTGACCAGAAGGGGAAGGATTTCTTTGGGCTTTCTGTGCTCCAGTGAAACTCCATTCACCTCCTTCAGCTCATCCCCTTCATGAATCAGACCTTCAAAGGGTTAAAAACACACATCATGCTGTTATTGCCATTTTGTAATAAAATAAGCTCACTGAAATCAAACATTTGGTTGCTTAATGCATTCACTTACCCATCATACATTTCCCAACTATTTGAAAAGATTTTGAGAACATGCAAGACAAACTGTTGCAGTAATCTGAGCTTTCTGAATTTACATGGAACATAACAGCTTATTCTCCTTCATCTAATATCTGCATGATGCAGGTCATTTGGTTGAACTGAGGTTACTACACTATTCCCCACTTAAGAACAAAAAAGGATAAGAGCTCTTGAAAAAATACCTTATGTTTGCAGAAGTCCCTGTTCGCTAAATTATAAATATTTTTGGCAGATTTATTAAAACTGATCACGAATCAGAGAAATTTTTGAAAAATGTAAATTCATTTAAAGTTTACAGGGACTGATCAATCTAGTAGTTTCAATAATGCAAATTAAACATTCAGAATCTCATTGCTGTTTACATGCATGTCTTAAAAATACAAATATATTTATTTTCACTGCCTTTAACTTTTTCTATATCCAGTTTGCATGAACATTAACAACAGTGTAATTAAGAATGAAATTATGGCTATCACCTTCTTTTCAATTTTTATTTAGTATACTTTGAAATGTAGTTACAACAAAACAAATTGGAGTTTTATGTAAAAAAAAACATGTTTTCAATGCCGGTTGAGTAAAAGACATTAAGCTTTTATATTTCAACTTAATATTATATTAACAATAGAATTTTTAAGCTGTTTAACTTACCGGTCTTGTCAGCTGAACCTCCTCTGATGACCCTGGCCACAACGATAGCCCCTGTGGATTTGTCTCTCTTAATTGTTGCTCCCTTTAGAATAGAGATTAATAATCAAAAAGAGAACCAACAAAACAAAGGGAGGCAAAGAGGTCAAACAATGGAGTAAACAAAAGAAATAACATATTGAATTTATTATGGCATGTTATTATGGAAATCTTTTGACTTAGAGCCCTATCTGGCTCATGCAGTATTTTGTTTCATAGAAAGTCTACTTAGATGCCCTCATGAGGAGCTGAAAAAGGTTATCCAAAACCAGCGTTATTTACAACAGATGTTATTGATGTGGTGCAATGCAAGACTGGAAAGAGCATCTGATGCAGTTGGCTGGCTGCAATCATCCCCCGCTCGGGTGAAACCCTGTTGTCTGGAAAATGGGAACATGTTGGATCAATCAGTGGGCCAAAGTCAGAGAAAGGTTAGTCCTCTTCCAGTCTCCGATCAGGATCAGTGCTCAAGTATGTTCACCATTAGTCGTCCAAAGTGTCTTTGAAAGCAAGCCTTAGCGAACACGTGCCTATTTGATAAATGAGTCACTGAAAACATTTGATTTTTCTTCTGGTTTGCAATATATCTACAAACCTTGGCAACAGAAAGTGATAAAAAAATGCATGTTCTCTTTAACCTGAATGGAGTTTTAAACTTAATTTAAAGGTAATGTATAACACCTATTCTATTGTATTAAAACTAATTAAATTGAAAAAAAATGCTTATGTGTGTAATTGCTTGAATGTGTTTGAAACAAAAAGTGTAGAAAAATAATTAATTTGAGCTATTTTTATTTTGAAAATAAAAATACTGAAGAAAACATAAAAAAATTTAATAAAATAAATAAATAAATAAAGTTTTGTGGCACTGGAAGGTCTGTGGCTCCTGCATCCTCACTAGATATTTCTTTTGTCCTTTACTTGATCCAGGAAAGTTTTTAGAATTAAGAGACAATGACATGGAATAAGTAATAAAGCAGAACATTGGGGCAGCATCAGGAAAACTGCCTATGATTAAAAGCCTTGAAACTAATCAGTGTGCAAAAGCAACAGAAAAATGAATTAACCCATCCTTCTAAATTTGCAGTCCTGCTTTAATGACTCCATTATGATGTCAATGTTTGCATTATTTCACTTTAGATAAATATAAGAGCTGGAACTGTAGCATGTTGTGTGTCACAGTGATATGTAGCATAAGAGCTGTGGAATAAAACTTGGCTTTAACAAAGAAGTGAAAAGTTCAAAAAGAAATGCAGCACAGATTGCAGCAGGAATCCCTCCCTTGGTTGTTTTTTCATGATCCCCATCAGGTGTTTCATCCTGCTTGGTAAAAATGTGTGTCTGGAATCATGCTTAAAACATGACAAACTAGATTTAAACATCAAATCTAACCTTAAGCTCCAAGCCTGTCAAACTGTTTGATCTAGAAGATGAACTTTCAGTATCTGTAGATGAATGAATTCTTGGGAAGCTTTTCAGTGCAGCTGTGTTAAAGGCCAGAAGGGTCCGACTGTAATAAATGAATAATAATTTATAATTTAATAATAATTTTTCTTGATAACACTATAAAGCTATGAATGGGTTGAACAAATATGACAATTCTGTGTTAATTTTTGTATTTCTAGAACTATTCATATTCTCATATTTATTTTATATTATATTATATTTAATGATGCTTGTGGGGATAAAAAAATATTAGCTGTATGTTTGTTTAGACATATCAGTACTGCTGTTGCTAATATGTTTTCCATCTGCACTTTTGCGACACCTAGCGGTAAATTTGGTAACTGCAATCAATTGTCCTCTTCTAATTGGCTGCAGTTACCAATTAGATTGAAGACTAATAAATATAAGTCTTTCATCTAATATCTATCTAATATTGCCATAAAAGGAAAACAATACAATTATTTACTATTACACAGCAGTAATTAAAACTAGTTTTGATATTTTTTTGTTTCCATGTGCTTCATCAGCATATTTTTTAAAGATAAAAGATTACTCTGAATATAAATCTTTCTACAGTAGGAAAGAATGACATGAATTCAGAAGATTGACAACTTATCTGTGTCTTTATAGTTTGATTGCACATAGAGTGTGGTACAGATACTCACCAGGGGCTCTTTGGTTTTGACCAGGGTCACAATTTTGACCGAATCTTCTTCTTCTGTCATTGCATTATCAGGTAGGGGTGGCAGGGCAGGCTCAAAGTCTCTCTGAGCTACAGAATCATGCGTACGCAGGAGACTCTGAAAAAAATTAAAGATGGAGTTCGGCATGAAGGATCTAACCTTGACCCCAGGAATTATGGCAGTATTTACAACATTACAACAATTAGAAAACAAACAAACAGGTTTAAATTATTTGAATTGCCAAATCAAGACTGAACTAACTGGCCAGATGTAAGAAGATCCATTAATCAGGATTCCTCTATTCTGGTTCTTAAAGTCTGATGTCCTGCACCATTTAGGTATGTCTCTACACACTTGAATCAAATAGCTAAATTACCTCCTCATCATGCATCCTTTTTAACCTCTGAACAGCAACATCCTTTGAAGTAATCCTTGCCTATTTTGCATACCCAAATGGAAGAGCAAATAACTGAGGAACTGTGAGCCCAAATGACCCTATTGTGTGATACATCATTTGAAAGCTAACACCTTCTAGTTTCTGAAAATATAAATGAAAATTGGGTGAGTAAAAACACAGCCTAAGTTGCATACGTTCAAACAAACAGTTCAACTTGGGAGCTAAGATTGAGGAACACTGCCCTAAAATAATCGCTGTAAAAAAGAACAAACCAGAAATGTGGAGTTGTGAGAATTTTATTTAAACTGGTGATAAACTTAAGTTCATATTACTGATGCCACCTGATAAAAACCTGTTGCTGATATTGCAATTCCTATACAGTACAGATACAGTAGTAAAATCAGTTTACAAATGTATTGATATCATTTGAACAAAATCCCATTTTTTTATTTCAGAACAACACATTTCAAACTTTTTTAAGTTTTAAAGTGATAGAGCAACACAATCTGGAGGTAAATGATATGTTGTCTTGAACTGAACCTGCCCCATTGACTCTGAATCTGAAGTAGCCTGACTAATTGGTGGAGTCTCAGTGTTAGTCAACTAAGAGCATTAGCAGGGCTGTTATTATTGTAAATGTAATATTTTATTCATTCTATTTGGTTTGTTTTCTCTATCAGCGATCGATCCATCCTCTGCACTTATCCATCAGACTAATGGGGGGCTTGCTCCTAACTCTAACAGCCTATTGGTCAAAAGGTGAGAATACACTGGACGAGGTGGATAATTAAGGTTCTGAAAGTAAAAACCTTCCTTGTTGTCCTACTTACTGTTCACTTAAACAGGTGATTAGCCCAATAGGTGATTCATTTGTATTGTGGAGCTGGAAATGCAAATGGTTGGAACTGATCTCTGGATAATCCAGGTCTTCTGTATCTGGATTATCCACCTCTGGTCGCCAGTCCAACGCAGGACAGCATAGAGACACAATGATGCGTAAACCAATTCAATCCAATTATTTTTGTAAAGCACATTTAACAACACATTATTGAGCAAAGTTTTGTACATAACAATATGAAAAATTGTTAGAAAGTAAAACAAAAATAAACAGTGGCAATAGCATCAGACAGACATATATTAAAGTACACAACTGACTCACGGGATAAAAAGCAAGGGAGTTTAAAGCGTAATTGAAACACCTTACCAAACCAATTTATTGATGAGATTGTGTCTTTCTAATATCAATATTTATACAAAAAAATATATATATATTAAAAGAAATGAAAAAACAAAGCTTTCTTCATAATTTTTTGGCAAGGGTGTCGCGGTGTTAACCTGACTCCCAGATGGATTTGCTCCGCATATCCATCTGGAAACCTTCCGTTGAAGTAATTTTGGGAAGGGGCGAAAATACTGGTTAGCTGATTGGCCTATGTTGGTGATAGACGGGCCAAATAAACCAATCAGATCAACGAAGCATATAACGTACTAATAGAGCGACAACAAAGAGGAGCCAACTGATAGATCAAACTCTTGCCGAAAACAGTCGGGAGAAGAATCAAAAACATCTTTTCCTCTGAGAAAAGCCTCCAGAGCAGTGTTTTGCTCTTCTTTCAGTGAAGAAATACTCTGTATTTCCGATAAAACTTGCTTGATAGCCACACTAACACTAGTTTCATCGGCTGAAGCCGCCATGTTCTTTAGACTCAACTGTCGCACTTCTCGTTGCGTCTCACCTTAACCCGCCTCAAAGCCAACGCTGATTGGACGTTCGTTTGTTGAACGTCTCCAAATTTTCTTCAACGGAGAGTCTCCAGACTGATTAGCGAGTGAAATCTTGAAAGCTCGCGAGATCAGGATGGTCTCACGAGGCTATCGCCGTGTTGCAATAATCCATACATTGACATCACAGGGTTGGTTAGTGCTTCCGTTAGAAGTAGAATATGATGGCGATATATCATAACCATGAAACACTTCAAAAATAAGTGTGTCTTAAGAAGTGATATAAAAGAAGATAGTGAAGGAGCCTGTCTAACATGCCGTGGTAACTGGTTCCACAACAATCAGCAAAGGCCCCTCTAAGATTCAGCATTGACCTCGCAACAGCAAGGATACATGCGGCCAATCTAAACACACCAGTAGACATAAATGAGAACTTTTTGAACTATGTGAGGAAAAAGGAGTACCCAGTGAGAATACGCACATGCACTGAGAGAGTAAGAGAACATGCTAAATTCATGCTGACCCAAGACTTTATTGTTGTTAGGCAACAGTGCTATAGACTGTGTCACCATGAAGCTGCTCTCCATCGTTTGTGTTTGTAATTTTTTGGGCTGCTTAATTTATTGCCTGAACAAGATGCAATTTGCTATGCCAGTTACTGATCATTTCAACACAAGATATGTCCTTTTTTAGTCCTTGCTGTAAATTGTTAAATTATTGCATAAATAAGTGTGCAGGTGGCTCAATGGATAGTGTGCACGACCCATGTATGGAGGCCTTAGTCCTCGATGCGACCAAACCGGGTTTGAATCTGGCCTACGGTCCTTTGCCGCATGTCTCTCCTCCTCTCTCATACCCATTTTCCTGTCAGAGAAACGAGCAACTAGTGCTGTAAAAACTCAAAAAAATATATATAATGTGTTCATATGTATGTGTTACTTCATGTGAGGCTATCACATAAAAGTCCAATAAGAAACACCCAAATAGTTGGTTTTCTTTTTTTTTTTTTTTTTTTTACATAATGTGGCTATGGCAGGGTAGGAACCTCTGTTTTGCTTAAAGAAAAACATTATTCAGAGTAGCTGTTAATCTTTCACTGCAAGCCAGAATCAAAAAAAGGGGAGATTTACTGTAGCTAAAAGGTATGAGAATATGGGAAACATCTGCTCATCAACTTCGTTTTACCAGTCAGACAATCCATCTGTCAGTTACTTTACTGGTTATCCCAAAGTCTATCAGCGCTTGCTCTGTTCAGAAGCTGCCAGCGCATGAGCAATGCAGCTCTGGCTACTGTCAAAAGGTGTTTTTTAAGGAAACAAACACCCATTTACAGCATATTATACCCAGCATCGCTCATAAGTATGTGTGAGCTTTGGCACCGCGGCCAAGTATAAACAGGTCATTAGGGCTATTTAAACAAACTTTTACTTGCCGTCTGGCTTTGACTCCTCGTAAATTAAAAAGAAAAACACAACTTTGGCAGCTCATTAAAAAAATGCGTTCTCTGAGCGGCTAGGAACGCATGAGTGCATCTGAGACATGGCTGTCAGCAGGTTTGAAATATGAAAACCTTCACTGGAGCAGTCTGGGCATCTCCGGGTCCACTGTAATAAACATCATTTTGGGAGAACATTAGCCTCAGTGCCAGTGCGGTTAATAGATGTCGGCACCTCTCAGGGGGGGCATAGGCATGTGGTGAAATCAATTTGAATACATTTTACTGCTGGATGGGTTTGTTACTGTGTGTGACTCATGTTTGAGTTTATTGTAGGAAACAGAATGCTGTCAGCCATTATAGCTTCTGTGTTTAGTCACTTTAACGAAATAGCTCAAATAAAATTTGCCAGGATGAAAGTTAACTTTATACAATCATGGATCCAGAGTCAAGGTGGTGTGCAAGTAAAGTAACTCAACGTGAAATGGCGTTGGTTGTAAACATGCTTGTTTAAATTTTTCCTTACAATGTGAAGCTTCCAATTGGATTAAGATTTAAAAAAGTTAGCTACATGTTATGTTTTAGTAATTACTGCAATTGGTTTTATGGTAACAGAAACAAAGTCATCCAACCTTGATTAGACAAACCATTAAAATCTCCAAGAGATGATATGAATAACATGTTTTCTGGGAAACCACTTAGATGTTGATATTTTATTACATCTTGTAAAAGTATTCCCGTCTTGATGCTTCTGCTAATATTTTTAAAAGGTGATTTCATTTATTTAGGGAAAGAAACGATCCAAACCAAGCCATTTCCATGTTACCCGCCCCACCTTGTTACTGCTTGTTGCTGCTTCCTAAATGAACCCTGCTTTACAATGTGAGGTAGGCCCAAAGTAGCCCATAATCAGCCAGGAAAATGTTATAAAATCGTTTTAAGGCTCTAGAACTCCAATGAACAACAGTTAGAGCTGTTATGCACCAATGGAGGAAACACAGTGAAACTTGCCAGGTGTGTCTGGCCTACAGAGATGACTCCCAGAGTACACTGACGGCTGATCACACAAGTCGCAAAACAACCAATAACAACATCTAAAGCAGACTTTGCCTGGTTCAGTTAAGGTCAGTTTTACATTAAAAATTGAAGAAAAAAAAGAGTTCTGAAGGAAAAACCATTACTGACCCAAAAGAACATAAAAACCATCCATCCATTCATTTTCTTACACGCTTGTCCCGAGTGGGGTTGCAAGGAGTGCTGGTGCCTATCTCCAGCAGTCAATGGGGGAGAGGCGGGGTACACCCTGGACAGGTCGCCAGTCCATCGCAGGGCAACACAGAGACACACTGGACAAACAACCATTCATGCACACACTCACACCTAAGGACAATTTAGTCAGTCATGTTTTTGGACTGTTGGAGGAAGCTGGAGTCCCCGGAGAGAACCCACGCATGCTCAGGGAGAACATGCAAACTCCATACAGAAAGACCATGGGCCAGGAATCAAACCCAGAACCTTCTTTCTGCAAGGCAGTAGTGCTAGTCACTGCGCCACTGAGCAGAACCAAGAAGATAAAAAGACCCAAAGACCTTTGGTAAACATGCTAACAAGACAAAACAACAGTGTGCCTCTGTTATTGGTGATGGTTTGGAGTGACCTAGTCAAATATGAATTTAAAGTCAATTAGGATGCTGTGAATAATCCTAAAAAGGCTCTTCCTGCTTGAAAGATCTTCCATTTAAAACAGAAGGCAACAATTTTCACTTGATTATTTTAGTCCCTAACCTTTTGGCTAAACTAGTAATAGCATGGATATCTCTTGCCAACCAAGCGTTAGTTAATACCCACAGGGGGGTCAACGGGCAATTCAAATCAAACTGATACGACTGCATTTGTTATTTGTCTGTACAAACAATGCAGCAGACAAAATGAAAGCCAGTTCCTCAAGGACCCAATCAGGAAATCAAAATAAAGATATGCATAAACACAACTAAACCTAACCATCGCCCATCTATGCCACACACACATTCCAACACTTTGGACGCTTTCTTGTGTTGCTTTGATAACAAAAAGTATCACAGTCTATATTTTAAAATGCAAATTAACATGAGCATTAAATGGAAGCAGGTCCAGTACTATACAAAAGTGGAGGTTATAATGTATAAGAATAGGCCAAAGTAGTCTTCCCAAATTCCGAAAGGAGAAAAGCGAAATGTGCACGTAATTAGTGGGTCTGTTGCTGGTAATCTGCACAAATTAAAAACTTTTTTTTAAAACTCTCTTTTAATAGTGTTGCATGTTTTCCCTCAGCTAACAGCTATAAGCGCGTCAGAGTGAAGAAGCTCAGCATCTAAGTTTGGCTGCATAGTTAAAGCTCAAGCCAAACTGGGTTTCTTGCCCCAGCACTGAAAACTTGTCATCCACCTCAGCTATTATGACATTTCTTTATTAACCTTTTATAGGGCACTCAATTAAATACTTTGAAAATCAACATTTCAAGCCAATAGTGTTAATAGAATCCAGGAAAAGACCTTATTACCTTTGTAACATTCAAAAATATGGATATTTTGATGGCAAAAATTATGTCAACGTAATAACAAGAAATGCCAAAATGCCTGAATATATTAAGAAAAATAACAAAAGTGCTTCTATAAGGAATTCATGAAAAACACTCAGAGTGTTTTTCATGAATTTTTTTTGGTCCAACATAACCTTAGAAGCATTAATGCTGATACTGACACTTACATTTTTTAGTTTATAAACCTAAATATAATTGTTAGCTATACCTATTAACTTTTTAACTTTTCAATTAGTTTTTTACCCCTTTTTTCCATGTAACTTTTTTTTTTATCAATAATTAATGATGATTAATTGACAGTAAGTAATATATATCATTCAAGGGCTCATCTAATTGGTCATGCCAAAATAAGATGTACAGCCAAGTAGCAGGATCTTTGCTGAATGGCTAGATATAGATTTTGTGCTTCCAGATCTCACCGAGTTATCCAAAATGCTAACTTGCGCTATAAAGGGTTAACATAAAATTTGTAAGCTTTGTCCTCCTAGAACCCCAAGTAATGAATATGTTTCTCATCCAGGCTTTATTAAAAGGGTTGGTCAAAATTCAAATAATTTCAATCGATTTATTTTGGTTGTAAATTCCTCTTTTATAGTATTGTATTCTGTTAAATCTTAGAACCAATGATATGTTTAAAACACTTTTTTTTTTTCTGTATTTCCATTACATCTTTTTCTTGCATGTGTCTTTTCTTATTTTGAACGGTGCAACGTTGGACTGGGACAAAGACTTTAAGCTTGGTGAAGTCTAAGACCACACATAATTTTGAAGTTAAATTGAGGCAATTCATCACCATGGAAAAAAATAGTTTTCACCTTAAAATGAGGTTTGGAAATGAGTGTAAGCAGTTCTTTGACTTCATCTCTCCAGCCTTGGTACAGCAGCTCTTCTGCCAACTAAAACAAAAAGAAAAGAATTATGGTTTAAACTTATGGGATTAACATCAAGCCAGCAAAAAAGGGCATTAAACTGAGATGCAAGGAAAGAGAGTAGAATAAAACTTGTAGTTGCAAATAGTTGTGTCATTCTTACAGATAATCTCATGTAGTTTCATATAGTATGGTTTTAAAACTTTGAATATGATACCCATGCTTTCTGATGCAGGATTATTAGAAGATTTAGCGAGAAATGTAAGCACCAAGTAGAGAAAAAGCAAGCAACATCATTTGCTTATCTTGTCAAGCCAATTATTATAATGATTTTTTTTTTTTTTGGCATTCTCCGGAGACACTGTGGATGAAGGCCATTAGTTTCCACTCTGAGCGAACAGAAGCCTCCGAGAGAGGAAACAGAACCACGGTTTGGCCGTTCAAACATGTCTTCATAACTTAATCCAGGCACAGAGTGCCTGTCGAATCAAATCAAAAACAAAGCGACTAAAGGAAAGGAGACAAACACAGGGGAGAGAAATGGAAACATGGCAGAAAGTACTGTGTATTCAGTTAAAAAGTGAGGATAGTGGAGAGCAAATGTTAAAATAAAGGGGTTAGATAAAGATAGTACAAAGCCTTGCAAAAAGATTGATACCTCTTGAGGCTTTCAACCTTCTGTCAGGTTACAATCACAAACAATAATTTACTTTGCTTGGTTTTCAAGCAATACACCAAAAAGTGATGTATAATTATGGGAGGAAAAACATCTATCATCGTCTATGCTGTCTTATCCATGCAGGGTTGTGGGGGTTGGGCTTGTGCCAAAGACCGCTGAAGGAAAAATTGGCTTTTCATCTGTTTATTTTTTTGTTTCACCTTTTACAAATAAAAATCTGAAAGTTGTGACAGGCATATGTATTCAGTCCCTTTTTATTTTAACTTTGATGATAAACAGATTTAAATTGAATGTTGATGTAAATTAGTAAATGCTAGCAAACAAAGCAGCATGTTTAGACCAAGAACAGCACATTGGTCAAGTTGGAAGTTTTAGAAACGTTATAGCTGGGTTGGGTTATTAAACATGGCAATCTGTCAGAGCACTACTTAATCTAAAAATGGAAAGAGTTTAAAGCAAGTGGAAATGTTCACCCAGCAGTCATGGCTGCCTATTTAAGCTTGAGCAAGGAAACCCTTAATCAGGAAAGCAGCAAGATTTCTATGAAAGCTGTGGAAGAACTGCAGAAATCAACAGCTCAGGTGGAAAGAATCCTTAAGAAATGTAACTGTTCTATGTGAAAATTCTGTGGAAACATTGCTTTTAAATGAGATTTCTAAAAAGAAATATTTAGTTGAAATAATATATGAAGTCCAGTTTAAAGCCCTAATCAAACATGTGGACAAACTTGCTTTGTTAAACCAAAATCAAACTGTTTTTGTCTACATTTAAAATACACGATGCAGTGCATTGTACATCATCCTGGTGAAACTTGATGATGGCAGCTTTACGCTGGGCATGCAAACTGGGAAACTACTCAGAGTTGGTCGCTGAGTGATGAAAGGTTCACGGGGTGCAAATACCTCTGCAGTGCAACATAGCAAGAAATCAATGTTTGATGGTGGACGGAAAATTATTTTAGAGTTGTAGTAAGCAAAGTATGTGTGTAAAAAACATTATCGCTTTGATATGTATGCTGTAAGTAGAGGTGGGAGTTAGAAAGATGGATGATGGATGAAGAATAAAAAGAGCATTTAACAGTAAGGACATTCTTAGCATAAGACAGACTGGATTATAAAGAGAGACATGGGAATCAGAACCTGGAATTTCGGTTTTCAGTGGGGAAAGTGCTTTGTCATTTTATCTGGAATCTAAAGTTTCTTATGTTTCAACAACCTGAAATTATAACTCCAGACTGAATAGTTCAACCATCCCATTTTTCAGTCTCACCCCACATGACCTACTATTCTAGATCATGACATACAGACTCAAAGGTATTTCTTTATCTTTAAAGCAGCCTTCCAAGTGCGAATCAAATGGAATATTTTGAAATATTTCCAAATAAGTACATGGGAAAACAAATTCCATTTGTGCATGTGGCTGACAGGGAAGTCTATTATATAACAGAGGGGAGAAAAACTACTTTATCTCTCTGCTGTCAAACTGTCGCCCACAGCAGTGTGTCTGTCTGCAAAAGCCGTTTGGAATGAGTCACACACTTCTGAGGCCAGACTCGCTGCGTGCTCCTGGATGGGAAGGGGGCTTCGCTTCTCAAAATGCTTCAGTCGTTCGTGAATCTGTCAAGACAGGGAAAAGTTAGAAGAATGACTTTCATTAGAACAGAAAAGGAGGCATAACAACCACAGCTCTGTTGGTATTTCTAAGTATCCATTCTTGACTTACAGCTAGAGCTACTGGCAGAGCATGTGTCAGCAATATGTCTCCGTAATTTACTATTTTCTTTAACTTCAGAAAATGACTAATTGATTAGACGTGTCCATCCTTTACCTTAAACAGCAGATGGAGCTTTTTTTCCATCAACATGCTGTGAAGGAACCTGTAATCCTCCTCTCTGTCCGTATGGAAGTCTGTTCCAGACATAACTGAAGATAACAGCTGACATACGCCTAGAAAACCAGAGAATACGGCAATTACTATTTACTTCGGTTCAGTTTCATTTAATTTATTTAAGCTATGCTCAGTTTAAATTATTTAAATTCAATTATAAAGGTTATTCTTATCAGTTCAGTGACATATAATTCAGAGTAACTCAGTATATATGAAATCCATAAAATTTATTTACATATGATTTGATTAATTGCAGATAAATTTGATTAAACATTATTTAATACAGTTTTGTCATTATGTTCAATTCCTTTAACCTCCGTTTAGTTAATAAAAATCCAATGTGTCCTCAATTCCGTACTATTTAGTTCAGCACACTTCTGTTTAGATTTGATCTGGTTGATTCCCTTCAGTACAAAAGGATTCAGTTCTGTTCAAATTTAATTCAGATCAATTCACTATGATCAAGTTGGTTTTAATTTCATTTTGTAACAAAGAATTTAACTCAACCCCGCTAAATTCAGTTAAACACAGTTCAAGTGCATTCTTCATGATTGTTCAGTAAATATTCTAATTTAAATTCCATTTTCAGTTCACTTTAGTTAAATAAAACACACTCCACTTTACATATTTCTGAGTGAACTCCTCCTTTTTTTGTTTTATTTGAAGTTTAAATTCAAAATTGTATTTAAAAGTATACTTATACTTTTTAGCATAAGGTGGAAAAAAATATTAGAGAAAAAGAACAGATCTCAATTGATCACAGATTGAATGTATGACAGGAAAATGTGCTTTGCTTAGATTTCTTGATATTTTTCATTGAAGATTAAAAAAACTATAAAAACCTGAACATACCTTTGTGCTCAGCTCTGCTCAGCATCATCAGCCTAAGAACAGAACAAAAAATTAATCTGAATCTTGTTTTTACAAGGGAAGGTTTACATCTTTCGACTAAATGCTGCCCCCTATCGGTGGTAATGAGTTTTTCCAACTTTAACAATATGAAATAAAACAGAACAAGAAATGTTTCGAATAAAGTAGGTTAACAATTGAATATAATAACTGCTGCTTGTTAAGTAAGTTTGAAGATTATCTTTGTTTTTATTACTTTAGAAAATAAAGCAAACGGGAAAAAGGTTTTCTTTTCTTTTCAAATTAAAGGAGAGGACATAGGGAAATAGTTGATGATACTAGTAGCACTCTAAATCTAATATGCAAAGAATTTCTACCCTTTATTCAAACTCCAACATGACATATTTATTGCATTAGTGCTAATAACAATAAAATCTTCACTTACCATGCATTATATGCATCCCATTAGTCCTTATGTAGGCAAATCCTACCACCTATCATCCTGAAAGAAGCATCATTTGAACAGTAACTTTACAGAGTGAGGATCTGAGCACTTTGACTGAATAGACTGGAAAAAAGGCTGTCTCTCATTTAGTCAATACTTATCAGAACTGACCTAAATTAAGTGGTCAATCAATACAAAAGACCGAAATAGGTTTTGCAAAGACTGTAAAAAAACACTATGGTTAAAGTCAGATATTTACATCATGTGCATAAAAAACAGGACACATTTTACCATCACTATTTGGGTTTAAAGGTCTTTTGTTGTTTTAAATCAGTTCAGATTACCAAAAGTATTTGCTAGATCTTTAAATAACTAGGGAGAGGTTTTTAGATTTTGTTTACTTATTTAGATAAAGTAAGAACATTAATTACTCTCACATTACCATAATTCATAATCAGGCCTGGTTTCGGTAGGGTTTTTAAAGGTATCAAAGGTTTTTCCTTTGTTACAGCTTTCAGAAGCCAAGCATTGTTGTGTTATTCTGTCCAACAGTTATATGCCAGTAATAAACTCATCATTTTGCCTTAACTTCATAGATTGAGTCAATTAAGTCAAGTAATTGTTTCAATTCTGATTAGAATGTCCATTTCATTAAGGAAGGAGACCGAATCTACTGTATGTATGCAACTCAAGCCTAGAACAAAAGAACCAGATGATTTTTTTATATCTTTTAAAATCTCATAACCCACATTGAAATGAGTATTGTACTGACATGTAGCAAAGCGCCACTTTGCCAGGGACAAAGTGACTTTGCTTAAAAAGGGAGACTAGCTCACAATAAAGTTGTTAGGATTGAGTTATTCACAGATGATGTGGTTCTATTAGCTTCATCAGGGCATGATCTACAGCTCTCATTGGAGCGGTTCACAGACGAGTGTGAAGCGGCCAGGATGAGGATCAGTGTCTCCAAATCCGTGACCATGGTCTTGAGCCAGAAAAGGGTAGAGTGCCTTCTCTAGGTTAGGGAGGATGCACTGCCCCTTCTGGAGGAGTTTAAGCATCTTGGATCTTGTTCACGAATGAAGGGAAGATGGTGCGGGAGATCGATACTCGGATTGGTGCGGTGTCTGCCGTGAAGTGTGCACTGTAACGGTCTGTTGTGGTGAAGAGAGAGCTGAGCCAAAAAGCAAAGCTCTCAATTTACTGGTCTTATCTACGTTCCTACCCTCATCTATGGTCATGAGCTTTGGGTCATGACCGAAAGAATGAGATCCCGGATACAAGCGGCTGAAATGAGTTTTCTGCGTAGTGTTTCTGGGCTCTCCCTTAGAGATAGGGTGAGGAGCTCAGTCATCCGGGGAGGACTCAGAGTAGAGCCGCTGCTCCTCCACATTGAGAGGAGCCAGTTGAGGTGGCTCCGGCATCTGGTCAGGATGCCTCCTGGATGTCTCCCTGGTGAGGTGTTCAAGGCACATCCCACCGAGAGGAGGCCCAGTGGGAGAACCAGGACACGCTGGAGGGACTATGTTTCCCGGCTGGCCTGGGAGCACCTTGAGATTCCCCCGGAAGAGCTGGACCAAGTGGCTGGGGAGAGGGACGTCTGGGCCTCCCTACTAAAGCTGCTACCCCCGCGACCCGACCCCGGATAAGCAGAAGAAGATGGATGGATTTTTTTTAAAGGAGTTCATCCAAACAGAAAATGAAATGTATGAAAACATCTTAATTTGAATAAAGTATTGCTTTTTTTATCTCTTTCATCATTCTAACATATATAAATTAATTTAATAATCCTAACAGGAAAAGAACACATTTCAATCAGTGTCAGAGAGGAAAAAAAAAAAAAAAAAACATGTCTGGTTAAAGTTGTCTATCTGAGAGGATATGTTATAACTTAAGATATTTACAGATACTGTTTGTAATTTTCATTGACATCTATGTAGAGACTGCAGACTGCAGTGACATGAATATTGAGATTTTTAAGTACATACGTAATAATAAATATCATGCTTTGTATATTTTATTTTTGTCAGTAAATCTCTGTAATTGTAACACATTGTACTTTTATTTAAAAAAAGAAATTTTCTTAAACCATTTATTCTTAGCCTTGGAAAACAATGAAGTCCCTAAAAATATTATTTTTAGTTGCACTCAATTTAACAAAGAGTAAAATAACACGTGTTTTATTTAAAAATTCTCTGGAAGCTGAGGAGGTTATAACGATTTCGACATTTTCGCACTAACATCCTCTTTTATTTTGACAGGTCAGGCGGAAGTAGTTCCTCCCCAGCCAAAGATTAAACATAAGTGGCTCTCCTCTGCTTCCGGCTGCCTGCCTCTGCTGCTCTTCGCTGAGCTACATCGGCCGACTCCACTGCATATCGTACTCCGTATACCAGATGATGCATTGAGGGTGGGTTTTAATTGCACCACCCGATATGCAGTGCTGGTGCTCGGCGCTCCACTTGTAGCCGTTTTTCTGGTGAGAAAGGCCGAAAAAAGACACCAGGAAACTGTAGTGGAGAGGAAAAAAAAAGAAAAAAAAAAAAAGAACTGTGAGAGCAGACAGACAGGAGGCCACGGTTTCCCCCTCAACCACACACACACATCACCGGGGCCTTGATGGTGATGTATGCAAGGAAACCAGCAAGAGTCAGCGATGGGTAAATCAATCACCGGTTATAGTGTTGTCATATTTCTTCTAGGGGAATATATGTTTAACTATCTTAGTCTAGCGGTTGCTAACGTTCGATTAGCTGTTAGCTGTCACAGCTAGCAGTTAACTGTAGTCGCTTAGCTAGAGGTTCCGGTTTTAAGCTAGCTCAAATGTTAGCATGACGTTTGCTAACAAATTAGTACTTGAGAATATATTTGGTTTCATATAAAGGTTAGGAAAAGGCTTGAGCTTTCTTTTTCATGGAACAACATTGACAGACTGCTGGGGGCAAGATTAAAATCGTGCTAACTTCGCTAACGTTAGCTAACTTATAGTCATCTACAAAGTGTTATTCAGGAAAACCAATCTAGTTGACGTGGGAAAAATGACATTATTTGTTGTGTTTTCACAGGTGCAACGACAGAAAGGATCCCCAGTCCTATCAGGTACAGTTTCACCAGGTTATAATGGGGCATCAACTATCGGTGATTTGAAAAAGTATTTACATCTCATGAACCTACATATTCAAATTTTTCACCTTGTAGTAAACGTTAGTTTATTTCGATGTAATTTATGCAGGTAATGCAAACAAAGTAGTATATGGTTGGGAATAGTGACAAGGAATGGTTTGTTTTTAAATGTCAGCCAGTGTGGCATGCATTTGCATGCTGTCTCCCAATATTTATACAGCTGCTTGACTTTGAGTTTGTCATCATCCTGCTGTAATATCTAGTAGATCCTCTTCCAGAATTGCCTTCTTGGAAAAAAATCTGTGTTTATGTCACTGTTGAAGAAAATTTACCTGGAACTGCAACTCCACAATAACTTTTCCAAGTTTAAGCCCCACCAGCTTCAATTATTGTCTATTCTTTATTTTCTAGACCCATAAATCTCAGCCAAAGAGCCAATCCAGCAGCGTACACCGCTACAACAAAGTGCGTGATGTTTCATCAGATCCCATACCCCCTTACAAGGTGCTGCGACGCTCTGATGAAAGTCCTGTCAGCCGACAAGGAGATATTATGGGGCAACATGGGAAGGCCAAAAGCTCTTTCACTGTTCGAGGAAAAAATGGTAAGCCTTGGTGTAATGGCTTGGTAGAAACGGTGCTTATTTTGGGTTCAGAAAAAGCTTTAAATGAGGTAAATGATAAACATTTGTTTTGGATGGATAGTTATGAGATACTTAGGCAAATTATTATTAATTTAAAATGAGTTCAACCTATCATATTTTCAAGATAAGTAAAATTAGCATTCTAATCCTCTCCTCTGGCATTATTTGCCTTAAAATGGGACATGTTACATATGCATATTCACTTGTATCTACAGTTGTGGTCAAACGTTTATGTTTTAGGTTAAAATTAACAACTGAATGTAGGGACAAAAAATAACACATTTAATGGTTTTGGCATCGTCAAAATTTGCTTTCCAGAAGGTCCTTTGAGTAAAGCCTGCTAACTTCTCATTGTTGATCATTTCTGGTATTTATCCTGTGTAACAATGGGTCATTAAAATGTCTGTAAGGAGACTATTGGTACTTTTAGTTCTTGGGGAATTGCTTGATTTTCACAGAAACAAGCTATTAATAGGTGTCTCTTAGCAGTGCCATTGTCCAATGTTAAACAGGTATGTTGCTGTGGACTAAGAAATTGTCCTCTTAATAATCTGACCTTACTCTAAATATACACTTTAAGTATAAGCACATGTGCTGCCCTCTTCCTTTTAAATGTGTTGCTGACTTCATGACCAACCCTTCTGGAGAACAGTTTTATGATCAGATGAGAAAAAGTCTGAGATATTTTAGCCATAGTGACAACAATATTTTTTTAGAACCCTCTGTGAGGGTGTCAAGCATGGTAGTGGCAGATTGCTTTAGTTGCCAGTGCTTAGTTGGTCCTTCAAATGCTTTAACTTTCCGTCAAGTCATCAGCTAAATAGTTTCTAAATAAACTTAACTAAGCTTTTCTTTTTCCTAATCATAGCAAATATGTATTTGAAATGGATAAAATATGCAATTTATGAACTACCTTTGCAAAGTTCCTCCTTGGATAAAAAAAAAAATAAAAAATTAGTGGCCTGTGCCATAATTGAGGCATGTGCCAGGAAACAATTACCGTATTTTCAGAACCATAAGGCGCACCGTACTAAAAGGCGCACTCTCAGTTATGTGTGCCATTTCTGTATTTAACACACACATAAGGCGCACCGGACTATAGGGCGCGTTTTTTATATACCGGTACATGTCCTCTACTACCTTTAAATACCTCTACTGCGTATTTAAAAATACAGCGGGGGCAAAACTGAGTATGATTGTGCTTTATTCATGTATTTATTACAAAGTATTAATCAAACCTGGCAGCTGGCCGTGAGACAGACACATCGCAGATGACAGAGCGCTGTGATCACTCCTAAATTAACTTAAAATCCTGAAACCTGCCGACGGAATATGTTCGCTTTTATTACCGGTATCCTGGTGCCTGCAGTTTAAATTATTTAGATGAAAAACACCTGCCAGCAGCCGCGGTGAACCGGGAGGCGACCAGGCCCAGTGGCTGCTGATGAAGGGATTTCTACTGTCGGTGCACCGCTGGTATGTCGGGGTCTGAGCGCCTCCGACAGAAATAGATAATCTGGATGAACTGATTGCAATTATTAAGTTTTCAGGTGGACTTTCTCACTTAAAAACATATTAAAACTACTTTATTCCCACTGATCACAGCAAATATAGCTGCAATATTTAGATTATTTAGATGAAAAACACCTGCCAGCCGCCGCGGTGAACCCGGAGGAGACCCGCCCAGAGGCTGCTGTTGAATTAAGTTTTCAGGTAGAAAAATAGAGCGGGAGCAAAACTGAGTATGTTTGTGCTTTATTCATGTATTTATTACAAAGTATTAATCAAACCCATCAAAGTCATCATCCTCTGTTTCTGAATTAAACAGCTGCGCTAAATCAGACATGCCAATTTCCCCTTCTTCGCTGTCAGAGTCACTTTCCGTGCCGTGCGGCTCCTCAGAAATAATGCCGGCTTTTGCGAAAGCTCGAACAACAGAGCCAGCAGACACGTTAGTCCAAGCATCAACAATCCATCCGCTAACGGTGGCGTAACTTGCCCGGCGCTGCCTTCCACTTATCGTGAAACTGTGGTCTCCGTCGGTCATCCATCGCTCGCAGCCTTACTTTGAACGGCCGGTTCACACCGATGTCGAGCGGTGGAAGTTCCTTTGTCAGACCCCCGACATAACGGCGAGCACAGCGTTTATTTTTTTCCACCATGTTTTTCACATCAGCTGTGAGATGGGCACGCATGGAGTCACATATTAAAAGCGATGGTGATGCGTGGAAAAAACCACCTGGTCTCCTCACATACACCTCCCTCAGCCAAGCTTTCATCATCTCCTCATCCATCCAGCCCTTTCATTTTCTTTAATATCATATGTCATCAGAGCGATGTGTCTGTCTCGCTGTCAGCTCCCAGATCAGCTTCTCTGATTCATTGATGCGGCGCTTCCAGCAGCAAAACTTCAATTTTTCCATCTCGAGCAGCAGCAGTGCGTTGGCGGCGCGCTCCCGACGCGCTGCGCCTGCTGCTCAAAACGTGCTGCGGGACCTTTTGCTATGTCTATACGCTCGTCAACCGTTGACTTTGCATGTAAACTTGCTGCACCTGCTGCGTCCGGTTCACAGCGAGCACAGCATTAATTTGTTTTACCATGTTTTTCACATCAGCTGTGAGATGGGCACGCATGGAGTCAGATTAACAGCGATGGTTTGGTGATGAGTGGAAAAAAAAACACCTGGTCTCCTTACATTCAGCCACTCTTTCATCATCTCCTCAATGAGGTGGTCTAAAAAGTCGCAGTTGCAACACACATATGGCGCACCGCACCAAAGGGCGCACCGCACATTTTGAGGGAAAAAAAAGACGTTATAGCCTTATAGTCGTGAAAATACAGTACTTCAAAACAACTGCGTTGACATTAAGCTTGTATGGATTAGAAAAAATCCTCAGTAGACCGGCCTATATTTTTGTCCAATGCCAGCGTTTTGTCTCATTGGCTGAAAAATTAATTTTTTGGCTGATAAATTAGTGCATTTTAGTGGCTATGCCTTGGATCACATAAAGCACATTCCTTTCAGCTTCCTATCGTTGCTGTCAGTTAATTTTTTGTTCGACTTGTACATCTGTTGTTGTTTTTCCTTACATTGTGACTTGTGGAACATTTGTGGTCATAGTGTCAGTTGTGTCATGTAAACGGACGAAGAAAAAGTTGCATTGACTTAAAGAATAGGCCTAAAAAATTGGCAGTACTTATAAATCATTTTGATTGATCTCAAAAGGATCAGCGTCATCATCAGCCTCAGGAAGCCTACCCTGGTCAATCTCTAGTTGGCAATAAACAAACGTATGCAAGCAAAGGTTGTTCATAAATCTAACTAAAGATGTTTTGAAATATTACACTCTGGAAGAGGGTGGTCAATTGATTTAGAGCAGGGGTCTTTAATGTTTTCCAGGCCAAGGACCCCCAAACTGATGGCGAGATGGAGCGGGGACGCCCTAATTATATATATTCTATGAAATTCTGTTATATACAACTGGTCCTATAGTCACTCTATTGCAGATGGAGTAATGTAACAAAAGTAATTTCTCCCTGGGATTATTAAGGTATTTCTGATTCTGATTCCTAGTTGATGGGACAGGTGTTGTGAATGAAATGGTGCCCAGCTTGAAAGAGTTCCTGTGTGTCGCTGAATGTGTGCATTGATTACTGATTTCTCATCTTCATTTATCTGTTTAGTACAGTGTGTTGAATTCATGTTAATGTGGATTTAAATACATTTCAATTAGTGGAGAAAAAAATTGCAGGGGGGAATATAAAAAAAAAGTCTAATCAACCAAACCTTTCATGACCCCCATGCAGTACCTCTGTGGACCCCCTGTTGAAGACCTCCGATTTAGAGCCCAAAATTTATGACAAGCATGGTTTTGAATAGATATAAGCTGCTGGCCACAGCTGTCTTTTGAAATTAATATGGAGTTAATGCTTTCTGATTAAGGGTGAAGATCAGTCTTTCCAGAATGAAAAGAAAAAGCTTTAAAGAATGCTTACAATGAACTATCCGTCTCATCACAACCGTTTCCCTCAAATGCAACACAATGGAGTCCTTAGGTCTGGGTGCAGCATGTTTATTTGACTAAAGAAAGAATTTGTTTCAGGGACCAGCAGCTCTCCTCAGGAGGCCTCTCACAACAACAGCTCCCACCAAGGCAGTGAAACTCATGCCAGCCAGAGCAAGCCTGCAGAAAGAGTGAGTTGCTGTTATCTGATTGTGTACGCTCGTTGCCTTTCCTGTTGTAAGTTTCATAATTTTGCTTCAAAGCATCACACCAGCTGTTTTCTTTAGACTTTCATGGGTAAATGTTTCTTTAAAAAAAAGAAAAAAATCAGTGCTTGATGGATAATGTTTTAAAATCTTCCTCCATGCAAGTTAATGGCAGAGGTTAGCACGTGTAGATTTGTTGTAGGTCTTTTTATAATTCTATTTTTGTTGATCTGGTGTTTTTGCTTGTAGTCATGAATATGAAAATAAACTTGAGATTGTTTAAATAATATTGGGCTATATTGAAATAAACATAAAAAAAAAAAGTTAGAACTGTAAATTTACAGTCATTTTAACTATTTTTCAATGCTGCAATTTTAAAAAAGAGGAAATTGTCCAGAGAGCTGTTCCAAATGATATTTCTTTTTGTGTTTAACTGTGTAAACAAAACGACAAAATAAAATCTAAGTCTCTTAATATTGGCAGCTTAGAATGCTGCCTCCACGACCTGGCCCCGGATAAAGCGGAAGAAAATGGAATGGGATATTGGATTAAAAAATGTAAGATGTTCCACTGGAAATAACTAGCCTGTATTTAGTTCCATCAATTTTACCATGAACTTAGACATATTTTCCTGTCCCTGTTTAACTAAAGCATCCCCACACTAAAAAACCCTCCCAAAAACTGTCACCACTATGCCTTCAGGGTGATTTAGCATTTATTTTATGCAGTTCCATGACGATAATATTTAAGAAATAATTGTAAAAAAAAAAAAAGTGGTTTGTTTTCAAAAGAAGCAAGCTCAACAGATTAAATGTACACATAACCAGGTGACAATGTGTCCATTGTTTTATTTCAGTCTAAGGGTTCTTTCAACTTTATGGTTTCTATCATTGCTTAACATTGACCTTCAATAATAGGAATGCCCGGATCCATTATTAATATCGAAAATTGGTCCAAAAGACTAATAATGGGTTTTATCAGCTGGCATCTAAAATCTCCAACAGTTTCATGCCAATAGAATCTCTCTTTCTGTTAAATGTCTCATATTGTACTACATTTAAATATGAACAGTTAGCCCTTTCAGAGCATTTATTTGCTGTTTTAGCAGAAAAAGTCGTCTGGCATTAGGCAGATGCCGTTTACTAATAAACTCCTTGTTCAGCCCTCTTCTAAACGAGCTGTTTTGGCTTTCCACGTCCTCACCCTCCCGAAGGCCACACCCCCACTCCCCGCAACTATGACAACTAGTCATAGATCGTAATGATGGCAGCTAGAACGAAATAATACAGAAGACAACAGAGTGTATTCATTCAGCAAGAGGCTTCTCCAGATCTGGTGCAAGACAGAGCACTACATGAGATCCTTCTTGCCTACAGCTATCAACACCTGTTTAAAAGAAACAACATATGGCTTACTGCAATATTTAACTTCCCAGTGGGATTTCTAAAGGATTTTTGATTTAAATTGAAGACAAAAGTAGACCTTAACCGATTGGCTGCTACAGACTGCTCTGAGCAGCTTATATGCAAGAACAACATATAGCAGGAGCAGCTTGACCGTATAACAGCCCAGTAGCCAGTTAGCCTGAGTTAATAAGGCCTCTATCTGTTGTAATGGGCTAACCAAGCTCCTGCTAAGAAAACTAATTTAACACAAGCACACAATCACAATTACTGATGTTAGGAAAAGACTGTTGTGATGTACAGATAAGATCATCGATTATTGAAACCACCTGCTCAAATGTTAGCTGCAGTGCTAATGAGTTTACAGACTTTCAGACACAAATGTTAGCTGCAGTGCTATAAAATGTTTATAAAGTGAATTTTGAATAATATGAGACCTATAAAGTTTCTGTAAATAATTGGTTAATTTTACATGGGTCAGTTGTATTCAACCCTTTTGTTGTTGGCTTCGGTTACCTGTTTAAATATGTTAATTGATCAAGCCTTTTCTAACATTCTACTGCATAAGAAAGCAATAAAAGCCGTTATGATTTGCCAATATCAGTATTGGTAAATTCGCAGGGTATCGGAAAGGAAAAAGCTTTATCAGGACACCCCTACTTAATAGTATTACATACATTTTAACGCCCATTTCTGTTATAGTTAAACACAATATGAAATTTGTTAAATTACAGAGGCTTATGTAACATTTCAAATCTTGAATTGGCTCATATATTCTGTCATAGTTGGTCCTTCTGATGTTCATTTATTCATTGCTGCAAAGGAAAGTATTCTCAGCTTCTTAAAGACGTTTTACTTACTTTAACTTTAAAGATGTTTTATTTTTTAAGTTTTGTTTAAGGTTAAAAATAAGCTCCAGTGCTGTGTGGTTAAAAAAAAAAAAGATTTTTTTTTTTCTATGTGCAATTATCAAAATACTTAATATTTTTTGGTACATTTGTGAATACAAAATGATTTCTTGTTGAAGTTTAAAAATCTATGACGTCTAATGACATTTATCCAGGTGGATCCCTCATTGAGAGGCCCAAGATTTAGTGTGAATATTTAGGCAGGGTGTCTGACCGTATCTTTAAGTTGCATGACTAGCTGTTGCTTTTGCTTATGAGCCTCATGCTACATGATCTACACTTCATTCATCAAATGCTAAAATTGAAGACATTTTCAGGGGCTGCTTTTCCAGGTATACGTCCAAAACAATTAGGTCACCTCCTTATGCGCATTCGTTCTGCAGCTAAAACTTAACCTGTTGGAGCTTAGCCTAAAGCTGAAGCCACAGGCTCTGTGTCATATAATAGTTATTGAATAAATGTATGTATTGATGTTGAATTATTGTCCAAATCTATGTATTCCAAAAAGTTTTGTTTGTTTTTGCGACCTGAATCTGATCTTTTCATGGCTGTCTGAACAACACGGATCCGATTTTTTTCCAATGCGACCCAGGCCACTTGGCTATGTGGTCCTAAATCCAATACAAATCTGATCTTTTCAAATGCGACCTGTGTCTGAACGGACAGGTCACATTAATCCGACCTGAACGCCATTAATACCACACAAAGGTCACTATTCTGGGTCTTGCTATTTAGAAGCGTCAAGAAAAACTACAACCATGGCAGACGATGATGCGGAAAGCAGTATTTATGTTTAACCATCTTGAAAAGATTGTGTTTTTATGGTTGGGAAAGATCGCTAGATGCGCTCCGGCACTACCATCCATGTTTACTTCCGTAAACGCAGAGCAAGCTGGCCTGTGTTGTCATTGCGTCCTCTACTGCGCATGTAGGACACTTGTGTTGTATGACTGCAGTTCACACAGGAGGTAACATTCAAGTCGCATATATTTGGAAATGTGAACGGCAACGCAAAAAAAATCGGAATTGAGTATCAAGGCCTGCAGTGTGAATGTAGCCTTAGTCTTCTTTTTGCCATATTATCTTCCTTTAGGGCCAGAGTCGTGGCCTTTAAAACAACACACTGCTATCTGAAGCTACTCGAGCTGCAGTTCTCTTTGCCGTTGTGATTACTACTTTCTTAGCTTTTCCTGACAGTGTAGAGAAAAACCCTTGTCTTGGTAGGCCTGCAGTTTTAAAATCCCCTTTCCGTTTCGGATGATTGGTTGAACTGGAACTGCACCCTGTTTCAAAATCCTGTAATGGCACAGCAAAAGTGAATACTGCAGTAATGATAGCAGTGCCTCCTTTCTTTTCTCATCTGTGCCTCCTTTACTGTGGCCATTAGCATCTTGGGCAATTTGTCTCTTGTGTCCAAGGTGAGCATCTGCTGCATCTAGACTCTTAACTGGATAAGTATTACATTAGCATGGAACAAGTTCATAGCATTTGAAATGTATAAGCTAAAAGTTATTGCACTCTAAACAGTCCTTTGCTATAAATGTGAAACACACACGAGCTGTTATTATGGAAGTTTGGATTTAGTGCAGCCTTAGGTTTAACTATGCTAAATACAAAGATTTAGATATAAACATGGAAAGAAATTCATATTTTTAGGAGGCTTCTAAAGTTAATTGGTTGTAGCTGTGATGTTTGTTTTTTTTTATTTTATTTTTTTTCCATTAAAGGGATTGAATTAAAAATTCAAGACACACCGTTCAGATTTTAATTTGTAGTGTGGAACATTTTAAATTTTATTTCAAAATTTTGCGCAACTTTGTGTATGTCTTTCACATACGATCCTTATGAATTAACAATTGTAACGTGACTAAATTTAAGAACTGTAAATACCTTTGCATGGTCCTGTAGTAGAGGACAATATATTTTAGTATATGCAAATATAATTTGGACAACCAATAATTTTGTTGCACTGCAGGAAAACATCTAGCATTTGTTTAGAGTTTTAAACGTCTGGTTTGACAGTGGTCTTTGAACTCCAGCCCAATAAATTACAGCTGATCCTATTCACAGTTTACAGTATCCATAGAGATTCAAATTGTATCTGCTTTTAAAAAAGTTCAGAGAATCATTTGCCGTTTATGATTAGATCATATATTCAGACTAAAAATTAGTGTGATAATTATTTAATAATGGTCTTTAAATATAGACTTCAACTTCATATGTTGTTCCTTATGTTTAATGGATGTTTGTCTGCTTCCTGCAAAAGTGGAACTAAGAAAAGGTTTAGTGATTTGACTTCTAGATTTATTTATTCTTATGCATTTTTTCCAGCATACATTTGGCAGAAAAAAAATGCATAACTTTCTTACAACTTACAACACATTCTATAGAAAATGAGCCTGGAAGAAAGGCATTATGAGGAGTTGAAATCAGTTGTAATGCCATCTATCAGCCAGAAGATGGCATGAAATACATCCAGCTGAGTATACATGAACCTTGTATTCTCTGTTTTGTTGAACAACCAGAAGAAGTGTGAAGCTCCAGCTTGGAGAAACTTTTTGTCTTTATTTTCTTTAACACTTTGTCCTATTCAGTGTCTTCATGTTTATCCTTTGGCACCTGTCTCAACACTAGGACCCTGCTGATGACTGGACAGAACACATTAGCTCCTCCGGCAAGAAGTACTACTATAACTGTAGAACTGAAGTTTCCCAGTGGGAGAAGCCCAAGGACCTGCTGGAGAGGCAAGTGAAGTGCTTTTATTTCAGATTTATTTTTAATGTTTTTACCAGAAATATGTCTATGATCAGGAAGCACAGCAGTGCTTGGTCCACCATTTACTTAAAAAAAAATAAAATAATAAAGATTCATCATCTCCATCATATATTCTGATCATACTCAGATTGGATTAATGGATTGTGCTTGCTTTACTTCAGGGAACAGCGACAGAAAGACTCAGCCAAGATGGCAGCAAACAGTTTCCCCAAAGACATGGACTATAGACAAGAGGCCTTGCAGGACAAAGCCACAACTAGTAAGAAAAAACTGTGCAACACCATAATTGTTTATTGATCTACATAACCAGTGAGTCATTGTTGTGTACTTTCTGCATCATTTACAGAGGCAGCACCAGGGGACCAATCCACGTCATCAAACAGCGGCCATTCCTCTTCTTTGTCTTCTTCTCAGAGCCTAAACTCTGCAGCTGGTTCTTTAGGGTCCACCCCTTCCAACATGTCATCATCCTCATCATCTACGGCGCAGGGGACTCCATCTGCGCAGTCGCAATCATCTGCGCTGCTTCAGGACCCGGCCATCCTGCATCAGCTCCTTCCAGCTCTGCAGGCGACTCTGCAGATGAACAACGGCAGCATGGACATGGCCAAACTCAATGAAGGTATGCACCGTGTGGAGTGGTAACATTTAAAGTCTGAACACTTCTTTGTATTTAACTAAAATTGATCGCATCAGATAAAACCTGAACATTTATATCTCGGTTAGAATTCCAAATATCATTTTTCAGCATATTCTTCATTTATCCTCCTTATCCTCGCAGCTAGTACAGAAATTACTGTTTAGAAATCAGACGGCACTTGGCTTTTCACCTACAGTCTAATGATAGAAGGGATAAAACAAGTTCTAATTTTTTTAACTTCAATTGTGGGAACCTGTCAGTGTTGTTGCTGCTTATCTTGTCTCTAAAACAACCTTAAGCTCACGTAAATGATAGTTTCTATGATAATTCTTCATCATGACTGAACTGATTCTTGATCTTAATTAGCAGGACGCTGCTAAATCATTAAGGTTTAGGTATCTTAATGGTTTTGTTTTTTGAATATCTATATCTGTCACTTCGATTCTTCATGTGCAGCTTTTCCATACATGTGACAACCGCCACAACACAGCTGCAGACTGGCTGAAACTACGGGCTGTTCTTGTTGACCAAGTTTCCCTCCTGATTTATTAACTTACAGAAAATTATTCTGGTCTGTCTCTTAATCCCACTTATTTTAAACAATCACTTATGGAGTCCTTAACTAATGACAATTCCTAATTTCTGCTGTTTGGCCACAGTCTGGAGATTTATGTCATCTGATCGAGCTGGTAGATTGAAAAACGGTAAATAAGAAAGACAAGTGAATGGGATTTAAGACATTCAGAAGACGGCTCCGACTTTAAGTAGAATTTTTTTATGACTGTTTTGTTTGCACATGGATAGGGCTGGGTATTGTCCAAAAATTTTAGGTTCCGGTACCAATACCGATACTTCACTTCGATACTGGTTCCTGAACGATACTTTTTTCGATACCAGTTTTATAATATGAATTCGAAGAAACAGAAAATTGCACAAAATAAAAAAGTACAAATCTTGAGTTTTATTTTAAAGGGGTTCCATGACGCTCACAACCAGTTCACAACAGATACATATGAACCCTGGCTGTAGGCGTGACCACCTGTGTATTTTTCCTGGATGACACAATCACGTTAAGTGTTACAGCCAATCGCCGAAACTTGGTACCGAAAGACGAGGCATGTTTCGATACTCTGTAGAACCGAAGTATTTCGGTCGGTACCATAAAATAACCGATGTTCGGTACCCAGCCCTACACATGGATAACTTAAACAGTGATTTAAAATGCTCTGATTTAAATGTCCCAGACGCTTACCAAAATATACTAGCATTGGCTTAGTTCACTCTATTAAAACATGGCAAAACTAGCAACATTTGGTAGGCTAATGTATGAAAAATATATCTAAATTTACATTTTGCATAGTGCTGATGACTGTAAGATTTTGTACCTTCTATGGTACATAGATTTATATACCTTGCGAGCATCTTTGTGTCTCAGTAATGCACCTCTTGATGCAAACATCATTCATAGCCAAACACCACCTTCTTTAATGGTGTCTTTGTGGAATCAGAGCCTAATCCTGATGAGCAAAGTCATTCAGCTCATTAATATTCTTGGGCTTTTATGTGACAACTAGGGCTGCATTTACATTATAATCGCATTATAGAAAACGCAATTTTCGAATCGCAGAGGCCCTCAGGCATTTAGCTACACTACCTTGAACGAGTAAGACCCTGACTTTTTCATTCCAGCCCTTTGGTTGGCAATAATTCGCTTAAAGGAGTTTTGCCAGCACCAATAAGGCAACAGAGAGTTGAAGTTGCTGCACAGATCCATGCAGGCCAGTGGAAGTCATCAACGATGGACTCTGAACAAGCAAGCTTACGTGGTCATGAAAACACCGAAACCCTGGAATGAAACGTCTACATCAGCTGGTTGATGCAAAGGAAAAATCACAATACTGGATGAAATTTGAATTTGGTCAAAAATTATTTAGCCCTAGTCACAACTGTATTTTCAAATCCCAGCTAAAATTTCTGATTTGTCGGCTATTATGGCTTCTAGAGTCTTCCAGGATTTACATTAAAACTCTTGAATAGTTTTATATACGACTAGTTAAACCATCTTCCTCTGCATGCTGCAGGTTTCGGTGTCACAGGAAGCAGCATGGCTCTCTAGCCTCCCCATGCAGTACTGTAGGCAGGGTGTTTTCAGCATATTCTCCATTCATCCTCCTCTTAGAACACAACTGATGAAATTGTGCTCAAATTTTAATCCCTCATTGTCCTGGACAGAATTTCCCAAACTCTGTGACACTGAATTTTCTGGTCCTTTAGAATCAGTGGTGTAGAATTTAAAGGAGTACATTAGGACTGAAGTAATTAATCATGATTAACCGACTATAGAAATAATTGTCAACTAATTTAATCATTGATGAATTGTTAGCTGGAGTATAGAGACTCCAAACATGCCTTCAGATGACAGAGTGAGATTCTATCAAAATTGTAGGAAAAATATTTAAACATTTGGCATTTAAGATAAAAAATATTTGTCTGTCAATATGCTCTATCCAGAACTGCTTAAGTTGAAAAGTTTTGGTTTCATTTGGTTTAATTTTGCAAAAAAAATCTTCTTTAAAGAACCTTTAGCGATCTTATTAGTAATCAAAAAAATAATAGACAGAATAACAGATTTGCAAAATAATCCTTAATTGCAGCCCTAGAATACATAAATGCAGTCAAAGTGTTTTTTGCCACCATTACTTAAAATTTAAAATAACTAATTATGCTTCTAGATACGTCTTGGGTACATTCAGGCCATTCTTTTTCGTTTTGTTTTCGTTCCTATCTCCTGTCCTTAAATTCACAGTAATTACTCACGACTTAACAATATTTCTTCAATATTTTTTCCACCCCATTCAGTTTTAATTTGGCGAATGTCTGTTTTTCATGCTGTATAGTGACGGTGTTCAGCAGTTGATGGTCAACTTGCAGTAATACTTGGTCACATCTTTATCCAGGCATATCAGGAGGTCATCCTGATACACAGTAATCTGTAATATCCAACCAATTTCCCATTGCAGCACATTAAAAACCTTCATTTCTGTTTTCGTTTTCTGTAATGCCTGGATTCTATATGACCTATTTCTGTTCCTGTTAATTTCATCCCTTCATATTGTTTCTGAGAAACAATATGAAGGGATGAAATTGAAATTAGAAATTAATTTCTGTCTCCAGTTTTATTGGTAAATCACATGTATGGTTAAAAAAATAGGTAAACAATAATATGAATTTTACCCCTTGTTATGCATGTCTATGCTCACATTTATATTTTTCTGTCTGTTCATTCCCTCTTCTCGTCCCTCCAGTCTTGGCAGCTGCTGTCACCCAAGCTTCCTTGCGGTCTGTGCTTCATAAGCTCCTTGCTGCTGGACCTGCTTTCAACATCTCTGCTCTGCTCTCAGCTGCTCAGCACTCCAACCAAGGTAGGGCTCCTTTGCATCTGATTTCCGTCACACATATACCCTCCTCTCCTATCTCTTCTGAAAACCCTGTTTCATAAAAGTAAAGCATACTTGACAAGATCCTCAATTCCTTAACACCCTTTTATGTATTTTTTATTTTTTGTTTCTGATTTCAGCCCAGCACTCCAGTCAGTCCCCGGTATCCGTGACGACAGATGCATCATCACCACGCCCATATGTCTCGCCACGGAACGGCACCCCCCAAAACAGCCAGAAATCCCTCCTGGGCATGCATATCGGCAGCGTCACACCATCACAATCGAGAGTATGCATTTTTTTCCCCCCCACCTCTTCCTCATCTACTGTTAGCTAATGCTCTCACTCTCTGGACTTTACCCTGTAGGGTGGCATGCCTCCAGGAAAGCAGGGGTCGGTGACTTTGGGTCAGACAGCCGATAAGCGTCCAGAGGACCCCAGAACTCTGCAGCATAGAAGGTATCTGTCAGAGCACAAGGTGTAGCAGCTGCTCAGGACTTCAGTTGTAATCTTGTCACCAAACATGTCAAATTGAAGATTAATAGCTGTTTTGAAATTTTACCTGAATTAATTTTTTTTTAGAAACCACTCTCTAATTCTACCTCACTTTGTGGTCGCCTTGCACATTAAATAAGTTGACAAAATGTGAAAATGTTCAGGGTTTGTTGGCTTTTAGAAGTGGAACTTTACCAGCTGTCTCCCTCCAGCAGCCAAGATATTATCTGCACGGGACCAAACATGTCTGCCTTGCCTCATGCACCATCCAGCAGCAGCACCACCGCCCAAAACCAGTCGGACCCCCCCGGCTCCTTCACTCCCACCCTGGCAACTCATTTCGATGAAAACCTCATCCGACACATCCAAGGGTGGCCTTCAGAGAATACTGAGAAACAGGTATCTTTCATCAGACCCAGAACCCACCTTAGGTCAGGTTATCGGGCCTTTGAGTTGAGATGTGCTACTGCTGTCTAAAAATCTGTGGTGACTCACTGTGTTTCCCGTTCCAACAGGCGGCTCGGTTGCGGGAGGACCTCCATAACATGGGCAGCCTGTACATGTCTGAAATCTGCACAGAAATGAAAAACCTTCGCTCTCTGGTCAGAGTATGTGAAATCCAGGCTACACTGAGGGAGCAAAGGTAAAAGATGTAAGGTTGTCACTAGGGATGGGAATCGAAAACCGCTCCCTGTTCAGAACCGGTTCAGTGTATTCCACTTCCATGGTACCGTTTGGCAGCTCGCTTAACGATTCTCTTAACGATTCCAGGCAGCACCAGAGCCTAGCGCTGGGCAGCACGACTTGCATCACGTTTTTTTATGCAAGTTACGCACACAGTATTCAGTAAGCAAGTACGATGTGACCAGGCGTAAGTCTAGAAAAGCAAGAAAAAAAAAGTGGCGCCCCATTAGGTAAACTCTATCGAAAGTTTGGTTTCATTTTAAGGAAGAGAAAGATGGCAACAAGGCGCTTTGCAATCATTGCAAAGTGGCAATTACATCCGCGGGAGGAAATGCATCCAACATGCAGAAAAACCTGCGCACACAACATGGCATACATTTTAACAAATGTCATTTTTTCATGCTTCTGGACAGAAGCTAAAGTTACGACCAGCATGGAAGGCAACTATGGTGGAAAGTAGCTAGTTTTATATCACTGGCTGTGCTTAATGTGGTTCCTAGTAAATCATATTCCATTTCTGGAAATAAACCAATTTTCTACCCCTCTTTGGGGTTAAGGGAGTCTGCCTTTCTTGTTAATCTAGCCCTTCATTGCTAGCATGTTTAATTAGAACCACTGGTAGCTGGAATTCTTACATGATTCTTGCTGTTGCAATGGATGTAACGAAACATGTTATGAAGTTGCTCTGCAGTTCAAGGAGAGGGAGAAAGGTGACACTCCTTTATTTGAATCAGGGGGAGATGAGTTTATTTCCCAAAATTGTACAGTAATGCTTTTTCATTAAATGGATGCCTTCTCCATTAGATTTAGATGACTGTGACGAGACGGGTAGCCTGACTGGCTCAGAGGCTGGCAGCTCCTGTTCACTGCCTTCTGTTTTCTCCGAGGCAGGCAGTTTCACAGAATCGATAAGGAATGAAATTGTTTTGCAGAATCGATAAGGGAATCGGAAACATAAAAAAATCCTATCAATTCCCAACCCTAGTTGGTACGAACATGCATGCCTACTGTACAAACACTGATTCAGGCTTGTCTGTTTCTTCTTTTGCAGAGTTCTGTTTTTGAGGCAGCAGAGCAAAGAGCTGGACAAACTGAAGAACCAGAACTCCTACATGGTGTGAGGACATAAGAAAGGCTGGAAAATGGACAGCAAGCTGCTGCAGCCTCTCCCTGCTGTTTTAAACGGCTACAGACGAGTCTTTTTTCTTTTCCTCTTTTCATTTTAACTTTTTATTTTTTTTTGTCCACCACACGACTTGTTTCTCTGAAAAGCCAGACTCGTGGTTCAGACACCTTAACCGAGTGGACAGAGGACCTGTGACTATTTGCAGACAGCACCTTCTTGGACCATGAAGCTTGGATTGTGTGTGTCATATTGGTTAAACTTGTTTTTCCGGCGTGTTTTAATGTGTAGTGTTGAGGACGAGATTCAAAACAAACTAAAACATATTCGCGTTTGTGCAAAAGCTCTTCGGATTGATGAACATGGCTGTTCGTTGCACTTCTGAACCGGACATTCTCGTACATTAAAATCCTTACAGATGGATTCTCGTTTTTCTAGGTTTTTGCTTTTTATTCACTATACTTGGACATTGCTTTACCATCTCGTTGTGTTTCAGAGGAGCTGAAATCTTCCTGGCATTACTTATTCCATCTGTTTTCTCAGTCCCTCGGTCGAGGTCTGTGTGGTTCCAGTTGGACAAAGTCAGTTCTGTTCGCTCACTGAAGATGTTTTAAGAATCTTTCTGACTAAAGCATACATCTGCTAGACCTACAGTAGCTGCTTGTAAAACTGAGCTTCTGTACATTAGTCTCTGCTGCCAACTTTCTCATTCCTTCTGTAGTTTATACCCAATCAGCCATGTTCTGTTGTATCCCGGGAACTACTGCATTCCTTTTGATTTACCTTGGAAAGAGATTTTGTGAGTCATTACAAAAGTGATTAAATAAACAGTCACGCAAAGTTAAATTATTTGTTGCACTTGATGATTACCGTCCTTGTAATGAAAAGGCAAAGTGGGATGGCATGTGTTCCTTTTTGATTCCATAAGGATTCATTTTAAAGCATCGGGTGAGGCTGTGCACACATTTCTGTCCCCTGACTGTGATCTGATCTCATTACCTTGTTTTTTTTATTATTTTTAAGAATCAACTCTTTACAATAAGGAAAACTTTTTATACAAAGATCACATTTAGCTCCTGTTATCCACTTTTATTGCCTATTAATTTCATCTTCCGATAGATGCTGTCAGGGTCTGATGTGCACATGGGGGGGAGGGGGTAGGGGGTTAGGGTATTTGTATTTCCATAAAATATGTGAATAAATACTATACTGCACCTAATGCTAGACTTCTTATTCCCTTCTCGTTTTGCTTCAAAGATATAGCTCAATAAAAATTAAATGTAGTTGAAAAACTGTATTTCAATAAGTTGATTAACTGCCGGTGGCCTATGGATCTGTTGTTTTGGTGTGAATGACTGTTTGATTGTGTAAATGTGGCTCTAATGTGAAGATTTTAGTGGGTGTTTTAAATAAAAGCGCTTAATAAATTATGTCCATTTCCAATGGTTACCAATTGGATATAACTTTTTTTTTTTTAAAGAACTGAAAAATGGGGAAAGGAAACGAGGAACGATGGAAAAATGGAGCAGAGAATGAAAGTTGAAAACAAGACAAATGAATATAGGACAATATGGAGGAAAAGCAAAAGACTTAACATAAAATTAACAAATGGTGAATAAAAAAAAAAAAAAACCTGACCAAAACATAAATGGAGAAACATGGTTTGCCTTCCTCTGTGCCAAATTGCATTGATGCTGTAATTCATATCGAAGGAATAAGCCAATTGAGTGCATAGAAATAAACATGGATGACACGTGGCAACAGAGCAGTAGGATGCAGAAGTTCAAATCCCAGCTCTCTCCGTCTCAGTTGTCCCTCAAGACTCTCCACCTGCTTTCCCTACTAATGGTGGTTAGAGGGTCCACACTGGAAAAACAATCTAGAAATAAGTAAAAATGTCCTAAATTTAGAGTGTATATACCCCTAATTTGAGTAGGTAAATTAGATAGTTTGCCAATGGAATGAGTATTTTATTCTTAAAATAAGCTAATTAGATAATATGCACTTGAAATAAGAGTGCAATTGCGTTTTCTTATTTTAAATGTAAACTGTCTCGTTCCATTGGCAAAATGACTCTCTTACCTCCTCAATCCAAGAACAAATTCACTTATTTTAAGAAAAAAATAACTTCTCTAGATTTCAATTTTTTCCAGTGCAGTAATGGCTGTGTATGGTTTCCCTGCTTCCTCTCTTCCCTCAGCGTGCCCCAGCACGTCTGTGGCTACAGTAAAGTTTTCGACAAATGTGTGAATGAATTTACTGTCTGCCATTTTTGTGCAAAATATCCTTGATTATTGGCCTGATTTTTTTTTTTAATCAAAGTTATAATCGTATGAAAAGAAATAAAGGGTAGAAATATTTCCATGTTTCATTAATATATGTATGCATGCAAAGGAATTTATATCAGACAATTTTGACAAACAAATTAATCAACCAAAAAAACACAAAAGAGACTGGTTAACACCACCAAACACCAATTTCCAAACTAAATTGACCTGAACATAAATGGAAACAAAACCCTCCACCAAATAAACCTGTCAGTATATACAGCCTCATAACTGGCATCAATCAATTTAAGTAAATTGTGTGAAAAGGGGTATAAAGAAGTAAAACTTATTTTCATACCGTCTCTCCCTCTAATTGCACTAAAATTAACTTAAAGTAGATGATAAATCATGTCACCTTTTGAAATGAGTGAGAAAAAAATCTACTTTTCACAATAAAAAAAAAAAGCTTGACTTTCCATTTATAAGCAGAGGAAGTAAAAATAAAATGTGTGCCACCAGATAGCAGCATCGAGCACTGTTATCTTGAACCTTGTGCTTATCTGAGTGCCTGTTCAGTTTACTTCCATCAGATAAAAAAAAAAAACCTATTACCTCATGTCACATCTGAAATGTGGCTGAAACTGCAGCCAGGCTGTTGGATAAAATCAAATTGAGCGGAGCACTGTTACGATGCAGCTCCGAGGCGCTGTACAGATGATAAATGATAATATAGAACTGGTGCCGCATTGACAAAAAAACAAAGTTCCTAGAAATATAAAAACTGTGAGCTCAGAAACATTTTGTAAATCAAAGTTTTTCCTAGTTTCTATGCAGTGATCTCAGAAAATATCTCAGAAATATCAGGGTCAAATTTTTTTTTTTTTTTTATCTAATGGTGCACTTTTACACCACTTATACTTTTACTTATTTTACAAAACATGAATAATAGGAGGAGGAAAAAAGAAAACTCTACAGATTCCAGGACTTAAGAGGAAAAGTAGAAGTCTGATATTGACTGTGAATTGCTGGTTGGAGGTTGACAAGGCAGTTAAAGAGTTAAACTGATCTTATGCAACTGTGAGCCCCTCTGCAGAAGCTGCAGTTCTGGTTTGCAGGTAGCAATTCTGCCTTTTATAAAAAAAATTTTTTTAATGTGTTTTAGTGCTTATGTGGCAATTTACCCAGAGTTTAAAAAAATATGAAAGCTTTATTAAACAGTAGCTCAGAATTGCCAGATACATCTGTGTTTCTGTGTATTTTTATGCAAATGTGTCCACCATTCCACAATATAGACTCAATTTTAGGATGTTTTCATTTCCTTTATTAATAGAATATGTGAGATGTTAACTTTTTGTCTGTCTTAAACTTTTGCAATTAGCATTAGTTTCCTTAGGCGGAAAAACATTCAGCCAATCCTTCTGTATGATTAGATTGAATCGTTTCTGTAAGGTGCTTCCAGATGACTTGTTGTGAATTGGTACTATATGAATGAACTGAATTTAACAAAATTGAAAAATTTTAATTGTCCTCAAATGATCTGTTCTTGCTTTAGGCTGCCAGGGGTCTCAGGGGTCCATTTGCCTTTTACCTTCCATGAATAAAAAAAAATGGTCCAATTTTGTTTTTATCTCCATAAAAGAAGCACCTTAGTTTAGAAACCTGCTTTGCAAATTTTTCAGTAGATTGAACACCTAACAGTGATATTAACGCTGACATTTCCATAAACTGTACATGTGACATCCTGATTCCAGAATCGGGTATGTTCATAATTATTTATGAAGGTGAACCAGTAAGGAAACATTTTTAAGATTTATTTTCTATTGAGTGCCACCAGAGGGAGATTTTATCAAATAAAGCTGAGTGTAGCACAGTACAGCTGGGAAGGGCAGGAGACAAAACCAGCATTTCAGCTGCTCTGCTTTTCAGAACCAAGGCCAATCAAACGACGCTCCATCTTTGCAGACCTTCGGTAAACCAGTTTTAATTTCATGTTTGGTTAAATCTAGTTTCTACAGCTTGCACAGACTACCAGCCAGGGAACAAGGCAAAATAAAGTTACATCTTTATTATTCAAAGGTTTACTTGCTGATTGTTTCGTTTTTTAAACATCACAATGAGGAAAGGCTTCACTATAACCACTCTTACATCTTGCAATCGATTTGTGCATGATTTGAACTTATTGTTTGCAATATATTTGATATTGTTTCTTGTGTTTAGATATGGATTTTTTTATGTCCTTGCTGTGAGGCTGCTTGCTGGCTGTGTGGATTTTTTTTTAAACCTCATTATTAAAATGCCTTTATCAATACAATGATGCACAAGCACAAATTACCACAAGGTAAAATTAATCTACTGTTTTTCTTGACTGACAGACAAAATATGAGCATAAGTACTAAGAATTCATTGGTTTATATAGAAAATGTGAAGTTTATCTTTTTTATTTCTCCCGACCCGATCGTCTATGCCACATTCTTTCGTTTGTTAACCAGCTGTTAGTATTGGACGTGGCAAACATAGGCTTTTCCTTGGCATTATCAAAAGGACACGTGTTTTATATCTAAGGAACTTGTAGAAATGGACCTAATCCCTTTTCTCATTGTGTATTTTATTGATCTGCAAAACACTTTGCTGCTCTGCTGCAGAAAATGGTTGGTCCTACTACCCCACAGAGAAATAAACAGCTGCACCTCTACAGCCATGAGCGGAGGTACCTCAGGTTTGGAACCATTTTATCTCAATCTCCTATATCGTGACCCAAGAGCAGCACCGCAGGCATATAGTTTATACATTGATTTCCTAAAGCTACAGCTGTTTAGCACCTATGACAGACAAAAAAACATTACACGCTCAAATGGATTTGTGTATCGCTATGAAATTCTAAGGTTTATCACTGAAGATATAGGATTACTTTAGGAGTGCCCATAGAGATAGTTCTGTAAAAGGATGAACAGATTTCAGACTCATCTTCCAATACAATTCCAGCTGTAAGCCTTCGGGCGTATGTGAGGACATAGTATGGGGAAGTCTAACACATGATCAAGTTTTGATCTTTGCAGCAGCTGTATGTGTAGAATGAACAGGTCCTCCACCACAAACTCAGCACTCTTGCATTCTCTTGCAATTTGTCCCTGAGGATTTCCCTGTTTTTGAAATCTATCAAATTCTCTAGGGATAATGGCCAGCTTCCCCTCAGTATGATGCTGCCAACAGCATACTTCACAATAGGCATTGTGTGTCCGAGGGTGACATACAGCATTAGTTTTTCTCCACTTATACCATTTGGTTCAGAAAGTTTAGTTTTGGAATAACATGTAGAAACACTTTTTTGGTCCTCAGCTGGGAAATTCAGGTTTTCCAGGAGATTGAACTAGTTAGGCGAGTGGCGGCCTAGTGGTTAGGGCATAGAGCTTGGAATCCTGAGGTTCTGACTTCAAGCCCCACTCCCATAGACTGCCACTCTGGCTTTCTGAGCAAAATACCCTTAACCCCACACTGCTCCATGGGCGCCCCATGATGGCAGCCCACTGATCCCCAAGGGGACGGGTTAAATTCAGAGGTAAATTCTCCAATGTGAGATCA